GGTCTCTCTGGTCGAAAAGGCCCAGAGTTCTGCGGAACAATTTTGAAAATTAGGTATGTAGCCCCAGGGTGCAGTTTACATGATTAATCACCCTTTTTACGTTTGATTTTTGGAGTGCCGAAGAAAGGAAATTTTGCCATCACCTTTGGATTAGATCCTATTAGTAAGCAGGAGTTTTACGTCTCCCCGTCTAACATTCCAAAAAATTTACGAGACGTAGCGCAAGTTTATTCCGACCGGGAATATCATCAGCGCTGTAGATAATTTTTCGAGAAAAGGTTTAAAAAAAACATCCTTGAAAACTTTAGAAGGGGGGGGGGGGTGCTGCTGGCCGGCCGCCCTCGTCCCATACACGGGCCGCCTCTGGGTACGACTCAGCAATGACACAAACCTGGATGACAATCTCATATGCTGGAAAATTTTGTGGAATATTCCAAAATAATTTCGACGAGAATAGGCGGGTCACTTTAAAATACCTCAATATGGTTACACATCTGTTGATCCTTGCCTGGCTGATGGGGAGCCGATCCGTCGAACGCGACGTTTGCCCTCACGGTGCGGTTCCTGATGATCGTGACACACACGCGATCGCGGGTCGCCTGATAGCCCACCAAAAAACGAGTTTGTTTTATAAAACGTTTCATTTCGATCTTTAAGAAACAAATTCTAAAAGGAATGACCCTGGTAAAAATTGGCAGTAGAATCCGTGTTCCAAAATACCATAGACCTACAGCCGGCTGTAAGATTTCCAATAGCTTCTATAGCCGGCAACACAATTTCTTATAGCCTTTTATAGCCGATGGCGACTAAGCAACAGCCTGGCGATAAAGTGTATACTAAACGTTACGTATTACAGATGATAGGACTTAGTGAGTTTTTAGACCACCGCTCTCTTTTTGGGCCGCAGTATCTTGATTTAATTTGCGAGGAAAGCTCCGTACTTTTGAAGGATGCCTGCCATTCCTAAAATGTTGGAGCGCCTTCAATTTCGTATGATACTGTGCACTACCTCTGGGGCGAAATAGTTGCTTCAAGCGCCGCGGTACGCTGCGGCGCGGCGCGGCGCGGCGGGCGGGCAGCCAGCGCTGAACGCGCATTGGCGCCTACAAACCTAACAGGGATACTTCACGCATTGCGCAATGCGTGAAGTATCCCTGTTAGGTTTGTAGGCGCCAGTGCGCCGCCGCTCCGCTTTGTGTTATAGGCTCTAATATTTAATCTCGCGGAGTCAGCGTTTTTCAACTCATGACTTCGAAATGTTTGCACACTCTGTATGGATTATTCTCATTTTAATTGATGAAAAAAAATATGTAGTAAAGGAAAATATAATGTGCGTTTTGTAAATATTCAGGTGATTCCGTACAAACTTAAGGATTTGCAAAGCACAAGAATTTCTACACAATTTCTTATAGCCTTTTACAGCCGATGGCGAAAAATCAACAGCCAGCAGGCGATAAAGTGTAAAGCCCGGTGACAGGAACTATATTCTGGCTGTATAATTTTTTATCGCTTCGTGTAGCCCGGTCGTATGATTTTTTCCACTTTCTACAGCCAGCTGTATGATTTTCTATCGCCCTCTTCAGTCGGCTATAAGAACTCCTATGGTATTTTGAAATGCAGCTCCTATCGCCAATTTTTACCTAGGGGATAAAAAAAAATGTTTTTAAGCGCATTTTTAGAGAACAATTTGGGCATTTGCGGTTTGGTTCTGGTGGACATTTTTTGAATGGTGAAAACATGGTTTTTCATGTTTGGTTTTAAAAATTAGGAATCTATACGATTTTTAACAATCTTTGTACGAAGTTTCGCTCTCTCTTCAATTTTTATAAGGTAATAATACTGGATACGCTCGCTCGAAAATTTCAAAGAATATTCTCGAAATAACCATATACATATATGACATTTTTCCTTAACGCTTCAGTATTGACCTCCGAGTATAAGACAGTGATATCGGCAATAACGCCCTTATCCAGCTATTCGTGCTGCATGGACATCCATGTTGCATACTAAAAATTGAAGGTGCTCCGTTGTCATTCTATAGCCTACGGGGCAGTGCTCGTATATTGTCACGCTGTCTCACTCGATGTAGAAGTGGGATCGAATATCCTGATATAAGAAAACTAGGGGGCTATTCCTCTGGCCGCTACGCTTGGGTTTGTCTCTGGCTTGGGTACAGCAATTCTTGAAAAAGTTGTCGGATCGAGTCGTCCCAGCGAAAATAAGTGCTCTATGAGGTAATGAGCAGAAAAGCAAGAGTATTTTTTTTTCGAATTTTGAAGTTTTCCGCCAGTACATTGGGCCCAAAGATGACGGATCCAAAATTTGATTTTTTGGGCAAGTGAGTGATCAATCCCAGCTGAAATTGACGATTTAGTGGAAGAGGAAAGGATTTCCTTGGTTTTTGCGTATCTCAAATTGTAAAAGCAGTAACGGCACATTGCCTGAGAGTTGCGGCTGTTATACGCATTGCGTAATGCACGAAGGTTATGAGTATTTTTCCTTGCAATTTTCAGAATTTTTAGATCGAATTGCGAACGAAATCCTCCAAAAAATGGAAGAGAAATATTCATATATTTTCTGGGAATCTAACGATTTGAGAAAGAAAATTTGGCAACTCCTGAAGGCTCATACGGCGTTACTCCTTAGCACGGCAGAACAGGTTGTCGGCGAAACCATAGCGCATCGTCGCGCTGTTTTGCGTGTAGGTTCCAGTGACGCCGCGCCTAACCGTATGTTAGCTGGGCTCGGGGTACTTTCATGTTTTATTTTTAAACAATGTTTTTAAAAGTCAAACACCGTTTTTCTGAGAAGGTTCCGCGACTTTTCCGTGATGATCTCAAACTCAAATAAAAGCATCGACACTTTCGCGACGCGATAATTTCGCTCGTCCTATTTTCTTTTTAGGTAGCCGATAAAAATTAGATACTATCCGATATTTATCACCCGATAGTACATTGTCGAAGTATTCCTATAGTTTTGTAAGCACTAATATGCGTTTCACGCCAATAGACCGACTGCGCAGTGCGCACTGCGTTTGGTGCAGTGCGAGAAGTATTCATACAGTCTTGTAGGCGCTAGCGCTCACATCCATTTAACGCCGACCGGACCGGCGGCGGCGCGCTCTCGCGGGAGAATGCAATATTGTGTTGTTTTCAGCATGGCAACGTTTGTTTTGATTCATGATTCATTTTCATTTTAGGTTAGTTAGTTTGAGTACTTATTGTTAGTGATAATAGATCATAATAGATTAGATTACTAATGCCAGAATCTTGAACCTCAAATTCGCCAATCATTACAATTGTGGATTTGCGAAAGTAAAGCTGCACAAGATTTCTTCATGTAAATTCATTTTGAATTCAGTTTTATAATTGTTACATCTTATCAACTATAAGTACTTATTCTACTCAACTCAAATTGAAGCACTGTCAACAAGTAAGTAATATTTTGGGTTATTATAGGTTTCTGAGTTTTAAAGGTAGGTTCGTCTAAACCTCTGCCCGAGAATTTTATTCGACAATACAATATTTCAAATCTGAAGACTATTAGCTTGTAATCAATTAGTCTGCTGTACCAAGGAACGTACTTAAGCTTTCTCCATTCCGTAAAAATTACTTCCATATGAATTAACATCAGTACGCAGTAGCCATTGAGACCAATCTACTGTTACTGTTTGACAGTTGAGACTGCTTATTCTTTTCACTGTCAGTTGCAGTTTGCTGCCATCACTCAGCAATATTGATTGCTATGACCAACTGACTAAGACATGGTTATCCATTCATTGAGCTGATAAGTCTTTGAGGCTACCCACTAGAACACGTATCATCACTCAGTTGGTTGCTTCGTCAAATCAATCGGATGTCAGATTACATTGATGGTGTCAAAGTGATGGTCTGGCATACTTGCTCCCTACAGCTTTACAACTGTTTAGCAAAGGTGCCATAAGTCCCGAGCCTCTGCAATTTTCCAAAAACCTCCATCATTTCCTGGCAGGTGCAGGAAACTTATCCGATATCGTTGATTCTTCTGTTTACTGAACGCAACTCAACAGTCCGATTGGCCTCATCAGATGGTTGAGTTTTCTATATGATTGTCGGGCATTTATACATAAACCTTGCTCATCATCGTTTGATTCAACTGGAGTCTAAGGAAACCAACTGTTTGGCATTGGGTAACTCCGTCTCAAAGTTTTCTTTGAGAGCGCACCATTATCCTAGGTGATCATTTGTTAAATTTTCTCACTGAAGCCCAAAAATGAAAGAAAAACTAGGAACTCTTCTCTAGGAAAAAACTAGAAAAGAGAGCTGCAATAACCCAATATTTAATAAAATCCTCAGTACCCAAAAATGCATCACTGAACAATTACTCAAAGCCATGTCATTTACTCTTAAAGTATTCATCATCTTCCAATAATTTGTTGAGGCCCAAACCACTCACAAAATGAGCTGTCACTCATGAGTTGGCAGTTCTTGCAATGCACAGCAGGTATTGAAGTCTGAAAATTTTCCCATCATGATTTCAGTAATTGGAAGTAATGCCGAAGAAGTTTGTCGGTGAAAATAGCAAGGCAGCTGCAGCCAGAGCTCGAAAAGCACAAGCCTCTGAAGAAAAAGAAGCGATTAAGAAGAAGCAAATTGAGGACGAGCTCTGGAAGGATGATGATAAACATGTTCAACGGAAACAGCAGCGAAAGGTCAGTAAATATCAGTCAATGATTTTTGTATTACATAAATTACAACTTATTACTGTGTACCTATTATTACACAGTTTTATCTAAGTGAATGAATTCAGGAGCAGATTTACTTATTTGCTGCTGACAGGTTGCCTGCATTTTGCTGTCTTCTTTTCATCAGGAACTGATTCACGTTATTAAGATCTACAGCCAACTAAAATTAACCGAGTCTACATTTCAAAAGTGATTAATTGTTTTCTTTAATGCATGGACTGCAAACAAACGGCTATTGTTTTTGAGAAAGGAGCATACTATGGAAATTAGTTTTTGACACATCGATAGATTGCACAAGATCACATTTTCAACACGTATTAATGTTCTCTCAAAATTTGTCCAAAATTATGGCGCATTTCATTTATAAGTCTGATTAGGATGAGTTGTCCTATGAAGCTCATAATGACCAGTAGTGAAATACAAAATAAATAAATTAAAAAAAGTCAATAGGGAGTTGAATAAAAGTTCAATTCATCTTCCGTATGTGAAGACATGAAGATCCCAAGTTCTTAACCCTCTGTATGGCATAAATTAATTTTGATTTTGGATTGTGAGGGACACAAATCTATACTGTAGCCTTTGTAAGTCCCAATTTTTTTCATCTAAATTTCAAAAATCATTTTCTCAACAAAGAAAAGTTTGATAAAAATTTGCAGCGTCATGCTTGTCTGAGATGAGGAGAGTGTTCAGCCTAGGTAGATGTATTGGAATATTAATCCAGGGTCTCGCCAAGAGATTTATACAATGTTGTGAGAGTTTTACTTGATCAGGATTCATTTTGATGGATTGAATGAACTTACCTTGTTTTTTTCCTTTCTTTTTTATGTAACAAAACATCAGGAAAAAACAAGGTACCTAAATTCATTCAATCTACAGATCTATACCAGTTCCGGTCTTTTAGACCTCATCAGTAGATGACACTTGTCAGTGAGCCCAGCTTAGCATCCTCCAAAATCTTGAACAGCATAAAACACTGTTATACCTAAATCATCATAATATTTATGCATTTTATTCTGTCATTGCAGGAAAGTAAAGAAAAGAAGAAAATGGAACAGTTAGAAAAGAAACAAGAGAAAAAGTCAATCTTAGAACAAGAGATTAAATCAATCAAGACAACTGGCAAGGAGCCTCTAGCCAAAATCACCCAAGCTCAGATACAGGTATAATTTTTGGAGTCTCCTCTCTTTACATCTTGTTTTTCCTGTTTTTTGGGTTTCGATAGGAGGTGGTCTTTGTCCGCTGATATCCTGCGGGCTGTTTATTGAAAGCTTAAAGCAGTCTGATAAGATATCGAAATGCAATATATTTTATTAGTTAAGATAGAGCTGAGGGGCCATCCCTAAATTACATAATGCTTTAGGGGGGAGGGGGATCAAGGAGAGCGTTACACCATTTTTGTGTTTACGTTTTAAAGGAAGGGACCTACGTCACAAAATTATTATAAGGGAAAGGGGGGTCAAAAATGCCAAAAATCGCGTTAATTACGTACTTTATGGACGGCCCCTATGTCTCTTCTTGTCACGCCAATATAGTTTCAATAATCAGGCTGCTGGCCAGTTTGATGACTTAAGCACTTGAGAGGGCTACCAAGGACCAATATGGTAGGTAAATAAGATCGAAATTTGTCTCCAGCGCTCTATCCAAAAAAAATCTTAATTTTCTCTAGTTTCTATATTTGGAAGACACAGCATTAGTACAGGTTGCCTTCTTTTTGTGTTAAGTGACCTTCTAAGACAGTCACATCAATTGTATTATTTAATCAATTTATCAGCTATTTTACCTTAGGACCTAAAGTTGGAAGAAACAACATTCTTCAAATCAACAAGAAACCGAAATATTTTCCAATATTTTCCAACTATTTTATGAAAACTATATCGTCAGCTCTAGGTGTTCACTCCAGCAATGGCTTCAATTTTGAAGACCCAAAAACTGTATTCTGTCCTAATGCATAAAAAAAGAAAAGAAACTACCTTTAAAAAAACACCAAGCAGTTAAAAAAATAATGATAGGAAAGAGGAAGGATAGGAAGTCAAAAAGAACAGAAAATACTAATTAAGTGGTCATAGCAATGATAATGAAGAGAATGGGATGCGAATGAGTGGAGGCAGTGTCCAAGTGAGGGTGGAGGGGCTCTATACAAGAAGGAGAAGCTGCGCGAGTAAGCGCACAACAAGCAGGGAGGGGAAGAGGCAAATCCACATGAATGCGAGTGCTGAAGGGTGGAGTGTCAGTTGCAAAGTGAAAGTAGTTGCGGACTGTTCATGTTTAGTTTCGGATTTTACAATCTGGAATACGATATTTTCTTCAGTAAAAAGATAGATAACAAAGATATTCATTCGATGATTTCTCAGTATTTTCTCTGTAAGAGTAGAACGTTTAATCATGGCATGCTCCCATTGCTCCCTGCAAATATGTTGGCTGATATTTTTTTCAAAAATTAAAGTATATAAAGGAAAACTGAAATGTTAAAATAAAGTAAGACAATTGTGGAAGCAAGCCATTCAATTGTGAACGTTCACCCGAAGTTTTTTTTTCCCGACCTCATAACTAATATCTCTAAGAAAAAAATTCAATCACGTGTCCTAATTGAAATTTTACAGGCGGAGAATGAAAAACGAGCAGCTGCACTTAGTAAATTGTCATCTAGCAAAAATGTGCAGACCCATGTAAATGTACCCCTAGAAGAAAATATAAATCATTTGCAAGTTGAAGGAGCAGAGGCTAGAACAATAGATGAAGCCATAAATGTTTTAAGGTTTGTCTTTTTTATATAATTATCTGCTATGGTAGTCTTTAGTTCGCAAATATTATTTCCCAGTGGTTATAGCTCAATCTTGTTTTATGCTGGAACAAGCATTGAAAATGACCTTTTTCTCAAGGGGATCCTTTCCCTTGTCATATCTGCCATTGTTAAAGCTCTTTATTCTACTAAAGTTGAAAATGATTTAAAATTTAGTCTATGTATTAGAAGGAAAAATCATAAAATCAGTTCTTTTTCTCAATCTCAAAATGAGTTTCTTAAGGATGAGTCATTAAATGCCCCCCCAATGATATTTTATGGTTGAGGGATTTTGATTTCAAATAAATTTTGAATTTTCAGCTTGAAAGAAACGCCTGTGGACAAACATCCTGAGAGGCGATTAAAAGCTGCATATGCTGCTTTTGAAGAAGCTAATATGGCAAGAATCAAAGCTGAACATCCTACTTTACGTCTGTCACAACTGAAGCAAGTTTTATTCAAGGAATGGTCCAAGTCTCCTGAGAATCCGTTGAACCAAACTTCGTAAAGAGAGTGATATCATATGTACTGACAGAACTGTGGATGTTTCTCAGATATTTCACAGGTGATCAAAACCAGCTGTCAACTCGAAGTCTTTTTTTCAGAACGTCTGTTTGAAATGGAGGACGTTGAGGAAATGCAATTTTCTCTCTTCGGTGTCGAGATTTTATACTTCTCAATGAAAGAGACTAAATCTTAAGGGAACTTCTTTGCATGCTACTTCTCTCAGTAGCTTCTTTTTTTTGTTTTATTTCTTGAACTTGTACATCCTGAAACCTTTAATAGACTTAAAGTTTAAATGCTCCTTTCAATTGCAATATTTTTCAATTGAAACTAGACTAAACTGGAAGATGGAAAACTATGAAATGTATAAATGTTTTCCACTTTTCGCCCTGTCCTCACTAACAAGTTTGTAGCATGATTGAAACACTTGGCAGAATAAGAAAAATCAACTAATTTTCATCTACGTAACCAAGACTGGATTTAATTGATCAGTCTGTCGCTGTCTTTAATTTACTTGTAGGTAATGCACATTGTATGGGTATCAAGATAAAGTTATTAAAGATAAAAATGTGTTGAAATGGTCAAAAGTAGGATATACATAGAATATTCTATGAATCCTTCCAGGAATATCCTTTGTACATTTTTGAGATAAGTCAGGATATCCTATGAATACCTGCTGGTCATTGGTATAAATGACCTGTAAAATACACCTTCACACATAGCTCAGGCTTTCCTCTTAAAATTGTGCACCTTGCTGTACCTAGTGCTACAGTTTAAATCCTAAAAACTGTCATTCAAAAAAATATTACTGTTTTTAGGACCTTAAATGCAGCATTCAAAATTAACTCGTTCATCATTTATTCATTCTCTCAAAATTGTGAAGAAAGCAAGGTATGAGCATACCATTTGAGAATGGATGTTCAGTGAGAAATCTTTCTATGTTAAAAAGGTTAGAAAAATCTATGAATCTCATCTGTTGGAAAAATGCCGTTTTACATGTTTTTTTATACTCGGGAAGTCTAATCAGCATTTAATAGTCAAATAAAAGTTACTGCTGGTGACAGAAGTGGCTCTTTAATGATTTTTTTCAAATTTATGATACAGATGACTCTGTCAGGAAGAGGACGTTTTATGGTTTTTTGGTACTTTTTCTACAGAGGTAGTTTTATCAGGTATTTTTCAGATGTCTCTAGCAATGCGTAACCACAGCCAGCTGAGGGAGGATATTCTGAGGTATTTCAAAATTGCACTATTTCAATGGAATATTTATAGAATATTTACTGCTGCCTGTGTAATTTTCTGCATACAGCAATGGACTTGTTGCACCCAAGAGATACAGTCAAGTGAACAAACCTTCTACAGGTGAAGTCACACGAAAATCACAATGGACCCATAAAAAAGTCTACTATCAACTCTTTGGTGTGTAATTTGCGATGTTTGATATACGCTTTTCAAATTTCCTGCGGACGACTTCTCTAAGTCACTGGTGACCAGGTTTGCTAGAAAGAGACATAAGTAAGAAAACCTGATCCAAATAATCAAACAATCTCGCAAACTATTTCTTTAGTATACCTTCAATTGTTTTATCTTTTCTTTTGTTGCAAAAACAAGTTTTAAATCAATAGGGTATATGTAAAGGAATTTTATAACTGTTTGCAAGACTGCCTCCGTACGCAGGAAATTTGGAAAAGCGTGGAACCACATAGATTTTGTGCTAAGGAGTGGATTTCAGACTTTGCAGTGTGTCTGTCGTGGATTTTAGGAGATTTCACCAACAGAAAATCTAGGTTGTATCTCTTGGTTGGGACAGACCCACAGTCTGTAGGGATATGCTCTTGTTCCCTCATTTCACAGTGATAATAGTATAGCAATATAAAGTGACTGGATGATTGAATCCTTCTTTGGAAATTCACAAATGAAGTCTGTACCTTGTCCAGTGACCAGCTTGAAAGAATATTAAATCCATCACCAACGAAAAAATTGATCCCTTTGATGGGACCGTAATTTTTCTGGTTTTCTTCTCGGTTTCTTTTTGTAATGTTATAAGTTTTTAATTTTTTATTTTTCAAGTTCAAATTTTAAATAAAATTGGAATGTGTAACCATGCAAAGAAAATCCTTCTTCCTCCTTTGTTTCCTAAATTGTTTTCACTCCAATTTTATTGCAGACAGAATAATTGTAAATTTCCGACAATTTGAATTTTTTGGAAAAAATTTTATGAAAAAAGTATCATTCCTTAGAGGTTTGCTTAAGGCTTACAAAATTGCCGTTCTCATGATTGTCCAATTTATTGCGATTCCTTTGTGCCACTATTTCGGTGCTAATTTTTCCAACTATATGAGCTAGGCTTAGTGTTAGTACCAAAATTTTCATCAGGGCACACAGCTGGACAAAATAAAAACAAACTTTTTATTTGAAAAATTTAATTAAGAAAAAAGAGAGAGTTCTGTGCATCAATAAAATAAAAACAAGACATTAATCTAAAAGAACTGAATCTTACACTAAAGGCTTCAGTCTCAGAATATAACATTTAATATACGTTAAGCTTTTTTGTGTGCAAACACTTTTGCACTTATCTTCAATAAATCAACTCTCCACATCAAAGATTTTGGAGATTTAATTTGACAAAAAAATGCATTAATACTTGCGGCAAATATTGTCTTTCAATTTCATGCCAATGCAAGACAAATTTTATACATGAGATTAAGCAAATGTTACAGACGATGATTTTCGATACTTAGCAGTTCCGTTCCTGATCGCCTGTTTTCCCAATTGCATCCGGATTTGCCAAAGGGTCTAGCTCAGCAAATAGGTCATACCATGGTTTCTTATTCTGCAACCAAATTGAAGTACAGTTAGTTCTGTTTTTGTACAGTTTATTGGAAATGTCAATAATGTTCTGCTAAATGAAAATCCTTGGCCCTTCAACAAGGAAAAGACTTTTCCCTGTTCCATCTACACTCACTTATACTTCAGTCATGGTTGGTTCCTTCATCTCAAAGATTTTTCGCGGAGAGTTTAAATTTCCTGGAGAATAAAAACAGGAAGTATGGGAAATTAGAGGCTTTAAGGGACTTAGACAAAATGTAAAGTTTCTAACAAAATTTTAAGGTTTGGTATAAAAATCCTTTGTAGGGATTATTTTAGCAATTTTATATGAAATAGAGACATACCTGATCAAAAGATGCGTTCGATGGTTTGCTTGCTGCTGCCTCTTTACCTAGAGAGGAATAGAAAAAGATATGTGACTAAAAAAGTATTGAGGAATCTAAACCTGTTCCGATTGAGATATAACAACCGTGCTTACAAGAAGAATGAGCTCTTAATGGAACCAAACAAGCCTCAAAATAATTTCTCCGTGCATTTCATATTTCTCCAGGATCAATGTGGAGAAACATCCAATTAAGACTGATGAATTGAAACTCTAACTTTTATTTAAATTTGAGGTTCCAAAAAATGCAGCACCATGAGTTTAAAAGAGGCAGGGAAAGTTTGGGGGGCCTTTGCCTTCTTTTCAAAACATTTGGCATTATTTTGAGTTATCTGGCGTGTTTTTAAACTTTCAGACAATCTTACAACTGAAGAAATTACGGAACTTTACCTTGAGAACCAGCAAAATCTAGGGAGAGGAAATGTTCAAAACCCTTTTTTAATTTATAGACAATATATATTTTACCTTTTTCAGAGGATGGAGGCACGGAAGAAAACAGACTTTGATTACTAGCTTGCATTAGCTGTGATGGTAGAAACAGAGAGGATGCTGTGTTTTGTTTTGAGGTTGACATATTTGAGAACAAATTGGTGAGGAGAGTTGTGGAGTCTGTTTCTGAGAGTTTGTCTGATTGTTCAGTTGCTTCTTCAGTTGATATCAGGTCAGCGATACCACTCGTAAACTGGGATTCTTGGAGCTGGTTTGATGTATCTTTGCTTAGGTCCGCTTTTAGTAATTCTTTCTCCGTTTTCGGTGTAGATTGATCTGGACTTCTTTTCTGATCAGCCATCAGATCTTCAAACTCGAGCAGTCTGAAAATTTAAGACAGGAGTTATGTTTTTTATTCAAGTAAGCATTTTTTTCAAACTTGCAAAAATAAATAAATTTAATGGAAATGTTTAAATTTGACCGCAAAATATATGTACATTTACTTACAACTGCCACCAAGTGTTACTTTCTTAAAACATTTGAACACCTAAAGATATTTATCCATAAATGTTTTTAAAAAAACGTGTTTTTGAGTTAAAATAATAGATGTTGCGAGTTGAAAAATCAGAGGTCATGCTTGGTTAATGGTTTTCTTTTTTTAAACAATTTTTGGTTTACGTAATTGGTTTTAAAAATTCATGTCAAGTTTCAGATTTTACAATTCGTTTCATGCATGCTTTGGAATGCTTCAGTGTCCATTTCACAATAAAATATAAAAATGATTTGATCTCAAAGTTTCGGTCTTTTGTAACTGATGATAATGAGGCCTTCAAAAATCCATAAAGAAATAAGAGCCGTTTCAGAATATGGTGAGGGGACTTTCGGAGGTAAGTAAATAAACGCTTACTTTTCATCATCTTTCTCTGGTTCAACTGATGCAGCATTCAATTCAGCTAACTCTTTAACAACACAAAAATCGTAATGCTGGTGACCTGTTGGAAAGAGAAGAAACAAATAATTAAGTTCAATGTGAATGTTCCTGCATGCTAGCCTTGGAAAGCATACTGTGGTATAAGCAGGAGTATTTACTTGGGAGCGTAGTTTAATCCTTTTGTCAACAGAGCAAGAAAATGTGAATTTTATAGAATATATAGATAGTTTATATTCTTAAAATAGTATATCCTTGAGACCTGGCGAAACGTTAATCTATGACCAAAATCAACAGAGACACCGCTCCCTGAATCGCAGGATGGATGTTGGCATCAACTGCCGCAGTGCTCACTTGGGTTTTTTTCCTCTTTTGTTTTATCATAGATAGAAATAAAGCAAACAACAAGTATTGTCACTTGCCGTCCTTCATAAAAAGCTCAGTTATTGAGCCATAATTCTTAAAACCAGCGCATTTGTAGAAGCCCAAGAATTCAAAATGTATGGAATCATAGGCTTCTGTATTACGAGTCCCACTTGACAAGGTAAAAAAAAAATTTGGATAATCCGCTTCTTAAATTTCAAGTGATATTTTGAATAATCGAGCATTTTTTCTAATTGTTGGTAGTTTTACCTATAGTTTAGATTGGAAAATTTGAAGGCTTATTTTTCAAGAATTTGCAATTGTTGGGAGAAAAAACATTTTTTGCCCTCCTGCAACAGTAGTCTAATGATCAAACTTGTCTTGTCGTCGCATCAGCTAGTAATGGCGGTTTTGGAGGAAAACTCTATTCAATTTTCCTGAAAAAATGTTTATGATCTAATAATCATGCTCACAGTAATATGCCTCTAAAATCACTGTTTGCCATAAAAATGTATCCTAATTCTGAACTGACCAGAAAATCGAGATAATTTTTTTATTGTTTATGCCAGAAAAATGTAATTTCAAAATGAATAATTGATTTGAAATTGCCATCCCTAGAACTGGCAGTTCATTTAAAATTAAAAGGCTCACCTTTAAAGCTATCTGCAATGGTTGAAAAAGTGTTGACAGATTTCTCAGTGAACTGAAGAAGAGAACTCTGATACAGTATAAGCGCATGTGAAAACATGTTACATCTAGCAGCTGCCAAGAGATCGATCTTCTGCAAACAGTCCAGCTTCATGCGATCAAATCTCATTTTACTTCTCTTCACATGTTCTTGAACCTGATATTAATAAACAAACTTATGAGGTTCGATGGCTATTTTTACAAAACTAATGTGGCTCAGTCAGAGGAAAGGAGTTTTGAAGTGAAGACTGAAAATTTTAAGAAGAATAAAGAAAAAAATGCAAATCTTGTCAAAATTATCTGGGTACTTCTTACTTTATTTTGACTTACCTTTTTTCTGTATTGATGTTAAAAACTTTTTACATATTGTCTTCAAGAGCACTGGGACAAAATTTCGAGTTATGGTTCGTGTTAGTGAATAATGAGTGTTGCTTGCAAGAGATACAGCCAACTTGGTAGACCTTAAAAGTCAATAGGTATCGTACAAAAATCGTGTTAAGCATACCAAAAATATCTAAAATCCACTCGGAATTTAGCAATGTTTAAGACTGTCTCAAGCGTTTTCCAATTTAATCATTTGCAGGCACTTCTCTCTTAGTTTCCGGTAATGAGACTTGCTCACAGAGCAATTCAAAAAACCTATTTTGCTCTATAATTTAGTACCTATCATAAGAGTATCACATAACCAGTCTGCTATCCCATCCACTTTGCAGCCAAATACAGCATGCAGGCGGCAGCCAACAGGCTGAAGTGGCAGTCCCATGAGTATTAAAAAAAGTTACCTTTTTAAATTTTTCAAGTTGCTTGTAAGTATCTGGATCTAGTTCTTGGGAAATGTTTTTCATCCAACTCAGGGATGCCCTGTACTCGGTGCGAACTTTCTCCATAGCCTGAATATTCAGTAAAGTATCTTCGATTGCTCTCTGCCTGAAAGTGTCCACTTCCTAGGATTCAAGACAAAACCCATCAAATACATAACATTTTTCAACGATAAGTGTTTCATGGATGGTGAAATTGAGAACATACAGACCTCTTCTCATTGAAGTTTTTAGAGATATTTTCATATTTATTACAAATCCATGGCGTAAATCAGGATTTTTCATTGCAGTTTTTCAATATTTTCCTTCCAATTTTATTCGGTTTTTTGAAACAAAAATACGACAACCTTTTAAATTATTGCTGTAAGTGTTCACAATATATTTTTCAAACAGAAAAATGATTTGTAGAAATGTCCACAAGATTTGATTGATTATGTTCCCCATTGTGAAAAAAATAAAAGTAAAAAATAAAAATATAATTGAATAATATATATATCTATAATATCATTTGAAAAATTAAATACTAAGCATGCTGATGAAGATTAATACAATAAAGTGAAAAGAAGACAGAGGATATTACTGAAAAATTTAGACCGGGAAGAATCCAGATTTTTACTTGTTTATTCTGCAAGTTTCTTGCGTAACTTTTATTAAGTTACCTAATAAAAATTGAGTTGCCAGTTTTATTTTACAACGGCTATACTGTCATGCTAGGACAAAATGCTGTGTAAAAATTTAAATGTTGCGAAATTTTCTCTCATAAAAAAATTGTTTTGGAAGAAAGTTATGTATATTTTTTCTTGAAATATTCAGAGAGGTACTTTAGATAAAATTAAAAACAAAATTTTCTAAAAAATTGAAAGAAAAATATTCAGAATTTTCCCATTACATTAGTTTTTTATCAAAAAAAATAGGGCAACGTCTGAAAGCTCATACAGCGTTTTTCCTCAACACGGCAGTATATTAGCTCATAGTGATGATCATAAGGATCAAAAGGTTACAGAAAAAAGAGGGAAAGCTAAGGCTAAAAGCATATACTCAACAGCACCACAAGTATATGTAGACAGTTTGGTTGCATCTTAAAATAGATAAGTAGGATAGTTTGGTTAGACCGAGTAATTTTGACTGTGATAAATTCGCTGACATTAAACTGCCGATAAGAGTTTAGTTCCGTTAACTGAACTTGACTCTTTCACAAGCTCATTCGGGATTTCATTTTCCCGGCAAAAGTGAACAATGAGTGGATGAAGCGAAGCAGCATTGTTTCAAACTTAGGTAATTAGAACATTGAGATGGGTATTAGCTTTTAGGACAAACCTGGAACAATCTAAGTAAAGGCATGCGAAGATTAATTCTTTGTTGTCCTGAGTAAGAGAGGGCTTTGCCAACACAATTCATCATTTCTCCCGCACGAGTCTTATCGTTTTTCCCAGATTCTTTTAAAAACCTGCCCATTGCATTTTCCTCTTGGGCCAGGGCTGGAGAGGAAAGGCATGCGTAAAAAGATAAGTTGGTTAGAAGTTAGTATAACATAAAAGGAAAACCGTTATGAATTGCATGGTGCATTCAGCATTTCATATTGCCAGTATGATGAAAACCAAGTTAGAATGTTGATTTATTTATTCGATTACTGGAGTGAAATTCTTGAAAAAAAGACTAATTAATGATATCTGGTTACATTTATAACAGATCGCAATATAAACAAGCTCTAAATTAGAATAAAAAGTCGCATTGTTTCCTAGAAAACGATTCACTTAATGAGAAGTTAAGTTTTGGGAACTTCTGAATTCTATTACTTAGCAAGTTCTATTAACAAGTACTTTTATCACAGACCAAGTGGAAGTTAGAATATGTACATAAATGAAACCATTTGTATTTTTGCCATCTGGCCATTGTTAATTGTTGTAAATATGTGCTTATATCTTGTTCAAGAGTTGATTTCCTGACTTCTCGTTGTGTAAATCTTTTCCCTTGTGAAATTTTGGAGAGAGAACATCTTGTGTAGTGCTTAAACTCATGCCTCCTCTAAAGGCCAATTAAGCTTTTTTTCCTCTCTTTTTACTTGGAGAGATTAATCAAAGCAATATAGTTTAAAAAGCATTCCGATTGAAATAGTATTTCTGAACTTCAGAAACCTCCAAGTTCAAAAAAGGTTTGTTAAAAAATGAGAATTAGTATCAAACCATCACCTAAAGGAAACAAAAGGTTACACTAAATTGGAAAAAGCAGGATGTTACGGCAAATATTTTTACCTAAAAGGATTTGTCAATCAGAGGAACCAATTTGAAGACTTTGGATAAATTTTAGGATTACCTCCTGAAAATATAAGAAGTGGAAAGAATTGAAATAGAGTGGTAGAAGATTACTTTATCCAAGATTTCTAACAGCACAGAGAAAAGCTTTCAAGTTTTCATGATAGCAGCTACCTAAAATTTTCTGGATCTCTGATAAGAGTCACATTAAAAGAAATTGAGAGTGGAGGGAAAAAGGAAACTTACTGCAAATTCTTTCCTGATACTTCTCGATTATGTTCAGGAGATCTGCACAGCTTTCTTGGATGGATTTGAATAACTCAAGTTTAGCATCAAGTTCAGCATCCGAGGAAACGATGCACTCATCTTCCTTCTTCCCAAGTTTCCTGAAGACAGTTTGTTTCGTAACCCAATACTGGTGTTGCATTTTGGATATTGTAGAATCTTGTGACGTCAGGCCATGTGTTTCAGACCAGTGGTTGGTTGTGTTTTGTTGCCTGTTGAATAATGAAAAGAAAACTGAGTAAGCAGTAAGCAAAACTAAGTTTCAAGGTGAAATTGAGATAGTTAAAACTAGAGAAAGAAAAGATACCGACAAAAGTCACATCAGAAAATGGCATCATGCAACAATGCAAGAAATATACGTCCTGGCCAGTGGGCTGAATGATGACTGATGCATTCAGGTTGTTGATGTTACTTTCGTCATATCTTTCCTTTCCCCAATCTACAAAATTTTAAATTTTGACAGTAAAAATGTTGGATGATACCTTTCTACGAGTAATAACTATAGACAGGTAAGTGCCCAGTGCAATTGCTCAGTGCAGGCTTTACTCCAAACATAGAAATTCTCTGACCCGAGACAAAGTTTCCTTCCTTTCTCCCAACTTCCCAGGTTTCTCTGAAGCTCTCCAACTCTTCCAGATTGTCCTCGACGGCCGTTACTTTCGAAATACTGAATCTCTTTTATCACTGAATCCAAGGTAGGCAAATGCTTACAGGAAGTACACTTTTCTATTTGTAAACTCTGAGGCACAACTGAGGATGTGGACCATTCGTGACCTCATCCATGCTCTATATGGTGGTGTGCTGCGGCATATAAGGTGTTAGGTTAAGTTCTAGTATAGAATGATAGCTATGATACTTGTTTAGTGGTCTTTAATTAAACAATGATTAGATGATAGCTGAGGAACCAAAACTAATTTCATGAGAGTAAGCTGCATTTACGCAAACTATAGCATATGTTGATGAATCCGTAAATTTTAACAGGAAAACACACCTCAATATTGTTTGGATAATGAACTAGTGAAATATTTATTCAACTTACCAGGAAGATCTAGAGGAACTCATGATTATGTGAAATAACACCTTAAGAACACCTGGGACTTGACAGTAACTCGAAAATTAATTTAAGGCTTAACCACAGTTGGCACTACGAAACCCGCAGATGTGCTTGTGAAGACAGTGTCCTACTCTGAATTTACAGTTCGTCGAGGAGACAAATACTGCTGCTGATAAAATATAAAGAGTAAGATTGGACAGTATTGGCCTGGAATACACATTTACCCAACTGTAAAACTGATGGTGGTAACTCCACGATACCACGATAGGAAATTTACAAAGAAAACTGATCGTGCACGCGAGCCGCGTTTTTACTTGGTAAAAGGGAAAGCCAAATTTCCACACATGCGAAGTTCATACTTTTCAACAAATAGAGTATTTTCCTCAGCTGACAACTGTCAAAATGAAGAACACTGATAAATTACTTTTGACGATTGACAACGAAAGAGAAATAAGAATTAGGAATTGGTAAAGTACATGATAAAAAAAATGGAGTGATAAGGATCAAATTTGGAACGTAAACATTGCGGTTAGGGGGGGGGGGATTTGTAACGATCGTAGCGCCAGAGTGGCGACTGGTGGTGACAAAATGCAACTGCTCACAAGAGATAAAAAACTGGGATCAATATGGCGACGCAATGTTTACTTTTGGTCACTTGGCTAATCTTCCATCTTCTTTGAATTTCTTTTGGGTCCGTTCTACACACAACTTATTAATGGAGTTTAATTTTAAAATTGCCTGCTTTCAACAGAGCATACCTATTGTTAATACTTCGCTTTCATAAATATGTGTTTGGAATGTCATCGATAAGTTTCCGTGTTCGTGATTTTGTCTGTGACTTGACCTGAACTGGTAAGATTCTTCTCTGTTTCTGTTGTACTTGCACTAGCTACCTCTCCGCCTTAGATTGATCCTGTCCTGTCATCTCTTATCGGAATTTTAATTTACAGCATTTTGAGAAGCGCTTCTAGGATTCTGGGGAGCTAACTATATTCGTAATTCTAGGAAGTGGCTTAAGAATACAAAAGCTTCTTCTATCACCAAAGTCATTGGAATAATTTGAGACTTATATGATAGTGTCTTTGTCCCAGTAAAGTATCACAAGCACAACTTGTGTTGAAATTGAGTGATTATCTCTCTAGAAGAACGATTGGAGGATAAAAATTATGCAGATAAGAATTAAAGAACTGTTAAAATGTAGAGCAAAGACATAACGAAAGGGAATGAAACTCATGCCCCAAACCTATAATGTGTCAGCAAATAATTTGTTGATGTATCTTGCCAGGCTCATATTGAGCTTTATTTACCCATTGTCAAGCTGTCAAATTACTTCACATAACAATTTTAATTTCTGTTTTTATTTCTCAAGAAACATACTATTCTAATATAGAATTTGTTCTGTTGACGGTTTGATCTTGATTTTTAATTGGACGAAAAAACCAAGTTTTAGTTCCTTCTAGCCTGAAAGAGTTTTACAAGAGAATGGCTTGTCCAACTCATTACTCAATCCTTTATTTTACTTTCCAAATTTTCTAAATTGTTAAACCATGTTCTCTTTTTGCAGGTAATGGCAGACAGTGGAGGAGGAGGATCTGCTTCGTCAAGTCGCGATGGTGATGACTCTCAAGACCCTCCTCAAAAAAAAGCCCGCTATTCGTGGGAAATCCAAGGTAATACCAACTTGAAGACTGACAAAACTGTTTCCTCAGAGGACTCATCAAGAAGTCATAGAGAAGCACCCTGCACCTCTGACCATGGAGCCTCCCATGGCTGTCTCAATGTTGGGAGACTCGTCACTTCAAGCAATTATCCTGTATTCAAGTGGCAGACACGACAAATAGCAAAAGCAGTCGTTGACAACACAATTAACAAAGTGATTGAGGACATGGGATTCGTCCCATTTGCCCAAGACTTCAATGATATGTTTCCAATGAATCAACAAGATGAGCACGTAGAAGATGAGGCAGTTCTAATGGCAATTCATAGACATGGTCTTCAGCAAAAGGACTGGATGAGCTCAAGTTCTCACACCCCTGAAAAACTGTCCACTGCGCAAGATACAGGGCTTGCACAACTGAAGAGCTGGTATGAATTTGAAAATGATGAAAATACTGTAGCAGCCAACAGTTGGCGAATAAATGAACTAGCCTCAGCTCAAGGATCTTCCAATATCTCTATCATGGAACCACGTGCTACGCAACCAACTTTATCTTACCCAGATAGACCGTCGGAAAATCAAACCCAAAGCGTGTGTGACAAAAGCGTTGGTAATGCTTCAGATAAAAATGTACTGGAGCATGATTTCCTGGCGCAAGCTGTCGCTGTGGCAATTCAGAAGAAGGGTCTTAGCACTTATCTTGCAAATGAAAATAGGTGAATTGGAGCTTCTTTCACCTATCATTTTTTGGTGCGTTTGGCGCATCATGTTCTAAACCATTCACCTATTGAGATCAGGGGATTTTGTACCACTTCAGTTTCTTTTGGTCCTATGCACAGAAGAATTATTTTTCGTTGCATGAGTGGTACAGGCACACCCTCTCTTTCTTGTTGGCAATAACCATATAAAATGTTAACTTTCACTGGCAAAGGCCCATATGCTTTGGCCTTTCTTTTTGTCAAACTCATAATATAGAATCAAAATTCTACTTGTCTTAAAATGAATCCCTCTTGAAAGCTGTTAGCATCCGTCATTCAGAGTTGAAAATCTTCTAAGAAGCAGAGACAAGAAAGCAAGAGGTAACTGCTCCCACCAGTCTGGTTGTTTTGGCGAAAATGGATGATTAATGTGGTGCTGATTATAGGTGACAGTTCCCCTTCTTAAAATTTTTGACTTGCTGTCAATTTTTTCCTTCTGCAAGAACTTTCTAGCATTTTCAGGCCCTTTCGTGGTTATGCCTAATGATTTTTTAGGCTAACTTTTTCAATTGAATCAGGTATATTATCCTCATAGGAAAGAGTGGAAAAAATACATATATGGACTCTTGTAATAGAGCTAGCAAAATAAAATAAGCACTTCCATGGGGCATAAGGGATCTTAAAATCAACGTCTCTTTTCAATGTAATCTGTCCCAGCTTTTATTCCTGATTACCTCTTTATGTATTTTTACTAGTGTTCCGCACCTCCATTCTGTTAGCCCCTCAAAACTGCTAGTTGTCCTTTTAAGTGAAAGGTACTGCTATGGGCCTTTGTTTTAATTCAGTGACTGAACAGTATTCTAAAAAAATTAATTGATGATATAAAGAAATTATTTAATCCCTGCCAGCAATTAGCTTTTAAGTATAAATCAAAGTTTTGAAAAAATATTGATCTTTTAACATTCTCTGAATACCTCATGATCAATTCTATTATTAATTCAATTTTAAAGCGCCTTATGTTTATTTAAACTGCCAGAAACCAATTATAACTAGTAGATCAAAACTCTATAGATGGGTCTGAATGTTACTGCATAAATATTTGTAAGTGCCCCTTTTCTCACAAAAAGTTCCTATTTGAAAAAGAAAGAACTGTAAATAATTTTTATTTGTTTTAATGTACGTATGTATCTAATTTATAACAATTGACTCTTTATAAAAAGAGAAAATGCAATGCATCATCATTAGATTAGTGTGTTTTATGATTCTGTAGTATACCAAAATATTTTTTCGCTCAGTATAGAGCTCTTGTTGGAAAAGTAAGAAGTTGAATTAAAAAGCTAGCCAGTATTCTAAACCAGAGAAAACACTTGAATATGTAAGATTATCAATGCCAATTCAATGTAATGCTCATTCATTTAACAGCTTCAAGAAAGAAGGAGATTTATCCAGATACATTCCGAAGTTAGTTTAGGGGTAGATTTTGCATATCCCTTTTTAATTTTTTTAGGGGAGCCTTCATTGCTTCAGATAAACTTTTTGAGTTTTTATCTCATCAATTTAAACAAATTATTACTGTGCAATTTTCTCTTTATGTTATTGTAAATCTCTTTTGAAAGCGAAAGCATAAAAAGTAAAGAGCCACAATGCCTAGAAGCATTCACGCTCTTGGGTATCTGTCTGTCTTTTATTTTTCATTGAAACATAACAGTCATTAATGTAATGGATGCAGGCACTCCGAAATTAATATCCATCTCTTCCTCACCTTGTCAAGAGAGGGAAATATTTATTCTTGTAAAAAATCTCCGAACAGGCCATGTCTCTCTTGTTTATGGAGAGTAATTTTTCACAAGAAAGAAAGAAAAATAGAATTTTTTTTGATAATTATAACAGTTGTATTCTCTGAACAGTAATGAGGTCAAATTTTACTCATCCTGCAAATCTAAATTTTTTAAAACAATTTTAAACAAATCTACTTGTATTTCTTGAAGCAGGTGCCAGAAGGGTTTTAATTCCTGCGTTTCTGACTAGACTTTTTTTCTCCTTTTTCTTAATTTTTTTGTTTGTTTTTGTATAAATGGAAATTTTCTTTACTACCTGGTGTCTGTAAGCGCTTTTGTATCTAGCAGTTGCTGCTCCCATCTCATGCTTGCTTTGCATCTATAATACTTGGGTAATAGTCAAGTTTTGAACTGTTATTTTATTTAAGTTTTCAAAATAGTGCTTTGCAAGTATTGTATTTTATACCCTAAAATTTCCAAGTTATCTTTTCTGTTTGTTTTCTCATACATTTATCAGTATTTTTTACAACCAATTAAAAATTTTGTTTCTTTTTGAATGCTAAGAAAGAGGTTGAGGATGTTTTCATTAATGTACCCACCTATCAACAGAGAACCTTAATTATCAGCTTGTAGGTCATGATCACTGTGTACCTTGTGAATAAATTATGGAAGTCAAAAAATGTGTACCCTTGATTGCAGCCTCGTATATTTCCGCTAATGTTTTATTTTTTGAAAAGGAATAACTAACTGATACCTAGCTTTTCTTAAAATTTTGTGAGTATTTCACTCACTTGAGTTAGTCTTAAAATAATTTCTCTGCTGTAGTGAAATCGAAGGAAAGAACAGGTGGCTTAAACTACCTAGCACTCAACCAATTCTTTAGTTTCATGGCTTTCTGTCATTTTCTGTATATCTCTCCCTTGTGATTTAAAAATGTTTTATAAGTGTGTAAGTATTTTGTCCTACTCATTCTAAGTATGCAATATTACTGTCAAACTTTTTACCCCTAATTTATATGTAAACATATGAGTTACACAGTAGCAGTAAATATACAATTATAAAAATCTAAATGTTTGGTCCCTTAATTTTTTCCTTAGCTGGATGTACAATTGTATACTCCATGATGAATGGGATGATGATGCTTTATTATACACGGAACAGGCCTTGAGAGTTCATCGGAAAATTATATGAATCAAAAACTGCTGTTTAAAACAGGATGCCTACCCTAGTAGACTCAAAGAATGATTTATGCAGTTTAATTATTCCTTTGGTTTGACCATAAGCCAACTATCATTTTTTCTTTTCTCTTCTATCTCATTCAGAAGATTCATTCAAAATATTTTCAGAAAAACTGCTGAGGCCCAAGTGTAACAGTCACCTCAAGCAGGTGTCAACACCATCTGCGTCATCTGTAATTTTACAAGGAATGAACCCAGTTCATCAAGTATAAGTGAAGTTGGGATGAAGCTCATCATTAGACCTTAGAATAAACATAAAAGGAGGTTTCTGATAATTTAACCTCCCTCCCCCCTTTCACACTCTTCTATGAAGTATTAAATATTGATTACTTACTTGTAAGTTCTTAAAATTACCTTTACTAAAGCATTTTTATTTAGACGCCCATCTCTTTTCATGCAATTCGCTCCGAATAAGCTTTCTCTCGGTTTTTTCACTTCGCTCCGAATGAGCTTTCTCTCTGTTTTTCCACAATCCTTGCCCATGAACTAGTTTTTAGGTTTTCAACAAACTGTCTTCATGAAGTTTCAGGTTCTCACGAAATAGAGTGATTAATTCGTATTTCCCGCTTGTCAACAAGTCAGTGAGGCACGCATAACTTCAAAATCTCGGTTTCGAATTTTTATCCTTTTCCTCTCTAGAGTTCAACTAAATCTTTGTCACGAGGGTATTAAAATTAAATATCAATCAGATACTGAGATTCATTGGTCACTGACCTTAGTCAAAATTTAATGTTCGTAAAATAATTAGCTTGTCACAAAATATTTTATTTTCAGAGGTTGACAATGCTGCAAGAATCCATTGTTTACAACGTAAACCAGCTGTTCACAGAACAGATGTTGAAAAACTGTCCTGATAAAACTAAAATTTCATTGGACAATGCAGGTCACATGACGACCTAATGCGCATGTATTTACTTCAGTCTTCAGCCATATTGGAAGTATATTTATCTCTCATTACCCGTGTTTATCAGGTACTTTTTAATCGTATAATTTTAACTTTAATCAGCTCCTTCGCTCAGTGTTGAATGATTATATTCTTCTCGTGATATTCGACGATTCTGAAACAATTTGAACACCAGCCGCAGCTCAGTCAGAGTGAATTTTCAGGTTTCAAAGCGAAATGCAAGTGCCACTTTGGCTTTTATGGACAAAGCCTCTTATTCTCCCACATATCTCTTTAAAATGCTGTTTTTGTGAGGAACTCATGCAGACATCGTTCATTCCTAACTAATTTCTGAACGTCAGTTCTTCAATGCCCATGAAGTGTTTCCGAGTCCCTTCGCCGGTGTTCTTGTCTCATCTCATTTTCATCGACCACCGTTCGGTTTTCATAGCGTGTTCTCTCTTACGTGCTTTTGAGACGTGCATCTTCGGTCATCCAACTTGAATCACAGTTTTTCCCCCTTTCTGTATTATATTTTATCGTAATTTTCCGGTTACCGCCTGCTATTCTGTGTTTTTGTCGTTTCTTACGCTCGCCCCGCTTATTTCACTCGTGTTTGCGGTGTTTTGCCGACGCGAACCTTTGTTCATTTGAATTAACCTAATTTTATGATCATTCCAAAAGGTTGTCGAGAAAACACATATGTTTTTGTGCAGTGTTACGCGTGAACGTGTCTCCTCATCCATCTCGATCAGTTTGAAAGACTGATTTTCAACCAGTCTTAGATTGCCTCTTGTGTCAGTTCTTGTCCGAGGTTCATTTTATTTCTGAGTTTTCATCTGAGATCTTGCTAGAAGTCCTGCAGTTGCGCATTTTTTTATTCGCCTACAGTGGTCTAGTATCACTTGTTAGCCATCTTTTTAGTCACAATTTTCCTTTTATCAGCCTCGTTTCTAATTGATCTTGCTAGCTACGCTTTACATACTACAATGTCTCATTCTCTCATCGTTGTAGGTTGCACAAGATCTGTGTCCCTTCTGAGGCGGTCTTTCAAAACTAAAGGCTCCGTTATCCTTCTTTTTCTAGTCTTTTCTGCTCATCGCTCTGTCTTTTTCTTCCCTTTCTTTACGATTCCCTGATCTTATCTGCCCCAGTTCTTATTTCAGTCACAACCTGCATTTTGTTGTGCTCGACTGTCGCAACTCGGGTCACCTAGTAAAGATGTTGGTAGAATTTAACCGTGTATTACTTCTGTCACCTCAATTCTGTAACTGTTACTCTCTGGAGCTTATGTCTCCTGTCTGATGTCTCACTTGTCCGATCATCATATGTGATTTAGTATCTTTGAAAAGTGTCCACTTGAGCTCATGCCCAGCAGCCATTAATTTTTAGGTTATGTTCCTCTTAAGCATCTACATGTTCCGATTGTTTTCATCAAACACGACCACTGTTGTTTAGTCCAATATGAGATTACAAATTACTTTCAGCATCCTACTCATTCTCAGTTTTTGGCTGATAAAAATTGTGTTATTCAGACCTTTGAAAATTTGTAGTTTGTATCATACCGTTTTACTTCCGCTCGCTCAGTTCAACCCTCCTATCTGAATAAGTCTGCAGTGGTTTTGAAAAACTTTAGTCAATCTCAAATAGCTTCATCAGAAGTTTTTTTCTGCAACTTATCATCTTCATAATGAGGCTCCTAAAGAATTTTCAGGCAGCTATACCTCTCAGTTGAGGGTTTGAGGTTTTTTTTTTTTTTTTTAAAAAAAACAGACTGGGTTATGATTGCCTGAGAAGAAATTTTTGAGAAATTGATCAAAAAGTGAGGAAGTGTTTTGCCTTGCCATGTCATAGAGTAGCAATTCTAATTTAAACACGAGCTTAGTTCACTTTGTACTTTCAGATAATTAATTAAAAAAAGTGGCTGCCCCAGACCCATCTGCCTTCACTCTCTGTTGAACGGTATTTGCATAATTGTCTAGAAAATTTGGCAGGCCTGAGAAAATAATTATATTGTTAAGAACACTTGAATCAGTTTAGTAGCCAATATAATACAAAGAAACCTTAATTTTTGGCTTCCTAGTGGGAAGCTGGAATCGAATAACACAGAAAATGCCGGTTACTCATTTCTGAGTTAAATCTATTTGATGTGTCTACCTTGTTTATAAAAGCATTTTCATGAGGTCAAACATTTTTCAGTGTTTAATTTTTCAATCGTCGTCTAGTGATTTTTTGTCTCCACCTTCATCCTTGAAGCTTGCTTAAGTTCCTTTAATCCTGACTTCGGCTTTTTCATTTTTTCTGTTTTCAGTTTTCAAGGTGTTCGTCTAAGCTCTAAAATGACAGACTCGATGAAGTTTGGGCCAGAATGGTAACTAGATATTTATTCATTGTAACGTTTGGTACACAGCAGACCATGGGGGGGTTTTGGTAAAGCTCCAAGTCAGTTGGGCCTGACATTCTCTACTCTTTCTCCACTTAAGAAATTTAATATTTTCAGTGAAGTTCAGACGAAAAAGGGATCGTCAATTGTTAATCTTGAAAAACAATTTTTACCTGTAGTATTTTTGCATTAAAAGTTTTGCTCGTCAGGTAAAATTCTTAGACAGAGTACCAAACTACAGTCTTGTTTAAATTGAAGTTGTGGAATGTCACTTCTTGATCACAGTATTTCAATTCAAGTGGTCAACATTTTTGCAGCTACACTGAGCTTAATCCATCATTTGCTTGGTTATTTTGCAGGTTACGAAATATCACCCAAGACACATCAAGCAGCACACCGACGATGTCCGGGCCAAAGTATCAGTTGGCAGAGTTCCGCTACGGTCGTGAAGAAATGTTAGCTCTCTTCGACGAAGCGTCAGCAGCACCAGAGCCACTGAAAAATTTGTCCGGTCTTTATGTCGATAAAACACAGCCTCCTTTGGCACTTATTTCTGTCACTGATGAAGAAACGGTATGTTTGAAAATCAATATTTTCCAATGAAAGATCAACTGGACGTATTTCTATCAAACAGAACTATGTGCCAGTGAGAAATATGGGGTGTGCTCGACGAAGCTGCATAAGAAACAATGTAAAAGAGGGTGTGATTCCTTTTGAAGAATTGGAAAAGCGGGATTTTACATTCTATCAAACAGACCTATGTGCCAACTGAATGCGGGATTCATGAGCCGTGGGCATTGCAAGAGAGCGTTGTGGACAGGGCTCATGAGTTAATGATTCGGCAACGGGGCGTCGTCCCTCCCGTCGTCGCCGCTGACGTCACTGGCGCTTTATTATACTCATTCACTCTTACGGCCAGAGAACTAACGAGCACACCCCATATTTCTCACCTCCACATAGGTCTGTTTGGTAGAAATATGTCCAACTCTTGTCTTACACACTCAGATTGTAGGACTGCTAACATTCATTAGATGAGAGAGCATTAGTATTCAGAAGGTAAAGAAGAAAGTAAGTGGAAAAAAGTAGAGAAGGTTAGGAAAGGTAGGAAGCAGAGGAGATTAAGGAGAGAAATGAAAAAAAAAATTCTCTTTTTCCTATTCTTTCTTCTTTCATTCCTTTCCTCCCTCCCCCCTCCTGTTTCCTCTGCTCCTCCGTCTCTTCTTCTTGTGTTTCTTCCGATTTCTAATGCATCCATACCTGTCAAATGTCAGGAGTGCTACTCTAATTCACATGGTTTTTCCAAGCCAGAACGTTAATTTAATTAAGGATTAATTAACTTTTACATTTTTTTACTTTTATGATCTCTAGACTATTTGAGATTTATGATCCATACAGATTTTTTTTTAACCTAAACCTCAACTGATTTCCTGTTTTTGTAATTTTATTATTATTAATGTAACTTTATTATATATTTTTTTATATGATCATCTAGTTGTAAGAAGCTGTAGGTCCCAAATACTCAATACAGTCGGACTAGGGTGAATTATTAATTATTCTAAAATTTCATGGCATCCTGATGCAAAGTCTAAAATAACTTACGAAAGGTATTGTAAATTCATCCAGCATCAAAACCTGTCCGGTTTTTAGAACAGCTGGTGAGCAAGCTAGAACTGCGGCCCGATTATTGAAACTAAGTCAGCCCGATACGACAAGACATAGCCCTATCTTAACCATGCAATGTATCGCAATTCGATGTCTTATCGGGCTGCTTTAAACTTTCAATAATCGGCCCGCAGGTGAGAAGAAAATCAATTGTTCAAGTTAAGTCACGACACATAAATACTACCTTGGAGAGTGGCCAGTTAAGATTTGGCAGGTATATTGTGTGGCATTTAATAACATGACTAGGTATTGTGGTAGATGGGAACATGTAATCAAATTAACTGGGTAGAATGATCATAAATATTATCTGTGCGTCCAGCTTCTAGTGTCATTTACGTATGTGACATCAGTGAGTTTCAACATCTAACTGGAACTACTGCCTGTAAACTCACCATGAGGCTGTGAAGCAGAGCTGCAGCCTGATTGTTGAAATTTTCTGTTTGTCGGGGCGACATAGATGACATAGGTTAAAAGGAGGAGCGTGATTGGTCGGCTATGTCTTATCGCTGCTTTGTCGTGCCTTTGTCGGGTGGAATGATCGACATACTGTCGGAATGATCGACATACTGTCGGAATGATCGACATACTCTCGGAATGATCGACATACTGTCGGAAATTTAAGAGGTGCCGTTAGCTTGTCAAGAGGTCAACCCGACATAGGCACGACAAAGCAGCGATAAGACATAGCCGACCAATCACGCTCCGCCCTTTAACCTATGTCATCTATGTCGTCCCGACAAACAAACAATTTCAACAATCAGGCTGCTGATAATGTATGAAAAATGGAGCTTCATAAAGCCAATGGTGGTTTGTTCGTTCATCAAAATACCTTTAAGAGCTTCCTCAAAGTTAAAAATGTGTACTTATTAATTAATTTTGTTTCCATTATGTTTGTTGCAGCGTATGTGGAACAGAGGAATAAATAGTGATGCGGTTTTGAGGGCAAATCGAGCGGCTGGTGGAGGGCCTCTACTAGGAGGAGTTGGTCCGACAACAGCAGGCGTCAATTTAAATAGCAGTTTACTCCGTGGAGGGCGGGGAGGCTCATCTATCGACCGAGGCAGAGGTCGTAACCTGCGGGGCTCATCATTCCACTATCCACCACATCGCACCAACTATGACGAGTACTCAGATCTAATGCCATCGTTTGTTCGGTCTTCGCGACCATTCGAGAGAACTCAGGTTAGTCATTCATTCCTTGCAATAGTTTCTAAAGGTCAGTATTCTCCAGAATCTCTACCAAAGCTTAGTCTACAAGAGTGGAGCATTAAATACTGAACCAACTTTTCCTCTGCAAAATCTGCCAGAAACACAATACCTACAGGAGCTACACAGTGGTGCTTATTGATTCTAGTTAAAAGGTCCTCTTGAACTCAGAAATACTAGAGGTTCTAGGCACCTCTGGCATCAACGTTGTGATTTTTTTTTTTTTTTTTTTTTTTTTTTTTTTTTTTGCATAATTAAGTCCTCATGACAATTTTTTATTGAGGGGATTAAAAAATATATAAATATATATCACATTGAGAAATTCAATAGAAATGGTGAGTTTAATCATTAGAGGCCCCAATAGAAAAGTATGAAGAGATGAACTTCCTGCATCCCTGGAAAACCTCTAAAAAATGAGGTTGTAACATTTGGTTTTTTTCTATGCATCATGAAGTATCCAATTTTCTTTTTAAAAAATATTTTAAACATGCCTCAATTCATGGCTACTCAATCTCAAGGGATTGTTTCCATTTTTTGTCGGTTGCATTCGACTTCTCACATGATATGATTTTTGCCGAACAGAGTCAAGGGTCAGAACGGAATTGGTTGGATCGGAATGGAACAACAGAACGAAGCATGGACAGAGGTGGCAACGGAGGTGGAGGAGGGAATGAGTCCTCTGGGAGCGCCAGCGAGTGGAGTGGTGGCCTCCACTCGCAGCACCACTCTCAGCTTTCGTCGAGCCCTCGTAAGGAGTTTCCTTCGCGGAGTGGTCTTGCAGATTCCAACAACTGGCGCAAGCATAGGGGGGCTGGGGAAAGCAGTGATAGCGATGGTTGGCGAAGCACTTCCAATAACAATAATGGGTCCATGAATCAATATGACCGAAGCAGCGGAAATGAGAAATGGGGTAAGATAATATCTATCTCATCACAATTTTGAAGAAAAGAGGCAGAAGAACTTCTTCATTTTCTTAGAAGTATGCCAAAAGTGACAAAGGAAATAAATACAACTAAGTGGGAAGAAAGCTACTTGAAGTTTTCATTTTAATTTTTCAACTTTTGAACACAATATTATCAGCATTGATTAAATATGAAGATAACCATACAGAAGTTAAATTTTAATAAAATCAAACGTTTTCTCACCCAAAAAATCATCCAGATCCGACTCATCTTTTAAAAGTAAGGGTAAAGTGCTACCTCAAGTCAAACATTTCTTTAATAATCGACCCCTCATGTTGTGATTTCAGAGAGGAATAGCTGGCGAGAGCCAAGTGATCGGGTTGAGAGGGAAAGAGAAAAAGAATCAGATGACAAGGAGAGGGGTATGAAGTGGGAACGGCGCCCATGGGAAAATCATGAGAAGCGAGTGCGGCGCATGACCTGGGACTCAGCAGATGATTCACTTCCAGAATGGTAAGAAATTTCTCAATAAGCCACATAATCACATCCATATCTTGTTCCACTATTTTGATTGGTTCTCTTGTTTATATTTGTAAGTAATTTGTCACCAATCAATCATCATCTGACGACTGAATATTCAAAGCTAAAACAGATTGATAATCCCAAACAGGGAGCAGACCATGTAAGAAACCATGGCATCATGCATGTTGTTTTGGGATGACCAATATCTACGTTAATATTGGATCGAGAAACTTGGCTTTTGAATAGATCTTGTTATTCCTTCTAATTTATGAGCTAGAACCATCAAAACCTTGTTAACCTGACGTCACAAAGCGGCATTATTAAAGAGTCTACCTTAGTTTTACCCTGTTCTTGCTCTGACTCTGTGTTCAGCACAAGTGGTTGCACTACACTATTCAGTATTATCAACTGAAGTGGGCAAGAATAGATCAAATCTGGGCTGCAGAATTTGATTACCTTTCCAGGTAATGCCCCCCCCCCCCAAAAATGGACTCTTGGTCAACGTGGCAAGCACCAGGATCCATTTCAAGGTGGCTCACCTGAAATAATTTTGTAAATTTTCCTGTGACTGATTGTAATTAGGGGAGCTGATAAAAAAATTATTCAGGGTAAATTTTAGTCAAGCAGTTAAGAAATCACAAATCTGCTGTCGAAGGAGCAGTTAAAATTCCATCAGCATCAATATTCAAAACTATTTCTTGCATGTTCACCCTTGAATTTCAGGACCCTTGAGCTTGGTTTTATTAAAAATCAAGCACAGAAATGAATGAGGATTTAGCAAAGTTCTGTAGGGAAAGTGATGATGGCATTACGATTTTTGTTACGAATTCTTAGAGTGGAATCCTAATTTGTCATCCTAACTGAAGCATCGAAATTACCTTTTTGTTTTTTTCTCTCTTTTCATCAGGGCCACAGAAAACCCAAGTGAAACAGGTGGTAGTTTTGATGCATCCGGTGCATTTTACAGGGATGATGTTTATTCGGATGAAGAAGAGGTAAATCTTCCAATATTTTTATTTTATTTATATTTCTTAGATTTTTTGCCACAATTTTAATTCTGATTTGTCTCATTTAAAACTGGTGAAGTTGCCAGAGAATACATTTTTGTGACTGCATCAAATACAAATGAAACTCCTCTAACATCTGATATTCTGAATTACCGTTAGAGCTTACAATTTGTTGCAAACTAATCGAAGATAAAGATTTTTCAGTCCATGTCCAGGCTCTAAATTTCTAGACATCTATGTGAGGTAGATTTTTGACTCAAAATATTCAGGCAGGAACTTCTGCAATTCTCAACTCTTTCATGGTCATAACATGATTTTTCATTTGTTTTCAGCCACCTCGAGGGAAAGAAAATCATCTTCGGCAACATGATGAACCATTTTCTAAATCAGGTCAGCCAAGAAATCGGAGGCTGTCTTCTTGCGAAGACGAAAAACATCATTACATGGAAGACAGTCCAGAAAAAAGCAAGGCAAACAAACAACAGCAAAGAGAAGATAGCGCTTTACTGAGCAGTAGCAATAAACAGCCTTTAGAGCAAAGAAATGGTATGCCTTTTATTTTTTCTTTCAATGTAATGTAATATAATAAAATAAGGCTGTGCGAATAGTGAATTTTCCGAACGAAGGGAAAAGCGAATAATTTCGGCAACTATCCGTGAATAGCGAAGCGAATAATGAATAATTTAAGTCAATTATTCACAGCTACGAATAGTAAAACGAATAATTGGAAATGACTTTCGTAAGTGTGAAAATTCGCGAATATTACAAAAGTCGACAAAAATAAATGTGACTAATTTTTAAGAATTTTCCATTTGCTCGTACGCCTGCCCAGAAAACAATTAAATGCTATTATAGTAGCCTAGGCTGTTAAGAATTTGTTCGAAGATCCCTGGATGCTGGCTTGACTGTCCCTGCAGTTACGTATGTATTTCCAGGATTTGAGGGTAACTGCACGGGCAGTCGAGCTAGTATAGAAGGATCACTAGACACATTTCAGTATTTTATTCTTTTCGCTGTAAATAAATGTGTTTATGAACTTTTTTTTTTCAATTTCAGAAATTTCTGTGCCTTTCAATCCTTAATTTGGGCTCTTTGCTTATTCCCCCAAATGCAATCGCGCTCGCTGTTCGTAAACTCGGCAGAGTCGGTAAAGATCAAAGGGGATCCGCCGTTCGCGATGTCTCGGGTGGAAGCGGAAGCCTTGCGCAGGTCCTCGCAATGTTTCACGATTGCCACTTGGAATTGTCACGTCACTTTTGATGGCGCGAATATTTGAAAATTCATTCCTCGTGACAGCGCAAATATTTGAAAATGTCAGTTCAAAAATTCACTATTCGCGATGGCGCGATTATTCGCAATTTGCGAATAGTGCGCAAGGCAGACAAAGCGAATATTCGCGGCGCGAATAGTCAGAATTGCGAATATTCGCACAGCCCTAATAATAATAATAAGTGCTCAACACTTTAGACTTCATCGAGGCGCAACTCAAATAACAGAGATTTTAGGGGTTTTTCGGCAGATCACAGTTTATTCATTTATTTACGACATTCAAACAGAACTAACTCTTGTTAACTTCTTAATTCTCCACAAAAACTCTTCAAAACAGTTTCATCGATCCGGAATGTATGCAGCTTTCCAATGGATTCCCCTCTTCACAAGAAAACTCCTAAAATCTAACTCTTTCAATTTCTTTGTGGTAAACTGTAAAGCCTGGTAAAAATGCAAAAAAAACTTCAGTTACTACAAAACTCCCTCAAAATCTACAAAATCTTTAGAATAAAAGAAGACTTAATGACTTAAGACTGCATAGTTGGACGTGTACACTTGGTTGTTTTCTTCTGAAGAACTCTGTTTTTCTGGTTCTCTCTAATCTTTTAAAAGTTTCATAATATATTTCTGCACCCAAAACATTATTGAAGCCTTTTTAAATTTAAATATTTTCCTTTAAAAGTTTTACAGGAGTGACACCCCCTAATAAAGGAGCATTTTGCGCTGACTCTAATAATGTGATGTTGTATGCTCAGCTATATATTTTACAAAATATATCTAATTTTGCAACATTAGTATTTCCTGTTAATGTACTAATAAACTAACGTTTCATTTCAATAAGCTTTAAATTACTCAACTGCTGATACATTTAACACCTTTACTTCTTCAACAGGGTTATCGATGGACTCTTAGAGGTAGTAGGCCTTAATGATAGGCCTCTTTGAGAGAGTAGTGTAAGGTTATCATTTTATATCATTAAATATAGGAGCTTAAAAATGGCGAAAGAAGTTTCATTCTTTGTATTCAGATTATGAAACGTCAGATTTGTTGAAAACTCACTAAAATTGCGTGACGTTCTGAATGATTAAATTCTAGTTTTAATGAACCACTAGACACTGTCAGCAATAAAATATCGTAGTATGTTTTTCATCAAAATAACATGCACAACACTTTGAACATTTTCAATTTTAACTTATGAGTGAGTAATAGGTATTGTCTGTTCAGTTGCTTTAAACTTCTACTTTTTGGAGGAAATGGAAGTCTACTAGATGGTAAGCGAAGTCCAGCTGAGTGTTCTTTCTTGTTTATGACAGTGTGCAGCATTCTTTACATTGATTCTTTAAAAATAATGCTCATGTTTCTCCATCTCTATTTCAGACAATCAGTCAGTCGACCAGCCCTCAGTGCCGTTCCATCGAAGTAACTCAAAGCCTGAAACAGTATCACCTAAAAAATCGCCAACAGTTCAAAACAGTAGCCAGATTGCCTACAACAGCAATAGTAGTAGTAGTCCTAACTCCTCGCAAGCTCTGAAGCATTCTCAAAGCGCCAGTAACCTAAGCAACCCACTAGCCTCTCCCTCCTCACAATCTGTTCCTGTTGCACAGAACTCAGTGCCCCTGCGAAATGCCACTGCTATGAACTCTGCACCATCAATGGGCAATGACTTGAACAGCAAACCACTCCCATCGATGGGTATCACCAAGTCTGAGTCTACTTCCAAAGTTCCTAACCCCGTTCATAATACGCTTCTTCATAACTCCTCAGCACCTTCATTAACTTGTTACACCAGCCTCACAGATAGGTATCAAAGCGGGAATGGTGTGCCCTCCCTCTCACAAGTTTACAACAATAAAGAGGCAGGTGACAGGCACCTGCCTAAAGCAGATGAAACTTTTGCTCGGATGCAAGAAGTAGCGGATGACATTGTTGCCAAGCTTGTGACAGATGATGAGGATGTGCCGCCTACGGTGCAGCAAGTAGCCGCCCCAGTCAAGATGCCTGTGACGAATAGATGGTACTATCGAGATCCTCAAGGAGCTCGACAAGGTATACCTTTTTTTAAAAAATTTGATTTTGATGAACTACTGCGGAACTTACAATACATTTTGGAGTCCGGCACCCCTCCCAACTCCTATCCCATAATTTTCGTTCCAGCAAGACCAGCCGTTAACTTTGAATAGCAAGCATAACAACCTCTATTTGTATTTCAAAATTTTATTTTGATGGACTGTCAAGTTTCTGAGCGAACATAGAGTTATAATTTGTCTTTCTCTGTCAGTTCATCACTGAATGGTCACCTTTATCATAGTGTCACTGCCAGGTCATATAATTTTAATTCTGTCATGACGCCAGAAATTCAGTGTCCAGCTTACCAATGGTTAAGTTTCTGATGCATGGTGGTCACTTTTATCATCGACCAATTTTAAGTGGAAGGAGAGTTAAAATATGAATCTTTCGACTAAAAGTTTTAGGAAGGCCTCCTGTTATCTTCATGGTGGCACTTATTCTGGAGGAATCTTTTTATAGTGAATGTGTTAGTTAGTGTCTGTCCCATAAGTATTAGATTTCGATTCAGTGTTCTACCGTGTAATCAAATCAGTGATTTTCTTGATCAAAAGTTTAATAGGAAGAGCTCTTATCTGGGTCACAACTACTTAAATTTTAATGAAAAAAGATTAATACTTTTTAATGTTTAGCACACTCTCAATGAAGTAGGAAACCTGGTAGGAAATTGAACACTGCATGTCCTTTTAATACAATTTTGTAGAGTAAACAATGAAAGCAAAAAAGATGTTGAAAATCGTCTCTTCCGTTAGAAACGAGTGTTTTCTGAGGATCTTGAATTGAAATATCTTATCCATCAAACAACTAAAACCTCTTTTACGCTTAAGCTGTTTAGCAAATTTGACTAGAATTAATTGTTTCTCTTTTCAGGTCCATTTTCTTCTACAGAAATGGCAGAATGGTTTAAATCAGGCTATTTTCAAGTAAACCTTCTTGTCCGGAGAGAATGTGATGAGACATATGCACCCCTAGGTGAACTGATGAAGCTGTGGGGCAGAGTGCCATTTTTGGCGGACAATATACACCCACCAATTAAAAGTCAAGTAGATCCGGCACTTGGTATTCCGTCCTTGAAGGCTGGAGTGGGCGCACAGCTGCCTTTGATCAACTGCGTAAAGCCACCTGAGACTGGACCCACTCAGTATTCTCCAACGATGGGAGTTCCACAAATGGAGGATGAATTTCAATACCAGTATCGTCAATTAATGCTTAGGCAACAAGCAGTTGCGTTCCAAAGTGTTTTAAGTAAATTATCGCAAACCGAAAGGTGGAACACGCTGACAACTGCGCAACAACAAGAGGTAAGTTCTTTAACTGTCTGATTAAATTACTATTTTTTTTTAAGATTATCAACAATGAGAGTTGCCTATTTCTATCTAATTGAATTTTTTTTTTTTCAAAAGTAGATTATGAACATAAACATTGATCTAGATGATTACTACTATTACATTGCATGTTGAAACTTAGAATTTGAACAGTTCTATTCCTATTACATCTTCCTAATTCCTAATATCCAACCAATATTTATGTGTTAACTTAATCATTTATTTTAATCACAGCACGGGAACAAAGTCCAAAATACAGAAATAGCTACTTTATTAAAGAGAAAATCATGAAAACAGCAACAATTATCTTTAGCAAGTAAAATGAAAAGTCTAACCAAAGAGAAATAGTTCAAAATTGTGCCACAGCACTGAACTGCAAGGCCTACCCCCTTGCCAGGAACTTGAACGTTAGTTTCAATAACCCCACGTAATCCTAACTCCTCTCTTTCATTCAGCTCCCATACAAGGGTTCAATACCCAAACAGGGTTAAAAGAACCGAAAAAATTTTTTAAAAAAAACTTTAAAGGGCGGCAGAATAAGGCACTCCCGCGATTCCAGTGGCAACTTGTTCCATGCACTGACCACTTTACAGCTAGTTAAGTAATGATGAAAATTAGACCTTGATCGTCCCTCCATGAAGACTGTTCCTGCAGGGGTGCAAAATGTGCTGGATCATGTGATCAGTGGATTGCTTGATCAGTGAGGGAATTTTTGGGAAAGTGGGGAAGTTTTTGTCCAAAACAACACCAATAAAATTTTCAGAGAAAATTCTGAAAATTTATCAATCTTTTCGACTTTTCGGGAGTCGTTACAAGCAAATTCTCAGAAGTGAAAAGCGGGAGTTAAAAAGACATCACCTTGAAACATTTGAGAAAGTGAAAAAAGTTTTAGGATTTGAGTGAGGAAAAAATGTCGGATCACAAGAAACGTTTAACGAATGGCACTTAGTAAACCCCCGTGTCATTGTTTCTCATTTGAGACTCGGTGACTTGTGTTTAGTGAACATTGAATATATCTCTTATGTTCACTTTTGTTTCCTTTTGTAGCTAATAGTGCAACAAATGAATAACTCAGACATGACGGTGCTACCCCCATTACATAATCCAAGTTTTGTGGTACCGCCAGAGCCGATTCAGCAGCCCCAACCGCAACCACCACCAACCCAACAAACAACCGTACCACCTAGCAACCCCCTGATGAACCTCTTGGCTCAGATGGGACTTCCAGTCTCGCACGAGGCACCAGCGTCAACGCAAATGAGTCCAATCCCTCAACAGCCGCCGCAACCTCAATCCCTCCATCATCACCAACCACAACCGCAGTCGCAGTCCTCGTCATTAGATCCGTGGCAGCAGTTCATCCAAAAGCTCAACACAAACAATCTCGGAGGATTCTCCTCTCCTGCGCATCACTTAGGTGGAATGACGCCGATGCCACAACCTCCACCCCCGCAGCCCACTCTTCAACAGTCTCTCTCAACTAGCTTACATTCTCACTCACCGTCTACCAATTTGTTGTCAGGCATGCCTGACGATGTTTCACAGACTGATCTTGATCCTGTTCAAAGGCTCTTGCGCCAACTGGGAATCCAGCATCAAGTGCCTCCGTCCCAACAGCAATCCACTAATAAAGTAAGTAATTCAACTAACATTTATTCATTTGTATTTTTTTTTTAGTCTCAGTGCTCAAAAGTAAAAAGACTCCACATTAAAAGAGAAATAGAATTTTATTTTCAACCCTTCAGACTTTCAGCGCCATAGTGGTTTTGCTTATGGGTTGGAAAAACACGCTCAAAAACAGCAAGATTCAAACGCTTCAAACCACAGTCTCCGCAATTGTTGCAAGGCTAGAGGTTCCTTTTTGTTTTGTACGTAATCAGCACTCTACAGTTGACCTCTTGGAAGACCTGCAGTCAGTGCTTCCCTTGCAATCATCAATGCATTGTAAACGCAACATTATCAACGTTGATCATTGTGACTGCTCAACGAAAGTGCTATCATTATGACTGCGTTGGCAGTGAACATGTTAAGTAATGAAGATTAGTTGGCATACTCAATTCTGGGGCAGCTGTAGTCTCAGAGCCACAAGTATCTATCTTGGATGAAAAAAGTCACCATGACTGATATGTTATGCAGCATGTTTTCATTGCAGAACAAAGTGCTACAAGCGCTCATGCTGGACTGTCATGAGGATCAATGTGAAGCAAATTTTATGACTGCAATTAACTGTGATGGTAGTATTATCTTTGTGATAATCATCGATAACACTGCTGTCAACCTTCCCGTTTCAGTACTTTCATTTTGGTCTGGAAGGGATAAATGAACAACAAACATTGGTAGGGAATGTGGGATTTTGTGGAATTTCATGTATCTAGCTCCGATACAAATTACCTTTTCAAAGGTAATCATTGGTATATGAGAAATAGCTTGCATTTGTCATATACGTACCCGATGTTATATTTCCACTAAAGTTTCTGCTTTTCACTCTGGATGTGTAAAACTCTCTCTGGGGAAGTGAAGGAAGGGAGACTTTGTTGACTTCATTTTTAGTTTCAAGACATCACTTGTTTACTTAAGTATAGAATTTAAATAGTTAAACTCCAGCCTCAGGTAACATCATCAGATGACTTGTGGGTGACACAATAGGCCCAGCTTGACAAGTTGTGTGAAAATACACCAGTGTTTTACATTTTTTCAATTAATCACGCACAGAAAGGAATTGAAATAATCTTAATAAACTAATTTTTTCAGGTCGATAGTTTATGGGGTAGTCTAAACTCAAATTTGGGTTCTTCCCCCACAAGTTGGATGCCTTCTCAGCCTCTACCTGCACAGTCTTCTTCCATATGGGGTGATCATACTCCGAAAGTCATGAAAACTGAGCAGGAAGTTATTGTAAGTATTTATCCTTTAAATACTTTTTCTTTTTACATCAAGAAAGGTAGATGATGAAAATCCTTGAGATTGCTCTGTGCCAATGCAATAAAGTACATTCCGGTTTTTGATGGACTCTTGCGATGACATTTATTTTTCATGTATTTCCCAATCTGTTTTAGTGTTTTCATCGCACACAATGTTTGCTCATCAGCTGTCTGTGACTGACCAATTTTTGACTCTCTTAATATCAGTATTTATAACAGTCTTGGTCAAGGCAGTTTTTTTGTTTTTTTTATTTTTTTATTTATGGAGGCAACTGGGAGCACAGTTCCTCATTTTATTTTTGCATTTCAAACGTTTTAATTTTAAAGGATAGGGTTTTTTTTGGGTAAAATTTCAATATTTCCATGCTGCTTTGGAGTTTTCATGTTTGCCTGGCTGAAATAATTACTCTCTCGTGCTCTGTGCAGCAATTCTCATTTTTAATTAGTTAAAAATAATATGTTACATGACAGAGAGAAAATAAACAAGATTAATGGACAGGAATTTCCTGATATACATTCATTTTTTATTTTGTTTCTCAGTGCCACATAATAGTCTGTGTTTACTTTCCTATTTCAGAAAGAACAGTTGCAGCATGTGGAGGAAACCAAGAAAATAGAAAAATTAAGGTAAGGAATAGTTAAAAGCCAAAAATCATTGATGAAATTCTGTTTAAGTGCAGTCCAGTCCAATTTCCTTGCAAGAGCATTTTTTTTTGAAGTCCTATTTTAAATTTACACCGCACTTGAAGAAAGGAAACAATGATTAATGTCCAATGTTAGGCTCTATCAAAAAGAAAGAAAAGAAAAGACATCAAACAATATGAAAAACTATTTATGCAACATTCTTGACTTTTTTCAAAACTGATCGCATTGTTTTTACACAGTTGTTCAAAACACTGTTGCTAAACAACAAAAACATTGTTTCTACAGTAATCCAACTCAATGAAGTGTGAATTGTTACTAATTCTAATTTTTTACTATAGTTAATTCAAGCTGTCTGTAAATGCTCCTTTTCCCAGAGAAGAATACTTCAATAAGCGAGAGATCCGTTTTTATGATTTTTTCAATTGTTTTATAATTTGACAATTGTTTTACTGGTATTTTTGCATAGGAAACAACAAGAAAAAGAAAAATTAAAGAAGCTAGAAGAAGAAGCAAACAAGAAGGCAACTGAGGATAAAAAGAAAAAGGTTGAAGAAAAGAAGAAGAAAGAGACAGAAACGAAAGAGAAGAAGAAACAGGAAGAAGATAAGAAGAAGAAGCTAGAAGAAGTAAGTTAATAGTTAAAATCCTACCTTTTGCACTGGAGCTCAGGAGAGGAGAGTAATCAAGGAGATGTCCTTGATTGTTTTTTTGAAGTTTTGTAATTTTAATAATTCATTAAAATATATACTGCCGTGCTCAGGAAGAACGCTGTATGAACATTCGAGAGTTGCCAAATTTCCCGTGATAAAACATGTATTTTTGACGACATTTATGCATATTTTTCCTGGAAATTTTCAGATGTTTTAGATTAAATTGCGTGCAAAATTGTCTGAAAATTTCGGAAAATAATGTACGCAATTTTCCCAGTAATTTTGGTTTTTATCGGAGGAAACTTGGCAACGTCTAAAGGCTCATACGGCGTTTTTCCTTAGCACGGCAGTATACCAGAAAATGCATATTATGAAGAATTAACATTTTTTTATTTTTGTAAGTGACAAACTTTCGGGAGAATACATCTGTTTGGCCAGAAGAGCATATTTTAGTTTGAGTTGTTGATCCATCAAGCAAAAACGGGTGGATCATAAGATTTTGTATTTTTCTTTGACGCTATCATAATCTATCGCAACAAAATAGGTAGATGGTGGAATTCTTGCTAACGTTGGAGCTAAAAGTAAATCTTGGAAAGTAGGAAATGACCCAATGTGGATGGTGGCATCCAACCAGCACCAATTTCGAAAGCCTAACTTCAAATATTTCAGAGCATCACATCAAATAGTAACAGAATTTAACTATTATCAAATTCCTTGGTTTTCTGTGCAGGGTCCTTTGATAAAATATGGCTTTTTACTTTTCCTCATAAAAATTTTTTCTTCTTTTCTAGGAAACAAAAAAGAAAGAAGAAGACAAAAAACGCAAAGATGAAGAAAAGAAGAAGAAAGAGGATGATAAAAAGAAAAAAGAAGATGAGAAACGAAAGAAAGAAGAAAAGGATAAAAAGAAGAAGCAAAATGAGGAAGACAAAGATAAGAAAAAACCTGATGACGATAAAAAGAAGTGTGTATACTTAAGATTATATTAATACCATAGAAATAAATTTAAATCTTCATCTTGGAGCTCTTGTTGTATGTATAATAGCTAGTACAGATGCCGAAAGAAACCAGAAATAGGATGGATTCAATAAAATCAACAAACCTAACGACACAAGACATTGCCTAATTTCCTCTGACATTTTATTTTTAAATGAAACAATCGAGCAACACAAAGACTTCAAATTTTGCAAGTATATTCTTTTACTATTTAGAAGAAATTTACAGAAAGTTTGATGATATCAGGTGGTTTAGTTACCTGTTAAAAAACCAATTATGTGAGGAAATTAAGCACTGTCGAATGCAGTCAGACCAGTGGCAATTTTGCAAGTTGGCAATACTGTTTTTTCTCTATTTATGCCCATTCAAAATATTGATTTTAGGTGAGGGAAGCTTCCTCAACAAGAATTGATAATTTTACATTCATTTAAATGGTGGATCAATAGTGTTATCGACTCTCTAGAATCACCCCTGAGTCAGACTGATTCTGGTTGAGTCCTTCCAGTTGGACTACATTTTGCAATTAGGAACTACTATAATTTCTGGCTCATCCGTAAAAACTTTTATCTACGTTGGGAAATTAACGGCACAAATGTTGTTTCTAAACTGAGCCAGAAATTGTAGTTTGGGGTTGCAAAATCTAGTCCAAATGTAGTCCAATTGACATTCAAAGCTACAAGCTCAAATACCAATCTAAACTCTTAACTCTATACTGATTGTTCCTCTTAGTATGCTTCAATATGTTCCATATCAGCATGTTCTTATGTGTCTGCTCCAATAACACCCAAAACACAAGATAAAAGTAGGGACTGAACAAACAATTGAAAAATATTCAAAACTAGTGTAGAACATGTTTTTACTCCGAAGCTATGAACGCAACTGAATGCCATAGAAACATCTAATTGCTCTCTAGCTTAGCTTTGGTCCCGTGAGCATGGAATCATAGAATGACTTTGAACATTTCATGATTGATGTACGAGTGACTTGGGATAGCGTCTAAAACTTCGGAGCCGCTGTCTACCCAGCCCGCCCTCCCATTTGCAGTTACCTTTTAAAGTGAGACCCTGCTGGAAATGACCCAACTTATGCTGATGTAATTACTATGATTCCCATCCTTTTCCAATCTTTAACACCTTATATAGGTAGTGATAAAAAAAAAAAAAAAAAAAAAAAAAAAAAAAAAAAACCACACTTATTTTCAACTCACAAAATACTTAATGTTTTTTTTTTGCTTTCCCTACAATCGATTTAATTCATATTTTCTTCCTCATAACTCTATTTTTGTAATTTTAGGAAAGATAATGAGTCCAAGCGGAAGGATGAAGACCAAAAGGAAGGTATTAAAAGGGTAGAAAATGATAAAAGCCTGTCTGAAAACTCCAAGAGTCAAGATCAGAAGGGGGCTGGGCCAGTAAAACAACCCTGGAGCAGCCAAACTATCGCAACACCTAGCTTAGCTGATATTCAAAAAATTGAACGAGAGAAGAAAATTGTGAGTTCTAATTATTTCCTTGTTTTTTTTTTTTCTTTTCCCATTTTTCTTAGCTTGTATTTGGTTGAAAAATATGCTGGAATCTTCCTCAATTGGATTAGAAAGGATAAAAAAATAACATTATCCATCTGCTTCTTCGAAGGCCCTCATTTGTTGAGAGTTTAAATACTGAATATTTTACTCCTTCAGAAATGGAAAGGAAAGAAATCTCAATCAATTGAAAAAGGACAGTTAAAATACTTTATTTGCTATTTTCTCAGAGGCTTCTATCCAGAATTGAAACTTAAAAACTTCATTAAAGAAGGAATTAGGAGAAGTAAATTGACGCAGCTTTCGCCAAATTTCAGTCAAATAAAGATCTTGAGAACTTAAATTAATAAACCGCTTCATCCTGAAAACTGAGCTGGTCCTAATTATTTCCTTAGACTTTTTTAAAGGACTGTAATAATTTCGGAGCTTGATGTTCATTTAGCAATAGCTAACCACTTGTTCATTGAAAAATAATACAATAGTCAAAATGTGCATAAAATGCAAAGTAATTACTGGGGCAGAGTTAAACTGTCATGCTGGCGCGCATCTGTCTCCACTAAAATGCATGCATTATGGTATGGTTTATTTCCCTCGTTTGCCTTCAAAAGAGACTAGCCTGCCACCTTTGATGAGAACTTGGCAGCATTCCACTAAAAAATTAACAAAATCATCGGGAAACAGAGGAAAAAATCAAAAGGTGGCCAATGTCCCCTCATGAACTGCCTTGTATTCACCAGGAAGAATAGTCCTTCTTTACAAAATTTTCTCCCTGTATTTTACAACATTTTTTCTTTTTTGAAGAAAAGTGTCTCATTAGTTGGTAAAATTTTGTTGTAGAAGCAGCAAATGAAAGAACAGCAACAATTAGCAGAGATGGCAGCAGCCAGGAGCGCAAACCCCGAACCACCTCAAACTGGTTTCCAGCTCAAATGGGCAGAGACCAAAAATCCACCGACTGTTGTTAAATCATTAGCAGAAATTCAAGCAGAAGAGCAAAAACAATTAGCCAAGGTAATTGTACCCTCCTACCTGTTTGTGTATCACTTTTCCATCTTCTTCATGGGGGTGGTATCAACCAAAATTTGCCTAACTTCTTTACGCATTGTTTAATATATATCCTCCTCACTGCAGCTACATTCATGACTACACAACCTTCCTGCTGTAAATGGTCTATGCCATAATGAATTCTCAGCAGCTGCACGGACCATGTATCAAGGCAGAAGGGTCGTGCGTTCAAAACTGCACCCAGAGCAGGAAGGATATTTTCAGACATCGTTAATATTATGGCTTCCTCGGCGATGTACGCTTAGATGAAAACTTGAATTACTCAACTTTAAACTCATTTTTTGAGGGTTACTATCACTTCATAAACCTGGAAAAATTCCTTTGAATTAAATGCACTCTCTTTTTTTTAAATGCAAGAATTAAATTTAACTGAAGAAGCTCATCGTCAAAATTAACCTCCCTGGATACGCTAGATTGAGCCGTTGCATCAAGTTTGTACGTCTTTATATCGCACTGCGTCTTTAGGAATTCTGGAAAATACATGTAAAGTTCAAGGAAATCAGAGGGAACTTTGAAGTTGAAATTAAGTGACAACCCTGCAAGACTCCTTTATAGATCTGTGTCGATTGCTCTCACTTACATAACTATAATACTATCTACTTTTGTTCTAATGATATGAACTTGATCAGTTTTAATCAGAAGATTTTTCTTTCTTTCTTTTTTTTTTAAACCCTGCAGCAGTTAGAACGAGAACGAGCGGAGAGGTTACAGCAAGCGAAAGAAGTGCAAATTCCTGCCTCATCCTGCATATGGGCCAATCAAAATTTAACTTGGAATACCAACCAGCATAATTCAGTCTGGGGTCAGTTGCAAATTATTCTACTTTGAAAATTACTTAATCACTCTAATTTACAGGTCACTTAAATTTGAGTCATCATTTTCCCAGTCTTGATGATCAAATAAGACGGCTTGCATCAAGATGCTTTTCCCATGTTTGCATGCAGCCAAATGTCTTACACTCTCAAAGCACTAGTCCTAGGTAGACTCAATACCGAATATTTTACTGATCGGAGCCGTCCGCCAAAATGTGACTAGTATGTAAGGTTTTGTGTATTTTTCATGTATGACTTTTTGAAGAGTTCTGTGATGAATATTGGTAAAGCCTCCTCCCTTTTGTCGCCAATCTTCAAATGTTTATGCACTCTAATGGACGATTTAAGTCCTATTTCTTATGTATAATTTCGGGGAAACATGATGTTGTCCCTGGTTTTCTGTTACATGAACTCTTATATACGAAAAATGCTCTTAAAGTTGAGGCTGTATTGGAGGGGATCTAGCCGCTACCTAGCCGATCCGAACGCTATGCCAAGATTCCACCGCTAAATCTAGTTCAATTCTCCGTGCACAGATAGGGAGCAAATACATTATCAGGGTTGCCACTCTGCCTGGGGACTCTTGAGCTGGAGCCACTGCAACCCTGCTCATGTATTTGCTCCTTATCTGTGCATAGAGAATGTGACTAGACAGAGAGGTGGACTCTCAGCATAGCTTGGGGGATCCCCTCCTTTACGGCCTTAACTTGGAGAGGTTATTTGAGTTTATGAGTTCGTCTCACAGAAAACCAACAGCACCATTGTGTTTTTTGCCAAACATGACATAAGGAAGAGTAATTTAATTGCAAATCCCTCACACATGCAAGAGCTCCACTTAACCTATCAAGTATATATGTACATTTTAAAAAAAGGGTGAAAATTGTATAAATAAGTTTGCCACATATTTTTCCTCCTCTCTGATGCCAACTCTCCACGAAAAATGTCAAATGCTAAAAATGCCAAAAATCAGATTAATTGTCAAGGAAGAGTATAATTTTTATTTTAATGTATGAAGCCTCATATGCAAGAACAAAGGATGCCGCATTTTTAAGTTTTGAGAAAATCGCATTTAAAGTTTTCGAAGCTGTCACGTTGTCCATGCCGCAAATAGGGTTTGGTCAAGGAATTTACTTTAGAACAAATCCTCCCCTAAAAAATGAGCTTTAGAAATTTAAATTTAAAGCAAATGTCAATTAGATAAAGTGATTTTAAAAAAAGACCACATCCTTTGCTTTTACGGACAACTTTTTTTAGGCATACAAGAAGCAAAACACCTTATAAAGTAAAAAATGTACTTGTTCTTGACATTTAGGCGTGGCAATTTATTGCAGCAAATTAAATGGATTAAATTTAATCTAAACCATGATTGAGTTAAAGGTAGTAGATCTACCTAAAAAATAAGAACGATGTTTAATTCATGAGCCAACTAACCTTTATTGCTTGTATTAGGTTAGCTGAATCTCTAGTGATCTTTTTTCTTGCAGCTGTCCAGTCATGTTTTTTTTTTTTTCCAAGTCTTTTTTCACTCACTTTTTGAAGGCAATCAAACCACACTCCCTGGTCAAAGTATATTTTTGTATCCTTAATTTTTCCCTTGTAATTTCAGGTTCAAATCCACCTGCAAACAATTCCTCTGGATTCTGGGACAATATTGCTAACAATACAAGTAATTCGAAACCTAGCACCAATATATCTGCCCCCGGCACAGGAAACGTGAAGGCAGCTACCAACGCAGTTAACAAATCTCAAAAAACTAGTAGCACCGTTTCATCAGGGACTGTAGTAACAAATAGCAACAACTCAGCTGTGACTAATAATAAAAATGTCACTAATAGTAACAATAGTGCAAAGGCGACCAAAGGGAATAAGCAGAAGGAAACAAACATGTCTCCCAAAGCAACCCCCCTGAGGCCTGCCAAAAATGATGAATTTAGTCAGTGGTGCCACAAGGCTATTTCTAATATCAAGACTTCCGTTGATGGTAAGTACCTTCCGTGAGAGTATGTAGCAGCGTTCAGAAAAACTTGTGGTGTCCTCTATCTTCCATCAGAAATTAAAATAATTCTTTGCCACCATAGTGACTAGCAAATTGCTTGCATCAGTGCCCTCCTGAAAGCCTTAAAGATTTGGTGGCTGAAATATTTCTTCTTTTTTTTATTTGTGGCTTTAGCTATACTAAAGGTACTCATTTTAGTTACGCTTAGCGAGTTATTCACAATGAATTCAAAGGTAGAACTACAAGTTGTTGTTCTACTACTTAAGAATATGAGAAGATGATTAGAAGACTAGTTAAATTATCTTCAAATTAATAATTTACGAAGTTCAGACTACTTGGTGTTTAAAATTTATTGCCCCCATTTCCTTACCAACATGTTTTTCTACTTGTACTCCTGCGTGACCAGGGTTTTCATCAAACTTTTGACCCAGGGGCAAAATGCAATGATAGTGACTTCTTGGATGTGTTCATAATTAGGGTGGATTGCATGGTGATTAATTTTCAGTGAAATATTTCATGAAATTTCACTAGGCCGTGAAGTATGTTCTGTTTTTTATGGGCTAGGGTATGCAACCTGCACTTTAATACACTGATTATGCCATAATCACATGCTTGAAAACTGGAGGCACACTGGTGCGGCCATAGTCTATCTTGAATGTGAAAAAAATTCCTATTTTATTACTGGCATTTTGCCTGGCATACAATTACCAATGAAATTCTATCTGATAAAGTGATTTGTGCTAAAACATTAAAGCTATATTTTCATGCTTTTCTTTTTCCTGCAGTGCCAACTTTTGTAGGTTTTTTGCGTGATATTGAATCTCCATTTGAAGTTAAAGATTACTGTAAAGCTTACCTCGGTGATAGTAAGGAGGCAAGCGAATTTGCAAGACAATTTATTGAGCGGCGGTCTAAATGGCGTGCCAAAATGACCAACAAGAACACTCCTGCTGATGACATCTCTGCTCCTGCTCCTGCTTTGCCAGCTGAATTCACAGAGGTCAAGGTATGTTTTATAGGGGTCTATTTTTTCATCAATTTTTTGTGCATTTGGTGGTTCAATAAGCAGCACATTGGAGATTATCAATTAATATTGCATGGCCTTGTCTATTGGATGGCTCAGTTGAAAGTGAGGCAAGCCTCATTTGAAAATTCATCACCCTTCGGATGCACCTTTTCTGGGTATGCAGGCAAAAAAAAAATACAATGAAATTGGAGGTGTGTTGATAATAGGGAAGTTCCTTGATGTATTCTGTTGCTTTTAAACATGTTCTCCCTCTAACTTTCACTATAATTAACGATGGTATTCCACACATTTGTATCATAATTCAAGTCAGAATAGTATTTCTAGCCATCACAAATCTTTTTTCTTTGTTTCTCCTGTAAAGTTGGAACTTTGTCCCCAAAATATTCTGCCCAGAAAGAGACAACTCGTAATATTTTTAAGTGTAACAAGCATTTGCAAGATTAATGAAACACTTCTGTCGTTACGTATTTATTTCAAAATTACTTTTTCCTTTTTCAGGGTAAAAACAAAAAAACAAAGAAGAAGCCTACCAAGGTTGACAGCCGAATCCTAGGTTTTGTTGCTCATGATCGCATCAGCACTGGGGACAGTTATGGAGCTGACTGAACCATAAATTCTTAACCGTAAGCATTTACAGTTCCTCTACATTGGTGCAGTTCTTTGACTTATGCCCAACTCTATTTATCATCCCTGTTATCATCTTTTTTTGTTGGTTTTATTCACCTAGAGATAAAGCATTATTTTGGAAATGTGATATCTCTTGTCAAATTTTGCTTGTTTTAAATGTAGCTTCGCATTAGGAAAAATCAAACTTACAACAAGAGCTGCTTACCGTTTCTTACCTGAACCATTACACATAAGCAGGAAAAAATAATTACATGACACCATGTGTCGTAGGATTAATGCTCATTAATATAAAAGAGTATTCCAATAAGTAAGTTTTGCTGATTTTTTTTTTTTTTAAAAAATAATTTTAGCTTAACTGTACATAACATATTATTGTTGACTATGTTTTTAGCTTTGAAATAAGCTGAAGATTTTAGTATGTAAGTGCTATCCTCTGCATGCTTTTGTGGTGATGTTTTGTTTTGGACACACAGCAAACAAACTTTGAAATTAAAAATTGACAGAAATGGCATTATCTTTCATAGAAGCACACCTTTCATCGGCTCTCTGGCGGAATCATGTCCCTTACAGCTGATTTGTCCGAAACAATATCTATTTTTCTGCACTAAAGGCTTCCTCATGGGTCTTGGTCTGGAAAACCTAGACCTGCAAAAAGAATAGATGGAAGCTGAAAAATAGGCCAATCACCAGTTCAACTTATTTTAAAGCTGAAAGTATTAATGTCAGATACTTCCTTATAGCTTTGCTATATTTATTATAGGTGTAGGTGGGGGGAGGGGGTGTAGAATGGCAAAACTTACTTACTGGTATACCTGCATACATTCTGTTGGGGCAGCATCAAATGTAAAATGCAACCTAAAACGTTGGAATGCATTATTTTTTTCCCCCACAGATTTCGCTTCAAAAATTTATTTTATGAACTAGCAAAAATTGCCCAGCAATCAAAGTGTTACTTATTGAATTCCTGTTTTCTATTGGCTAATGTTGCAGCCCCTTGCAGTCAGTTCTTTTTCTCTTTGCTGTTTTTGATGTTGGGCTAAAGATGTCTGACCCAATTTTTTTGACATTAGTTTCAAGGAAGAATACCACACCAGTACTTTCCACTTAATAAAACTATGTTCAAAGAAAGTGAATCGATGAGACAAGTATTTTATGTCAAGCTGTGTTCACTCTGTAATCAATTAAAATATTGAGATCTGTCATTAAATGATTCTAGGTGTTGAAATCAGTTTATTTATTTAGTTTGGGCAGCAATATGTAACAGATGTCACTCAGATAACAGCTTCTCAAATTTTTTCTCAGGCCTCATCACAGCCATATGAATTTCAACGCAATCCATCATCATGCTGCGTGAACATTTTTGTGTGGGGTTCATGACTCTGTCATCATTCATAACACATTTATAAAGTCCTCGGAGAAGAGACATAAACGGAAAAGTTCTCATTGAATTTTTGAAGCCATTTTAAGTGAATGATCTGTCTAATATTTGTATTTTTCTCTTCTTTTTTTCAGGGGATACTTTCTATTTTGCTAGAATAATAGATGTGTAGTGCTGATGGATGAAAAAATATTTTATCAAAGATTTTTCTAATGATTCAACTGTGTACAAGAGAATTTTAATTATAATGTAAAAAATATTTTAATATTGTTACTTTATTTTCTCTTTTTATTAATTTATTATTTTTTTTTATTTCATTTTTTTATGGATTTGTATTTATTTCTAAGATCTTCTCAGTTGATCTTGAATTTTAATATAGCTTTTTATCTTAATTTTACGATGTTATATTTGTACAAAGTATGAAGAGAGGAAGAAGCCCTCCAAAAGACAAAAAAATTGAAATATGAGTTGATATACTGATGAGATCCCAATGAATTTTAAGGACTTGAAAACAATTTGGGAACTTCAGTCGCTAGAGTAACTCATAATTGATTGTACTAGAATGAAGAAAATTTATTTCTTCTTTTTGATTATCGTTTAATTTTGTAACATGTTTTGTGAAAATTCACGGATTTCTACCATGCCAAAAGAAGGCTAAAACTGAAATTTGAATACATTCAAGGGTACAGTTGTGGAAGCCTCAGAGGAATTCAAAAACTGATTTTGAACGAATTTTAAACCTTCAATAATGAAAACCTGGGGAAAAACCATGAAAATGGATTTGAATAAAATCGGATTTTATGACTGTTAAAACATGCATTTTTATTTTCGTTTCATCTATCTGTCCAGTTGTTTTCAAATGGAAAACTAAAATGATTTAACTTCAGCCAGAAAAAGAACTTTTTCTACTTTTTACACAACCATGAACTTTTGATTTGTATGAATATATCACTTTAACAAATCATCTGTTTCAAAAATTGTAGTATTGATAAACCCCTTTCTACGATTCTCCATGCAGGAAAAGTACGATATTTTCCTCAAATAATTATCTCATCCTAATTCCGACTATGAATGGTCTTGTTACAGAGAGGAAACATAGTCAGCTTCGTCGACTTTTCAGCAGTGAATTTGTAAACAAATTCACATTCAGTACATTGGAAACTGAAAAAATTCACTCCAAAATGTGCAGTTAATGCATTCAGTATTACATATTTTCAGAACCAGGTCTCTGATACTTTTTTCTCAGTCCCCAGCATTCAAGTTTGTTCAAACAGTGATGTGAAAAAAGACATAAGATTGCTCTTACGACGCATCCCTGCACCTGAGCCAACCCTACATTAGCTCAGCTTAGTGTCAGTATTAGATATATGGATTGCATTTTGCAAAAAGAAACCACTAGCATTGCAATGTTGCTAAGATCGTGCAACTTCTTTTATCTTGGAAGAAAAACCCAATTATCCATTAATAGTTTCTATTTTACTCGCTAAAAACTGTAAATTTAAAACAAAAATTATCATCTAAATTTCATAGTTTTTCACGATTTCCGCAATTTTATTGCAGAAGATGAAGTTGCACAATCTTAGCATCATTGCAATGCTAGTGGTTCCTTTTTGCAAAATGCAATCCATATGTTCCTTTTAAATATAAATGCAAGTAAGATGCGCAGTATACCTTGCAAAGTTCACTCCTTATTACGACCCTCCCCCCCCCCTCCATCTCAACAGCTGGGGTCTAATTATAAGCCAGACCCCATGTATGATTCAGCTCCGCCTATGCCTCTAATCTAAACTCTCTGCCACTGTGTGCCTAAGTATTGTGGGAGCAAAAGTAAAGCTTGTCTTGTATAAAAAGTGGGAGACTGTAAGAATGAACGACTTCGAGAAAAATCTTTAGTTTTAGATTGAGAAGAAAAGTAGAGAGGCAAAATATTAAACTAAAACTTTATTCACAAAATAATACTTAAAACTACAAAAAAAGCTAGCTACATTCACTAAATGACGGACTGGTGGTATCAAATAGGATTTAAACGATGCGCTGAAAGAAGAAAAACGCAAAATAAAATTAGATGGGATATAAGACCAAGTTTAAAATACATATATCTACTGGAAAGAAAAGTGCCCACTTACTTGCAACTCTAAGTTATTTTAAATAAATAATACGAAATGGTTATTCGGTGGTACAGTACCCTGACTAGAAAATCTTCCAAGTATTGCTAACGTGTCTTAACCGTATGACTTTTTAACTGCTAGCTGGAAAATTTCCCACCGCTAAGGTGCCAACAGTATGTATATATGCTGCAGGTAACATCACAATGCTAGGTACTTCAGACCGAATGCAAATGCACTCAGGTAATTCAGTGCTTCAGTGTTCACATAAACTCTAACTCTTCTCCGCACGCACTTCAAAATTTCTGCAGACAAATGCACTTAAAAAACTTATGAATATTGCATTGCTATTACATGCAGTCAACAGATTCATTATTCTGGCACACTTTTGATTGAACTGACTTGGATTCTCTGGATCCGCTTAGTCTCTAATTTTAAAGAAGATTGAAAGAGAGAGAAATTGACTTACAGTGCTTTGGTATCCTAAGGACTTCCTCATCTTTAATGAGTGTCTCATGGACAATTGTGTTGTATAAATATTGAATGAATAACTCTTTTTCCTCACCAACACTGACATCATAAAACCCAGGAAGCTGGCTCTGCAAAGGAGAGACGAGATGAAACAGAATATATGAGTCATCACAAGCCTATTTTCAGTGTATTTTCCGAAAGAATACACCATCTATTGCATGTTAAGATCTAGACCTAGGGCCTTGTAAAAATAATACCAATCTAAGCTTGTGGATAAGCAATTAATTCAAGTCCAATTTCAATTCATATCTGTCTATGTAACTATTTTGATACAGATCTGACCTTACTTTCACAAAGAATGAACAGCTGAACAACCTGGGAGCTTCCAGTCATTAGAGTTTTTGTTTTACTACAACAGCAACATGGCGGCCGTTATTACATAATGATTTCTTATGCCCTCATGTCTTTCACTTTTCGATCTTCTCCCACAGCTTGGACACAGGCACATTTTAAGTCTCTATTTTTCAGTGCGTTTAAAATAAAAATTCCACGTGGACTTTTTTGTTTTTTTCTGGTGTTTTCTATTCTCTTGCATAGACTATTGCCATCTATATGTGTTTATCAAGTGCATCTCAAGACTAATTTTAATGTAATAGCTTCTGGGTGAGATCACCTTTGAGGTTTACGGAATCGTGGCCTGATGACAGCCACCATGCTGGCCGAAATGATATTTTTGTGGTAAAACAAGAAATCTAATAATTGGTAGCTTCCGAGCAAAAATCCTGTTTACTCTTATTCTCATATATCTATGAGTAAAACTGAGACATGTTTACTGAGACGTAGATTTAAAGTCTGGGGAAACAAGGCTAAAAACAATAAAACATAAGAAGTATCGCCGGAAATTTCTGGCATTTTTTATCGAAACTAAGGCTAAAATATGAGTGGATCCATCATTGGATCAAAGTACGAAGTATTGCGAAGCATGTTCGATATTTATGTACATACATATATTAGTGAATGTATGTTTGTACTTTTGCCTTATCATAGATTTTCTGATTTGTGTGGAGTCATAGCTTTCTTACACTGCAAAATAATTTAACCAGACTTTCAAGATTTTGTTATGTACAATGTGCAAAAAAGCCCCTGAATGTCTTCCGTTTATTTTTATTTCATGTAGATTAAAAAACTCTTACCTTGGAAGACTCATGTAAGACCAATTTGGAATCCTTGACAAGACATTGCAGAGGAATTGTGACATCTATGATGAATTCACTGTGGATGACATCGTCTCTATTTTCATCTAATGTTTCCTTAACTTTGCACCCATAAAGTGCTTTTACAATTACAAGGCCTCTTCGATTTTCTTCTTCTGATTTGATTCGAGCGAATGTTGCAGACATTAAATTAACAGCAATTTTGGCTTCTCTCTGTTTTTCAGCCATTCTAAAAATGAAACAAAAAAAAAACGTAAGTCACATCCTGTCATAAGGTGAAAAAGAACAAACCTACAACTATGCTTCCATAATGGGCTAGAAAAAAGGACAAAAATTAATTAAGAAAGAAACACAAGGAGTGCAGCCATAGTTTTACGAAAGATGACAAGAAAGAGAAGTGAAAAGAAAAAAAATCCGTGTGATGTGGCTACTACATATAAATCACAGGAAGTTAACGATCATCTCAATGCTGGGTGTGCTCTGCAATTGAATCAACAGTGAAATCGAACTGAATTTAGAGCACTTAAGAATCTACAGTTCAAAAAAAGTAATTTAGAGAACAGTCCATTTGAAATTTTGATCACCAGGTGTAGGGAATAAAATTGAATGAACGCTCAAATAAAGAATGAAGGTGAAATGAATGATTGGAGGAGAAGAAGTGCCTTCACAGAAAAACTATTATTAGCCTAAATTAATTTTCTTTGAAAATGCACCTTAAAAACCGCCAACTTTCCCAATATATTACAAGATCTATTTTACTTAAATGAAATGCCTTAGAAACAAACAATTTTTTTTTTAAAAAATAATAATTTGACAAAATATTACTGAAAATTCCTGTGGATTGATGCTAAGTCTTCGTCCGGGCGAGACAGTCTCGTGGTGGTACTGCACCACACACAGTGATGGACAAGGGGAAGGAGGGAAAACCTCCCTCAATGCTGGCTTGAAGGGCCACGCATTAATTGGGTGATGGCCAATTTTTTAATTGCTGCGCTCATTTTGGTCTTTTTGAGACAGCAGTTTCATCTTAAATAGAAAAAAAAAAACAAAAAAACTTTTCATTAGAACTCAAATCTGATGGAGGAAAAGTAATTTTACCTGTTTTTGTTGGCTTCTTTTTGTCTTTCAATCTTCCTATCCTGTTCTTCCTTGCTTATTGGATCGAAGACTAATTTCTTGAGTAAAAAGTAACCAACCAATGGCACAGTTGTTGCATAAAATACGGCACTAGGCACGATTTCTTCGCAGAGATGAATTGGGAATGAGTACGACTGATTTGCTCGTTGCAATCTGAAAACACAGGAAACCTAAGTTGATGAGAAAAACTCAAACGATTAATAATAGAAACCCTTCAAAGTAAAACTTCAAAGAGGTAATATATCCTGATCATGCTTGCAACATGATCGCTGTTAGGAGTGAACATTGCGTTTCATTTTGAATGAAATTATTTGTTTGTGATTTTAATTGTATGATGGCTATGTCGTAATGGATTCTAGGTGGTTGAAACCATAGGTTGTTGCCTAATAACACGTCATAAGCTTCAAGCCAATGAAAGCGTTCTTTCAATAACTTCAACACTAGGCCTCTTTTTTAGATTAAAGAAGCCATTTGGAGTTCAAAAACGTGTTTCCCCTAAAATTTACATTAGGAACACCTACTTTTTAGGCATTCTCTCCATCTTTCAACAGCCTTATTACCATCATGAGATACTCATATGGTGGTTTTACATTGGGTAGTTTGAAAAGTTTCATGCTTGCTTCTGTGACAATGAGGTCCAGCAAATGAAAAATGAATATAATTGAACTTACTTAATTTTTAAAGTAACACCGGTTGGTACACCTAAACTGACTGCTGCTGAAAGTGTGTTATGTTCTGATATTTTTTTTTGAGCAGTGTACTCAAACATGGCACCAAAAGTTCCAGCTCTAAAACCAAAAAAGAACACTGATTGAAAAGGAGCCAACTTCTTGGGGTGGGGGTCCTGACAGATGTGTTTTACCAGGGAGTAAAAAATTCTATTCATTGAAAAATAAAAGAGATTAAATCTAACAGGAAATGTATGGTGACACGAATGGAGTTAATGTTTTTTTTGGTCCCCATCATTGTTACACAAATGGGTCCTTGTGAAGATGACTTATCTGCCTAGATAGCAAAGAGGGCAATACAGGCAAAAATGCAGTTTTGAGAAAACGGGTTCAGAAGCTTCTGACCGGAAAATTTTATTGAAAGAACTCTTTTGCCCCTAGTCATCTGAAAGACTCTTAGAAATTGTTAGGATGATTAAAAATCGACCGATTTGAAGTCAATTACATAAAAGACGTTGTTCATTTTCATGTTGGGCAAGACAGCTGTGAGTGCTATCTTCTGCATGCTTCCATGGTTGCATTTTGGACACAAAAAAAACACACTTTCAGGTTAGAAATCAGCAGAAGAGGGCGGCACTTTACTTGAGAGCACTAATTTCATTGGCTCTCTGGAAGAATATTGTCACTTACTGCTGTTTTGTATGAAACTACATCATTCTTTGTGCACTTACAGCTTTCACATATGTCTCGTTTTTATGAAAATAATATGAATTTTGCTGTTTCAGTTACTTCAGTGATTTCATCTAAAAAAAGATTAGACGAATTTTGAAGGAAACTGGATTTCGAAAATTTGATACTGCTCTCTTGGCTATCATGGCAGTTATGATATTACACTTGGACATAAGACAATTTTAGAACTTTAGAATATAATTGGAAAGTCATAAGCTCCATTTCAAATTATAAATTTCTTTGAGGACATACTGAAAAGTAATGCTCAATGGATAAATCTGCATTGAAGTAAAACGATTTTCAGGGAGACTTTGCAGCAGTGATGCCAGGCGTACGGATTTATCCGTGCCGCGCGGACATTCCCTATACCGATACGGACCGCGTACGGACAAAAACCTTATGGGAAAAACGCTTCCCTATCTTAAAATATCCGTACGCGTGACATCACAGAATGACGCTCAGCCAATAGCAGCACGGAGAGCGGTAGTGCGTACGGATCTCGCACACGGAGCACCCGGGAACACTGCTTTGCAGTCTTTGGTTTTTAACTTCTCAAAAGCTATAATTAGAATCTGCCAGCTTACCTATAACAATAAACTTAAGTCACAACTTCTAGAATTTGAAAAATGATGATACGTCAAAATTTTATACCCATGGTTGGGTGTGGCAAATGCATATCTCAATTGCAATGTTTAAAAGTCGCCAAGTGTGTTATTTTCCCCCTGGAGGAAGACTAATTAAGATGCGTCATTGCAATTGTAAGTGATTTTTTTAGAATGTGTGAAGAAAATCCACAACCATTTTTAAAAGTAGCTGTAGGCTGGTTTTCTTTTAAAAAAATTAAACATACGAGGAGATCTACAAAGCTGCAATCTACAATACACATCTTTTAACTTTTGTTGTCGATATGCTACAGAAAAATTAAAAAGTCAACAAAATTCAAACATAAACGACATGGTAAAAATGAGAAATTTCCTTACTTGACAGCTCCTTTGAGCCTTAATTGGTTGTCCTTAAATTTGTAAGTATAATGAAAAGATATAAAAGAGTGCGGGATACCAAAGGTAACTAGGAAACCTGTGTGGTAAGTCTCAGAGTCTCGTATCACAGACGTTGACATGGAGGAACTTTGGCCAGCCCTCCATGTTAAATATCCCATTGTTCGCCTATCTAACTGCATAGCCAAAGCTGAAAATCAAAACAGACACTGAATATACATTTAGATGGAATAAAATTACACGGAAATGAGACTAACAATTCATTGAATTCTAGAGGAAATCACCAACTTGTGGCCTTTTGACTGAAAATTTTGTCTGTTAGGCCGTATCTGCGATGAATAGGCTGCTAATGGCCGAATGAGGGCGCAAAAAAACCACTTTTAGCATGCCCCTTGAGGGCAAGGGCCCAGCAAGGGTCATCACTCATCAATGGGTCCAAAAGTTTGTGCCCTGATGATTTTCTCGGGCTGTATCCTATTCAACCAAAATTTGACAAATTGGACAGAAAAATGATTTTCCCGAGTGAGGAACTTAATAGCATGTGCTAGGGTGCACTACGGATCTAGAGGCAGAAAGGGTACTTGCAAACCCTTTCTTACGGCAGAGAACAATAGAATCCCCCAGTCAGCCAATGAGATTCTCGGATCGTAGACTAGTCACAGAGGAGCGTGAAATGGACTAGCCCTGTCGCGCAGAGCATGATGGGAAAATATGCATCTTGTGCAGTCGAAAGAACAGTAAGTTTTCCTGCCATTTGAGACCTTTACTTCAAGTTCGATTATTTGATTGAGAAAAATTAATATTCAGTTGAAAGTTTTAGAACACATACTTCATATCGCTGTTAACACATTTCATCCATAAAATTTTTTTATCTCTACTCTTACCAAGAGAACTTGTGGGGAAAAACGGGATTTCTCCATAAGAATATGTGACGATTTGAATTCCCGCTACGTTTGCCTAGTCCACGGCTATATTGTGCAAGTACCCACTTTGCTTCTAGATCCGTGGGGTGCACATGGTAGATCAAAGTATAGAGGCGCCTGGGTACGGCTGATATCAGAGGAGTGTGCACAATACTGACAGTTTTGGTTTAATGGTGTTCCCAAATTCTTTAAATTACATATCCGGCCTAACTGGTTGGTTGATGAGGGTTGAAGGAATTGGAGGAATGAGGATTTGCAACCTAAATTTGATTGACAAAATGGTTTCATGGGGTTATCACACCATACGGTCTCGTTGCTAAAGGTATTCAAGCCACATTCATGGTGTTTTTTCTCTCTAGAAAATAGATGGTTATTGGATTTAAAGTTGAAGCTGATTTGCAAAAAAAAAAAAAAAAAAAAAAAAAAAAAATTGTTGTTTGTGACAGCTTTTTGTGGCCTTATATTGTACGAAATGAAATGAAGTAGACTTGGTTCACAAAGGTGCCAAATGAAGGGATTTAGTGAAGGACCCACATAGCCCTCCGAGATTGTAAAACATGCAAACATGAAGAAAGCATTTAAGCTGTAACTTACTTGAATCAATCCCTGACTGTATTCCATCATTATTGAAATGAAAGTCAATACCTCCGGAGCCAAAAATCCTAGGTGTCAAGGCTCTAAAAGTTCTAATATTAATCGTGGGACCATTACCGATACTCAGCCCACCCTGCACCCAACTTGAATTTGAGAGAAGTCTCCTCGATGAAAAACTGACATCGCCAGAGCCTGAAATCAGAGGAGTGATAGCGACTAGAATAAAAAATTAATACTTAATGCTGAGTGATACTAATAACCCTCCGATTCAAATTAAGAGAAACCAGAATTGAAAAAAGTACCAAAAGATACTTTATGCAGCATCCTGATTAAATGTATGTAGATTGGAGGGATTTAACCAGTTTGTGATTATGAGAAAAGGTTAATTTTAGAAAAAGCGAGGGCTGGGGGCATGGACTCATTAAGTAACATGCTTGTAACATTTCCACTTAGGACAACCTCATCATCAGCAGGATTTTATAAAACTTTATGTATTGGCAGTTAAATTTAATTTGAAAAAGTCTGGGCCAAATAATAGAAAGAAAATTGATCCCTAAGATTGCTATTAATTTGAGGCATCAGTGATATTTTTCGATGGTCATGACGCACTTTGAAATAAGCTCTGATAACAGTTTGATGGACAAGGTATGAGCTGGACCAGACAAAAATGGAGACCTATATTCTGAAGATTTTATGAAAAAGCACGGAGGAGAGGTAAACAACTTTGACAGACACTTTTATTCCTACACACAAAGCTGTTAATTTTGACGGACTTTTAAACTGCTGCTCACTATAATGCTAAATCTCATGCTAAAATTAGTGGTGAAAGGTATTTCAAATCCATGTTCTGAATCTATAGGAAGAGGTTGCATATTTTCATAACTTCTCTATCATGAACAGACTTGTAGGCCAGCCAATCTCAAGCAATTCTTTTATCATGAAAATTGTTGTGATTAGGAGAAAAACAATATTACCAGTTCCATTGTGCGTAGATAATTGTCCGCCCAAGGTAACAGTGTCTCTCAGGGTGATAGGAGCATCAATTGACTGTGATAAAGACATGCCAGACACCTCAATGTTGGGAAACCCGCTTTCTCTGAAATAAAGGGTTATGGATGAGCCAGAAATTGATAATTCTAATTTAAAATTACTGTGAAGTTTTTAAAATTCTAATTTTTTCATGTCTGGTGACTACCAAAACACACTCAATTGCTTGATTCTGTTCATAAAAAAAAGAAAAAGAAACAAAAAACAATTAATATGGAAAAACACATAATCTAAAGGGCAGGAAAATCTCAATTGAAACAAAAGATGATTGACAACATAGAGATACGTACTCATCGACACCATATTCATCATTGTAACTATTGAAAATGTCAGTGGCATTGATCCGCACTGTCACATTTCCGCGTGGATTAGTCCGTTGTTGCAAAAGTTTTTCCTCTCGTTCTCTGAAAGCAAGTAACAATCAATAAAAATGAAAGAATTAGGCAAGTAAGACTCCTGTTACATGATTCATCATGAACCTGAAAATTACACATATAGGCAGGAATGCAGAAAATCTCAAAATAAGCAAGCAAGCAAGGCTCTTATATGGAATGAGGAATTTTTCCGATAAAAGGGATCTTTTCTTCCCTTCTTTTTTCAACCGTGAAGACAGAAAAATGTTCTGATATTTAACATTTTTACACTTAACATGCAACAAAGAACAACATTTTGGTAGAGTGAAGACATTTTCAAGCTGAGATTGCCACTGATTTTTATTCCGAAAAACTTTCTGAATCCTTGCACTGATTATTAGTAGAAACAGCTGAGTCGCTCACTTCGTTTCTTGGGCCCGTTGTTGCACGATTAAATTAGAACTAGACATCATTATTGACGAAATATTGTGCTTTAGGTCATGGCAAAGCAATAATAATCCGATTCAAAACATACTTTTAGTCGCCATTGATTTGATTTTCTGTTGTCTCACAAGAATTTTCTTAGCAGAAGAACAAATCAGGAGGAAAAAAAATGAACACCAGTTAAGAACATGGCCTAATGAGACTAGGTCAGTCCTTGCGCAGATCCCCCCGCCCGCGCGGCTGCACAGCCGCAAATCGGAGTTTTGTCGTGACGTCAGCAGGAGCCCACTCTGATTCCCGGAATGAAGAGCGTGTGAGTCCCTCCCCTCGTATCCCCTCATGCGTTTTCAAACTTCCTGCTCGAGTGGGCTCCTGCTGACGTCATGCGCAGTAGAGGTCTTACTCTTGTTTTCGGAAGGACTGACCTAGTCTCATTAGGCCATGAGATAAGAAAAATGGATGATGGACCTCCGTGACACACTACACATAAATAATATTCATCATGGCTTTCAATATTCATGATAGATTTTTGGCTTTTGACTCTTGTGAAATCACCCCATTATTGAATGCACCTCATCAAAAGCACATACAAGTATCTAAATGCTAACCCCATTCTCCTCCATGAAAAAATAATTAAATTTCCTCACCTTGCTAGTCGCTCAAATTCAGCACATATTTCACTTGGTGTTTTGGTTCTTTGGATGATTTCCCATCCTCCAGTCTCCAAGCCTTTGATACCAACATTGTCATAAATTGCGCGTTGATGAGGATCATTTAGTACTAAAGACAAAAAATTTGTTGAAATTCTCAAATACTGATGTAAATCACAAATGATCTGAAGAGAATCACATCGATTGCATGAGCTGTCTTGAACAACCGCTTTTTAGATGACTGTAACAATCCTTAGTTTTTAAAAGTTTCTGGGCGTCAATATTTTTAGCGGCATATTTTTAGTGCATTTGGGGCTCGATTCCTATGGTCTGCAAGAAGCAATGGAGAAGGAGTTTTTGATGCTTCAATGAGAAGGAATAATTACAACCATCATTGAAGTTAGGATGTTATAGCATGACAATTGCATCAGAAATCACGAACAATTTTATTCACAGCTATTTCTGTTCAATTGAAGTGGTCGATGAAATCGGATCTTTATATCTGATCATCGAAGATGATCTTTACATATATTTCAAGAATTCTTCATGAAAGAAGCCAAGGGGAACATAATAGCACAATCTCCTGCAAACTGTGAGGAAATGCGCCGTACTAATATGCTTGAAAGGACAATTCACCCATCTAAAAGTTTAATTTAAGGCTTGAAATTTTCCACAGGTCTTTTTAGGAACCTAAGATATTAAAGTCCCGGGTGAACATTTTGAAAATACCTGCATACTTTTTGAAGCATTTCAGTTTTAGGTGCCTAAAAAGTTACAGTTAAGTAAATATGATTCATTGAAAAATGAAATAATAATATCAATACCTTCATAAGCACGTTTTGTCTTGTTGAACAAAATCTCAGCATCTTTTTTCGCTGCAGGATCAAGATGTTTGTCAGGATGATAAATACGACTTAAACGTCTGTATGCATTATTGATTTCTTCTGGTGATGCCTGTTAAAAGAATAAGAGAATTAATTGGTAATTACTACAGAGTTTCCTTTCATCAAGTATGCACAAAAAGCCTTGACAGAGAATTTGCAACTATTCAAATGGGGATGCATTTCCCTAATTTTTCAAGCAACCTAAGACCAGCTCAATTAAATACATTCACTCCTAAAAATTTTCAGAACAACTGTCAGCAATACTTAGTTCTGATAAAATAATGATTTATTCTCGTGTTACCTGTATGGTAGAATGGGCACGCTTGGTCCTCTATTGAACTTGCCAATGTTGTATTTTTTTGTACAAACTTTTCTTTGAAAATTTACATCCTCCCACTATTTTATGGCCCTTCCCTCAAGTCTCAGATATTGAAAAATGGGGCAGTACATTGCCTCCTCCAAGTCATGGCTAATCTATCAGACTGAGTATCTCCTAATTATAGCTGCTCAAATGAGCTTTGGAGCATAATTAAACTTTTTGGATATTCTTTAAAAGCTTTTTCATTGATTTCAGAATGCCTTTTTATTTTTACAACTGAAATATAAAATAATCCGTCTTCACTTTTTTTGGCCCCACTCATGAACATAGCAAAGGCATCATTTGTGTTACTCTCAGAATAATTGCAACATCAATTATTTTCATATTTCAAAGATGGCACATAGGTACCTAAGTACATCAATATCAGCTATCAGCGCTGGCGCATATGGGTGCAGGTAAAGCTTGCCCTACAGTATCAGCCGTCAAATAAAGGGCACGCGAAAACACAGCTTAATGGGGCTGAGCCATTTTCTTACAATCATGCCTAACATCATTAGCAAACTGTTTCCACGCATGTACAGCTAGGAATGACTGGCCATTGTAGTTGGGTCATGGAGTGTACAGAGATCAAATTAATTTGAATATTTGTACGGTCTGTATGGTAACACAAAGCTTTTCAGTACCATTATCAGGTAAGACTATGAGAGGAGTCTGTAAGTGCATCGGTGTTCTGGATTCTGCCGGCGAGTTTCCAATTCTCCATATCAATCCCTCAGATTGCCTGCTCTCGACACTTGTGAAAATTTCTTTGATGAATAGACTGTTTAAGAGGGAAAATTTGTATGAAGCTTAGATTCTGACTTTCGACAACTGATCCAAAAAATTTTGCAAGCCAAAGCTGATTTCGGACTGACATGTATCAGACATGTAATACCAACAGCACTAGGATGTAATTTCAAAAGCTTTGAACCTTGAACATCACTTGTGTGCTGCACTAAGATTGGATCAATCTAAGTAAGTATTTTTGATGGATCTTTGCTTCAGTAACAGTACAGATAACTTACCTCAAGTCTAGTGACATTCACACTGGTTATAGTTCAGTAGAAAATATTGGATTTGGGATTGAATTGCTTAAGTACAGTGACAATCCAAGATCAGTATAGGTACACCAGTTCATCAAACTCATAATTGGCACATATTTAACCAAGAGAATGGTCATGCCTTGGATAAGGAGGACAAATGCATATGAAATATTGCAGAAATGCGTTAGGGACTCAAAAAAACGAGTGTGTTGCTGAGATGGTCTGAATTTGTTAATTTGAAAGAGCAGTTGCAGACTACGATTACTTCTCATATTAGCAGGTGTGATACAACATCAAATGGCAACTATAAGAAAAAACTTAGAGAGAAAAGCTCGAGCGATTTGAAGGCGTTTCGATAATTTATAGAATAAAAGTATGATGCAAAATTAGAGAAAAGAGCTCACAGATGATGAAACTTACATCACGTGGGACGTTCAGAAAGGCATAATAATCCTCTTCAATAACCACATTTTCCTCATCATCCATTGCGGAGAGGAAACACGAAAAACTTGAGAACTAACATACAAACACTTTTTATTGCAAAAAGGTGTCGTACTTTCCCTTCCCTTATCACGTCAAAAGTTAAAGTTACTCGAAATGGGTTTGTTATTCTTTTGAGGGTTATTCCAATTCAATGTTCCCAGTTTCAGCGGAGGGGGAAAAATGAATGATAAGGAAAAGGAACAATGAATGAAAAGAACTGTCACGACCCCTTATCACTTATGTCACTTGGCTTATCAACAAAACACGCACGTGCCTGTCAGAAAGGAAAGTAAAGTACTTAAACAAAGCCAGATTTTTTCATGCTAAAAATATTTGGCAACTTTAATAACTTCAAATTCATTTGAATCTTCAAGAATGTAATGAGTGATGTCACTTCAATACTTGTAAACCTCTCTGTACCTATAACTTCTGTGCTTAGTCACTCAGTCATTTGTTCGCCACAGCCTTGGTACCAAGGTTTGTACTGTACTCAATTTCGCCGTCCGAATTTCTTCAATTTCCTGATTGTCTCTAGATTGTGCTCTCCTTTACTTACTGCGTTTATACTTCGTGATTATCTCCACACCTTACAATCTGTGGATGTTCAATTTCTCATGTGTAGTTCCGTAGTTCCTTTACCTGGAGTCTGTGATTGGTAAACTGACAATGAAATTATTGATAGCGTTTGATTTTGACCATACTGTTGTAGACGCCAATACTGATATAGTCGTAAGGAAACTGGTCCACGACTCTAAAATTCCTGACTCTACCCGTGAAATTTCCAAAAAGCATGGCTGGACTGCCTACATGCGTGAAATTTTTAAAATTTTGCGTCGGAATGATGTAACACCAAAAAAAATTGTTGAATCAGTTCAAAAGATTCCACCAGTGTCCGGAATGGTAGAATTGTTTAAATTTTTAAAATGCAATAACTGTGATGTAATCATAATTTCGGACTCAAATTCAGTTTTCATTTCTGATTGGTTGAAACATTACGGCTTGAGTGATCACGTTAGTGCTGTTTTTACAAACCCTGCATATTTTGATGAATCTAACTTATTACATATTGAAATGTATCATGAGCAGCATTCCTGTAAGCTGTCTGCAATTAATTTATGTAAAGGTGCGATACTAGAACAGTATATTAGTGATCAATCAGACAAAGGTGTATCGTTTGATGTAATAGCATTTGTAGGTGATGGGAAGAATGACCTATGTCCATCCTTAAGACTAAAAGAGAAAGATTTAATTTTTGCACGTGAAGGGTATGTATTAAAGGACATTCTAACTAAACCAGAGAGTGATCATAAAGCTTCTCTTCACTCATGGAGTACTGCGTACGATATCAAGAAAGTGCTATCATCACAAGTCTTTCACAACACCGATCTCATGTAAATCTTGAAAGTACAGATTGTGACCCAAAAGTGACTCAATTTAATAATTAGGAATATTGGGAGTCATTTCCCTAACAGGGGTGGGTGCAAGTTGATAGACATACTTTTACAAGAGTATGGTATTGTCTGGCTGACAAAAATACCCACATTTCCAACTACATCCTTCAAAATGATGAGATGCAACCATGTGGTGCTTTAGAAGAATTTCAGTACAGATGTACTTCTTTCAACTAAGTACAATAAACTGCACCTTATCACATATCATTAGCCGTATTTGTTATGTTTAATCATGTTGGATGAGTTCCTGCCTGGTATAAGGGTTCCTCGTATAATACGACTGTGATACATGGCAGAACTATTTAGTGGCAAGGTGTTAGTCTAATGGAACCTCAACACTGTGACAGAATTATTAAGCAATATTCCAACTCAAAACAGGCTATTTTACATAAATATTGTTAGAAATACTGATTGTAATAAAGCTGGCACCATTTTGGAATGGATCAGAGCTAAAAGAGGCTACAGATTGATTTCTAGAAAAATATATTTTTGTTACTTTCAATTTTGAAAAAAAAATCAAGTAAAAAACAAAGGAGGTAATAAGAAACTTTAAAATAACAAAGTAACAGCTACAAAAAGAACTTAAATTTGTTGGAGAAGTTCACTTGATCTTATTAAATTACACTCTTTATTTTCATTTACAAGTAAGTAACTAGTTGACTAGCTGAAGTGGCACATAGTTACTGTAAAATTCTTTGGTTCATATGTAACATATTATAAATGTTTTTCACTCTATCTCCCATCATTCATTAAAAAATTATGCAAACACCTTTTCTGATGTACAATTCCCAGAATTGAAAAAACAATTATTTTCTCTGATTTTAAATAAACGACTCTGGAGCTTTTTACAGTGAGACAGGTGCATAGACGACCTACTGTATTAAGACAGCCAATGTTGACACCTGGATGATGGTGAAAAAGGAATTTTTTTAATCTCATGTAACAATGTCTAAAACTAAGAATTAGAAGTATATCTTTGTTTACTTTTGAAAGATCAAATCATGTTTTTAAGTATAGAATGGATTTCTCTTTTTAATAAATTTATATGCAGCTCTATTCAAGAATAATTGTTATATTCCTGATATTCCCTGATAATTGATGCGGCAATGGCTTCCATTATATTAAAGATCGGTTGCTACAGTGATACTGATTTTTGAAAGCACATCATACTTTTGAGAAACAAAACTGATAGACGTATATCTTTATTGAGTGTATGCCAAAAAAAATAACAAACAAAAATTGGATAAAATTTATGAGAGTCCCACTCAACTTTGAGAGATGTTAAAGTTTGAAGATACAGTTGGAATGAAAAGAAAAAAAGTATGCACTTAAATTATAAAAATTAATGGGCCCTTCAGAGTGGCACCTAGAAATAAATAATTTTATTTTATACTTCGTCGAACAATGAAATAATTTGAACCTGTAGAAAAAGGATGATAGGAGCAAAAAGAGGTACAAAAGGGAACTTATAGAGCTTAAAAGATAACCATAAATGGTTTCCCAAAATAATTTGAGGTGTGCTTGAATTGAATAAGAACTTGAAAAGTGTTAGTTAATCACCTTACTAAGTATGTAATCCACGAATAAAATTTTGATTCAATTGGTCTTAGGTCGAAAAATTATAAATCTAATTGCGACAGCAGAATTTTGCCCTAATAAACATTAAGCACCAAACTACGACTAAAATCAGGCTGAGCCTTTCCAATTTAAAACAAGATGGAAGGAACCAAATGAAATAAAATACAAAGCACCAGATAATTTAACCACTACAAAACAAAACTTCTTAATAATAATCAACAGTTACATATTTTTAACTTGGAGAGTTTGTTTTTGCTTGAGCACTTGAAGAGTCGAAAGGTTGAGATGTAGAAACGCTCTCTCTGGAAATAATGGTTCTGTATATACAACTATACAGCAAGGGGAGCTCCCAAAGCTGCCGCCTCTGTTTGGGCTTAAATTTTTTCTATAATTAAAGAAGTTCTTAATTAATTTGCGATTGGCAATAGTCACTAATTAAAATTAGGTTTAATTATAATGTATTAAATGTGATCTGAGATAGAATGCTATGGCAGGAAAATATGAGAAATTCAAATTTGACCGTAACAAATTTTCAGGGTGGATAAGGAATCAAACTAGGAACTGGACGGGTACAAGACTTGAGCTACCACTTGGTGTAAATCAGGTGAGACATGTCTACACTATCTCCAGGGTGGATTGGAAAAAACAAAAATCACTTTTACAATAAATTCATCCAAAGAGTCCACAGATGAAATTTCAGCCCGATGGGAGGTGGCAGCCTGGGAAGTTCCCCTTGTTAGATATAGGTTGTCTATCAGCAGCAAAACTGTAAGATCTGAGGTGTGTACCTGGGTTGGCAACGTTGTAAATCTGCAGCCACACTTTAATAGTTAAAAGGAAAAATACTCAGAGCCATTTCTTGAAAACTTCCTTGGTTTTCTTTCTCTTTATGAAGAATACTGTATGAAAATTTCAAGCAGTGGCACCGTTGGTTACCCGTTGATCAAATCAAACGGGAGCGAAGATTTTGGAACACCTCTAACAAGATATGCATTCCTGCAGTTTGACTGTTGTTATGTTAAAAAATAGAGAAGATGATAAAATTTTTAAAAATTAAATAATAAGGAATGTTGTGCATCCACAGGAATAAATTCAATCTCACTTGATCTCTCCTGCCCTAAGCTGGTTTCTGGGTTTAGACGAAATATGAAAAAAGTACTCAGTCTAGACACATTACATGATAAAGGCACCTACTAGAAAGTGTCTTTGTTCCTGTCAGCTCTTTAATTAGTGAAAAAATTTATCACCTAAGTTTGTACTGTAGGCTTCAATTCCATAAAATTGATTTTTGCCAGACTCAAAACTCAATCGTCACAATCAAACATTGGAGATACAAAAATAATCATAAAAATACTGAATAAATTATACCTAAACCACTAGTTAACAAACTAATCATAGCACATAAAAAATTAGAAGAGATACAAGAAAGTCCTTTGAAACGAAAATCTATAGGTTACAAAATCAACACAATAAGAGAGAAACATAAATCCAACACCGATGACAAAAAATAATTTTGATATTTAATTTAGGGTTTTTTTAAGGTTTGATTAACGTTATTCTTTTAGTACGTAATAAAATAAAAAAACCTTTGTCTCCTAAAAAAACAATTAGAGCAATGACCGTAAAACTAATGGTTGTGACATTACAGAAAACTTTTTAAAAGGAAACTGTAAGTCTACCATTGCTCCAACTTCACCTGAAACATTTAGAGCCATGGTGGCTATTAAGCATAGTTTTTGTTCAATGAATTTTTGATCTCACAATAAGACTGAATCTGGAGAGAGAGGACTGACCTTCCAACTGAAATGTTTTCAAAAGTGTAAGTTTAATAAAGTAAATACAAAACAGTGAACTGTAATACTGATGATTTCACCTTGACTTTAGTCGCCTGAGAGAGAGCTGAATATTTCTGTCTGCAAGTAAACATATCTTAAAAAAGCCTTCGTCAAAAGAGGGGTGACGTGAAGAGCAGTTTTTGGGCCCACCTTAGCTGAACTTCCTCTACTCTGCAATTTTTTGCCTATTTGTGGTCTACATTTCGTGAAATGCATCATGATTTGGTCATTTCCAGGTCTCTTACTGGCCTGAACATGGGCCTGAGAGTCAGTTTTGGCAGAAACTTCAAGTTTTGTGTTTGCAGTGGAGTGCCAAAAAGTCCGCATTTTTCGGCAAAATCGGCCTACAAACCAATCTTTAGGCCAGTAGTGGACCTGAAAAGAGATCAGAAATGAAAAAATCTTGATGCATTTCCTAAAATGTAGACCTTTCGTAGACCTAAAAATCATAGAGTTGAGAATCAAGAGAATTCAGCTNGGGGGGGGGGGGGGGGCAAAATCGGCCCTTATCAACACCCCTTCTTTCTTTCCAATACTAAACTTTCCAGCAAGAGGTTAATCTTTCAAAGTAATACTTTTTTATCATAATATTTTGGGGTCAATATGAGCCAAGATATTCCCCTCTTCCGTTCAGTCGATATTTAATATAAAAATTATAATTGCCAAAATGCCGAAACCGCAATATGTACTTCAACTTTTTCCCTCTATGTAGATCTTATCAGAAACATTTATCCCACCCCCTTTCTTGTAATGAAAGGTAATCACAGCTCAAATAGTTTCTTACAACTAATAATAGATATAAACTAAGTAGTAGTAAAATCTCAGCCTTAGAATCCTGAGACAAAATTCAAAAATTCCAAACGTCTTCAGTTACTAAAATCCTGATCTGAAAATGATCCTCCAGAAAGTAGAAAATAAAGAGAGAAGATGAATTGTGAGATTTTTAAGATGCAGCCGGCAAAAAGATTGCTGCTGGTGCCATTGCTTTCCTGGCAAAAACAACACTTCATGTTTCGTGTTCGATGCTGCATGATGTTGGTTTTGAGTTAATCATCATCTTGAACTGATCTCCAGACGGATTCTGAAAAAATAATAATAATAGAAACATTTCATCTATTCTCGTCGAATAAAATCAACACAACAACCAATGAGTGATAATCATGAAAGAAAGGTGTCACTCATATTAGCGTACCCTGCCTTAGTTTATTTTTTCACAGGAAGCAGGAGAAGAGGGTTTTTAGTAAAGGGTTTTAAGTGAGGGACCTTCAGTAAGTGGAGATGACAGAAAAAGATGATTTGCTTACTCAAAATGCAGAGTCAACTCCTGCATCCACCAGATCCTTCTGTGCAGCTCTCACTTGAGTTGAGCACAAGGCTTGTTGGTTTCAAAAATTCATCCAATGTTACTTGGAAATGATATGCAATTAGAGTTTGTCCAACACATATTTTTCTTTCGTGAGTGGGCAGGTATGTGGAAACTCTGCAAGGAGAATGAAATGTAGATAAGTTTTTGCCGACCCCTTTGATAGGAACACGACTTTTTGTTCCTGCCACCAGAGCTGTGCACAAAATTTGAATTTCGACAACTTTGCAGTCTTGATCGAAAACAAATATAACCGTCTCCTGTGGATAAAAATGAGTGAAGGGCCACCTCACTAAAAGCACATGAATTTTCATTCTTAACAGATTTTCTTGCACCAAATTTATTCATTTTCATCAACAGCAGACGATCATATTTGTTTTCGGCCAAAACTGCAAATTGGCTGAAATTCAAATCTTGCACCATGACTCTGGTGGCAGGAGCAAAAAGCTGTGTATCAACCAAAGCGGTCAGCAAGAGCATAACTACATTTCACTTAGTACGTTGGGAACACTGGGAAAAATCCTGGTAGATTGGTTGATATTTAGGGTTATTTTGGACCAGTTTGTCACGTTTACACAGCACAAAAACAACTAAAATGGGCTGATCCAAGTACTAACGGACCAATATTCCCAGTAACTTTCTCCATTCTGGTCTGCTCCGGTGAATGATGGTGTCCACCAACATGACAGTAATTAAACATCATCGTGCGGTTAACATGATAGTAAACAACAACCTTGTTCTCCACAGAGACAAGTTAGGAAAATAGAGAGGAACATTGCTGCTTTCATCAAGAAAACGTTTGATTCAATGATTGAGGCAAAAAAGAACAGGAGTCAATTTTTGACTCCTCTTTTTTTTCTTTTTTTATTACGTAAATTGTACTCTGAAGAATCAAAACGATAAGTAGAGAGGTTATGAAATAGCTTCATCAACAGTTGAAAACAGTGTCATTTTTGTTCATAATTTCCTCTTGGTACAGCAGGCCAGAAAGTTGCAGACTCCAAGATGCGCTGACAAGATGTTAGAGTGCTCTTTTCTCCCGGATACTTTTTTGAAATCAATGATAAGGGATTTTTGTTTGCAGGGTATTCCATTTGTTTTTGAAATGTTTAAAGCTAAATGTATTGAGCCAAGCATTCAGAATGTTTAATTTCTTTCATACCAGTTCAAACCTACTAAATGGGAAAATGTTCAAGTATCCTGGACAAATATGTGCAGAAAATTCTGAGCCTTCTCCAAATGAAATTGATCTTCCCTTATTTTTTTACCAAACTCCTTGGTCAGTTCTCCCAGAGGACTTAAAAAAAATGTTCACTTTCGAAACATCTGAGTTCCCCACCGATGAAACACTAATATAAGCGAAAATTTTTAGAAAATCTGACAGAGAAGAGGTGCGGACACTGGTGAAGACAAGGCCTCAGTAATTTCCACTAGTTATTTTTACCAGCATATCAATAACTTACCAATCTTAGCTGAGCGTCATACTTTTTCTGCATGTACTTGAAGAGACAGGGCGAATACAATGCTGGATTAAGTTTGTTGTTGCGTTTTGTGAAGCAACTGACAATTATACCAACCAAAAATGTTGTTAAGAAACCTAATAAGACATAGTACATATAACTGATGCGATAAAGGTAGGAAAATTCAGTGCTGTCTTCTTCACTCCTGAAAAAAAAGTAAAAAAGAATAAACATTAAAAAAAAAAATACTAATAATAATAATGAAAAACTCAACAGTTTTCTCAGATTTCAATCGTATTTTACAAAACAATTAGACTCACAGTCAAAAACTCACTCTAATTTACTTTCTGATGGAAAATGAAAATGCTAAAAAACGTGTTTGTGGTTCGTTGGTAATTCGGGGCAGCTCAATTTGGATTGACCTACTGGCAATTCGAAATTCCCAACATTTTAGCAACAAAATTCTTTTAATATGAACAAAAATTTGGAACATACTTTTGTCAGGGTTGCCAAAGAATTTGGATAATTAAATTCCCTGACATTTCCTTGCACACTTCGGTAAAATTCCCTGAAAATTGAAGATATACCAGATGCTTAAGCAGACATAATTTGAAACAGTTTTCGGACAAAATTTGTTGTTCAGAAAGTTAAACCTACTCTAGAGAGGAAATAAAGGTAAAGTAACTATTTTTTCTTGACACTTTCGTCAATTTCCCAGGAATTTCCAGGTTTTTTCTGACACAATTTTCTTATGATGAAACTTACTTCAATCTGTCTAATGAGTTGTTAGCTGCCTCATAAATAACTGATAAGCATACTTAAGGTCTTTTGAAATAATGACAATGACATTTTTAAAGTAGGGAAGTAAAAAAAAATTATATTACTGGGAGATTCACAAGTCATTACTCACTTAAAATTTGTTGTTCCGTTAAAATAAAGCTGTTGTTGGTGAGAGCATCCATCAAGGCTGGTCGGTAGATTGGGTACTGCTGGTTTAGGGCCACCAAACCCAAGCCATGCAGAAAATATAAGACCACAAAACAGTCCTGCAAGGGCTCCCTATGGCAAATATAATGATTAGAAAATTATTATAAAAGTTTGTAGAAACTATATGATGACGACCAGTCCTCACTTTCATTTAATTAATTTAGAAGCTTTGATCTAAAACATCAGTACATACAAATAATTTTACGACCAATATTTCCTACTCATTCTTTCAATTCACTTTTGATAGATGGTAGAAAACTTCTAGATATGATGATAAAATTGTCACACAGACGTTATAATATTAATGTATGTCAATCTTCTGGCTTGAATAAAATGTCTCATTAACAAACAACTCATTAGAATTAGAATTGTAGAACTAGTAAGTGCAGTTCTTGCTATTTAAAGATATACATGTTAAAAGTTTCAAAATTACAAGAAGCTTTGTAGCAAAAAGAAAGCTCTATCTCACTTTTCGATGCTTAAAAATTGGATTTTGGTTGTAAATTTTTTACAAAATATACTTCAGGACTACTTGTAGTTGAAATTATTGATACCTAGATTTTTTCAAGAACTGCGCTTATCCCACTGGTTCTTCAAGCCCGTCAATTATAAGTAATGTTGATGTAAAAGCCTTTGTATTCAAATGCATTATTAAATATTATCAAACTTTGAGCATATCCTAAATTAGGATCACATCAAAAAATTTCCGAGTTGAGACACCTTAGAGGAAGAACTTTTCCAGGGTGCAAAAAATACCCTATCTTGAGATATCTCAACAAACATGGCACGGTTCGTTTGAACCAAAGTTAAATGAAAAGTCGATGCACTCATGATTTCTCTTCAGAACCTTGAAGTATGATGTAAATACATTACTTTAAGACCAAAACGAAAATATTCTGTCGAGCTCTCGGAAAATAAGGCCGATTTAAAGGTTTTTAGCCCTGAATCGGCTGAAAATTGCTGATTACGGAGCAAATATCCAATAAATATGGCTGTACTCTTTGTTTTTTGAAGTTGCGGGGGCATCGGGGGTAGGAAAAGGCCTTTTTCTTCCTTCACCACCCCCCGCCCATCGCTCCCCCGCCCCCTTCCATAAAAAACATTCACACCTATGCATATGCATGCGCTCAAATTGATATGAATGTCTTGCTAGTTTGAGTCGGTGGATTGGACCCAAAGTAGAATACCGATGACCAAACTCGAAAATTGCACAATCGCTTATTGCAACGTTGCAGATTTCCTTCTATTATTTTTTACGGCCGAGAATTTTGCAGAATTTCAAGGAAAACTTCATTCGTTTTTTTTTTACAATGACATTAAAATTCAGTGGAAGTAATTCTCTCAAATCTTTCCTATGGTTCGTCTATAAATAAAGAAAGTAGAAAAATATACAAGCAGAAACTCTGAAACGTCGCAATAAAGATGCATTTAATATTTGAGTTTACCTTTCAATATTCCTTAAAATGTATTAAAAATACAGCACATATTTGAAGAAAAAATAGTCTTTTTCACGAAAATAGAGGGTTTATTATATTGAAAGCATTTGAATACTGTGAAAAGAAACAAAGGTCTCGGTTTTTATAGCGAGCAAGCCCCTGAGAGTGTCCATCAAGATTTTAAAGCCACATGGCTGAAATACGAAGTAGCAGAAACGAACCCTAACTACTTAACTCAATTGCTACGCGCAGTTTGCGAGTACAATTCACTGCATTTGTAATCTTGTGTGTATAATCATCTTTACTTAAAATTATACTAGTATGCTTAATTATTTTTATAATTCCATCCTCAAATGATTTTATGCGATTTTTATATGATTTATGCTGCTTTGTCGTCCTGTATTCATTGTTTTCTTATATGCTTCCATTCACAGTAGATTTTATGCTTGATTGCTAAATTGCTTTTCTGCCATTCTAACGTGGTTTATGCTTTGCCATATTTTGTATTCAAATGCTTTCAATATAATAAACCCTCTATTTTCGTGAAAAAGACTATTTTTTCTTCAAATATGTGCTGTATTTTTAATACATTTTAAGGAATATTGAAAGGTAAACTCAAATATTAAATGCATCTTTATTGCGACGTTTCAGAGTTTCTGCTTGTATATTTTTCTACTTTCTTTATTTATAGACGAACCATAGGAAAGATTTGAGAGAATTACTTCCACTGAATTTTAATGTCATTGTAAAAAAAAAACGAATGAAGTTTTCCTTGAAATTCTGCAAAATTCTCGGCCGTAAAAAATAATAGAAGGAAATCTGCAACGTTGCAATAAGCGATTGTGCAATTTTCGAGTTTGGTCATCGGTATTCTACTTTGGGTTCAATCCACCGACTCAAACTAGCAAGACATTCATATCAATTTGAGCGCATGCATATGCATAGGTGTGAATGTTTTTTATGGAAGGGGGCGGGCGAGCGATGGGCGGGGGGTGGTGAAGGAAGAAAAAGGCCTTTTCCTACCCCCGATGCCCCCGCAACTTCAAAAAACAAAGAGTACAGCCATAATTATTGGTTATTTGCTCCGTAATCAGCAATTTTCAGCCGATTCAGGGCTAAAAACCTTTAAATCGGCCTTATTTTCCGAGAGCTCGACAGAATATTTTCGTTTTGGTCTTAAAGTAATGTATTTACATCATACTTCAAGGTTCTGAAGAGAAATCATGAGTGCATCGACTTTTCATTTAAGTTTGGTTCAAACGAACCGTGATGGGGCACATCTTGGGCTGTGACGCAAATTTCAAAAGTGATGAGATTTTTTTTTCTTTTTTTGGCTGTATGAATTATAGACAAGCATCTATCAGTTTGGTTTGGCATAAAAAGATATGCCATAAAAAAAGAATACAATGTTAAATTGACTACATCAATCAATCTTTGATATGTCAATCAATATCATTGTATCAAGGATTTAGAAATTGTTGTTACTTACCCGAATTTGGACTTGCAAATTATTTGTTCTTTGTCCGGTATTTGGGACTTGGGATGTATGGGCAAAATGGTCTTTACTATCGCTGCATTTTCTTTAACTATTTAAGTGACACGCGTTTTGCAGAATGACATAAATCATTCTCTCTTTCCATGAGAAAGTATTGCAAAATCTCATATCCCTAGGAAACTACAAAACTTGCAGAAGGCGTACCTTTTCATTACACAGGGGAGCCAGCACTCCTAGAGTGAACACAGCGAGTAATGGTCCTCCAACGACACCAAAAATTGTAAACGCAGCTTGCAAAACGCTGCCTAGGTACTTAGAAAGAAAAGCGATGCCAATGCATATACAACCATAGGCAAGAGCTAATATTTTTGAGAGAAGGACACTTCTTCTGTGTTCCATAGTATCCGAGGTGAGATATGAGTGAAGAGGCTGTCAACAGAGAATTAATATTTTAAAATGCAAAGAAAATATGCCAAACAAACAAAACAAGGTACCATGCGATACATCAATGTTTTTGATTCATCTTCAGATATTCCCTTAACGCCGTGGAGCTCTACTTATGAACAGCCCCAACAGTTGTCTAAGTGATTCAGATAATGAAAATATGGCAATTTTGTATTGCTTTGATAGAGAAACTATTGTAAAAAGTAAGTTTGTAGAGACAAAGAATAGAAATTTGTCCTCTCTTATTCTTCCCTGGTTCCTCTTGCGAAAATTTCGGGAAAATGATAATATTTTGATGACCAAAGTGCAAAACCACATATATCCGTTTGTAACATTGCAGATTTCCTGTCATTCTTCATTTTTTCTTTGAAAAACTAGTCAACACAATTTTTTAAAAACTTCCTTGAAGTTTCTTCTCTGTTGGTAGAGTATTTTGTATACATTTCAAGCTACTTAACCGACTCTTTTCGCTGAGAAAAATTAAAATAGGAGCGACATTTTTGAAATGCTGCTATGGAAATACGTGGTTTCGCACTTCAGCCATTGATATTAGGTTCTGCTTTTGTTCCCTCCTTGAGGACATAAAAATTTCGTTTTTAAGATAGAGAAAGAAATGTAGAAGAATTAAACTGAAATGATGACATTTGGCAAAGTCCCATTATCATGTTTTGTCACAGTAAATCATGCAATGCTGTACAATTATGAAATTAGGATAATTATAATGACTTTTCTATGATAAAATTGCTGACATTGTAGGATGACAATATTGTGAGGCAAACTTAAACCATGTTACTTAGAAAATAAAGATTACTTTTAGAGCTCACTTCCTGTTGACTAATACCAACCAATCTTTTGGGATAGCATTTTTGGGTTGCACTTGACACTATACGGCTAAAAAAAGTAATAAAACCTCATACCCTGATATAATCTTCAAGTGTTACTGCGGCTAGAGAATTGATGGCTCCAGATATCGTACTCAAAGCTGCACTGAACATACCAGCCACGAACAGTCCCGGGAGTCCAGGATATCGACCCATTGTATCAAGGACAAATAATGGCATCAGTTGGTCATTCGACTTCACTCTGCCAGTCCTGCATGGAAAAAATTTGATTAAATTTGGTACATCATAGATAGTTCTGGATACTGATTTAAATATCAATCAATATTTTGTAGCCAAACCATCTAGGACAGATAATCTGGCTTAACTCAAAAAAAGGGAAAACGCTTAGACAAATTATGATGATTATACAAGACTAGACTGATAAATTACGACATTCCAAAAATGAGCTATTTTGAGGAGAGGGTCTGTTGGATTTCCCACAGAATTTGAAATTTACAATTCATCTCTTGAAATTTTTTAAAAATTTACACCAAAAAACGCCCGAGTTTACTTTTGACAAGAAAGAATGATAAACAGTAAAATTCAAACAAAAGACAGAACAATTAGGGAGCCATTTTGCCTTGACTCCAGAAAATGCTTAAATCTAAAAGGGTCGGATTTTTTTCTCTTTTTTAAATGCTATACCTGATGGGATCGCAATCATGATATTTGTAGAGGAGACAAAGTCCACAGAGACAGGCAGAAACTTCTAAAAAGCTTAACAAGGGTAACGCTAGCCACAAACTTCTTGATGCTGCTCCCAAATCTTTTGTTGTAAGGTATCGCTGTACTTGAATTTGGTTCACTCCAAACAAAGATATGAAGATGAACACTCCGCCAATAAAAATAGAAAACAAACTATGGCGCTCCGTTGGATCTAGATTGAAACTAAGGACAGAGAAAATGAAAAATAAATTTAAAGCAGGCTCAATTTCTGATAAGCGAAATTACATGGATGACAAACACTAAACGCTGATACTAGATTTGGTGATAAGGATGCATTTAAATCAAAAGGAACCACATCCTGTGACATGAGCTGTGTCACGCATGTAATCTCAGGGCTTATGTCAATATGGATATGATTCCATTTGCGCATCCAGGAACATTTTAAGTGTCATATCACATTACCAAAGATTAAGCAGCAGCATACAAAAGGTATAAGAAAAGCGCACTTGCTGATTAGCTAAATCTGTCTAACAACAGATTGTGTTAATTTGTTCATTTTTGAGTCAAATAGAGTCTTTCTGTTGTCCAGGTTTTTCATAATCTGGATCCACCATGTTTCAAACAATCCGGAGAGTCAACAGTTTTTATGGTTGAAGAATACTTGAGATTGATCTGCTGGTTGATGTTTGACCCAAAGTTGAAATCTCTTTTTAGGTGTAGGTTGTATTTTGAAATTAACAGACAAAGAGAAAATGGAGAGATCCTATTGGTTGAAAAGGAAGATGGATGTAGACTGAGAAGAAAAATGATGGATTTGATGATGAATTTTGATGATGATGATTGATGAATTGAATGATGGATAATGTGGTTTTTTGTGAGATGCCATTAGTTGATCTATTAATTCCCTCCTTTGTCTATTGTAACTACCTGCTTCCGCCAATAGGATCATAAAATTTTCTCTTTGTCTTCTTGGTCTAACAATTTCAACAATCGGCCTGCAAAGACTGTTCGGTAGCATCTTGCTAGAGCTCAGAAAGGCAAGTGACGAATCATGACATGTTCAAATTATAATAAAAGGGTAGAGAAAATTCATACTTTAAAAGATTGATTCGTCCATTTTCTTCTGCCACCTTCCATATATCACTGATACCATGCGCATTTACTAAAGAGACGCCAATGACACAGAATAAAGCAGCGTACATTAGTAAGGACTGAAAAACAGAGAAGAAGAATTAATGATAGAGAAGCTTTAAGGGCAACAATACTTTGTGCAAGAAGTTCATTTCTAAAATAAATGCAAACAATTTAGGTAAGGAGGATTTGCTGTGAATGGAAAACACTTTTATCGGAGGAATTACAGTAAACTCCATGTATAGACTTTCAGTAGACCAGCTAAAATGATCATAACTCTGAGGTCATTGTTAAAATGAGATTATAAATGGTAGTTCTAACTTTCTTTGAAAATAGGAACAAAGAAATACAAATATGCAAATATGTGAGAAAAGATGTGGTGATTTCCGGTAAAATTACATCATGCAGTTGGAAATGAAGGTACTGATCCTCTACTAAATTTTGCTTTTTAGTCCATTTGATTGATATTCGTACACAAATCAATCTAAAACTTATCCTACTGCGCAAGCTTGATTTTGGCCCAAACTTAATGATAAAATTTTGCTTTAAAGATAGGAGTTCATTTCTTACCTGAAACACATCTGTCATGATTACAGCTTTAATGCCACCAATCGTTGAGTAAAAAATACATACAAACCCAACGATTAGTATTGCACTTGACTGAGACATACCAGACACAGCTTCCAATGCCAAAGCTGGGGCGTACAAAACAACTCCCATGTAAAGTACACCTTGTAAGATAAACACTAGCGAACATGCCAATCTTGTTGCTGTTCCAAACCGTTTTTCAAGATACTGTTGATAACAGAAACAAGAGTTTTGTAACATTAGTAAAGAGCGTAACATAAGGGACATAATCTTGGGGTAAATCTAAAGCAGGAGTAAGCAAATACTATATTATTGAACGAATTTTGCTAAAATACTGGTCTAATCTTAAATTTTTGGCAGAAATGAGATTCATTACCTCTAGGAGAACTATTCAGCTGTTTATTTCCTAAAAACCTACATTTAATCTGAAAGTACTCAAACATGAGAATTAAATGTTTGCATTGACTCATTTTACTTTTAGCATTATTTCAGCACTTCAAAAATACATCCTTTGAGATGACACAGCAAAAATGCGCCTTTAGAAGTAAAGAATCCAAATTTTTTTGGTCAAAAAAAAAAAAATCAGTAGGTAATTGTTTACTTCCTGTGTAGGTTCACCTAAAAAAATCATGCACGAAAGAAGGATACAAGAAAAAATTGAGGAGGAAAAATTGTTTTTGCATTTCAATTCTTTGATTCTTGAATCCACTTTGCAGTTAAAACAATTAAAATACATCTTCCACCAGTGAAAATTCTATCTGATGCAGAATCTTTCTTAATTGATACAAGTAACAGCATATTGATGGTGAAAATTCAAAAAAGTTATCTGCATTTGCAACTACTTATATTTCATTTTTCAAGGGAAATAAATTGCAATTTTTTTCTGAAATATCGGCTAATATTTATCGTCTAATAAGGAATATTTTGCAGAGATTTCAAAAATGAAGAATGGGTTTGTTTCCTTGGTAAAATGAAAAAGTAAGTAAACTTGTATGTTTTGCAAAAACCCTGATCAAGATGAACGTTTTTAGGACGATCATCGACGATTCGCTCTATGGTTTGGCCTCAATGCCAGCCAATTCCATAAATATCAATCGTAGATCGTGCGGTACAGTAAAACCAACATTCAACTACGACTTTTCCAAATTTTCAAGTATATATAGTGGCATGTGTGGAAAGATTTTTTAATTCCAAAAAGGGTATTTTCAAGTAATTACTTTATTTTTAAAGAAAAAAAAAAAAGAAAAAAATGGAATCATCATCTCACTTGAAGTACCTGTTTAAACTATCTTAATGTCTGCGCCACTACCACGAAAGAAGCAAATGTAAACTCTTTGTGCTTTAGCAAATTCGAACAAGCCCAACATCCGAGTAGATTATCATCTCTTCACAAGTTGTGAGAGAGTAACATTAGAGTGAAGAGAGATTAATAATTTGTGGTGGTCTTATCTCTTAATATTAGACATTAAGAGATAAGACCACCACTAAGCTCCTTTCATACTAATGTAACTTCAATTCAAATATCATGAATAGTATTAGACTCTTATTTTCCATAAAAAAGATCTGACGATAGCCAAAGCCAAAAAGCATAGACTGGAACCTTTAAATAAAAACATTTAACATAGGTAAGTTCGTCTTCATTTCTTAATCCATACACTGGTTACCCAGTAATACAATTTTCAAATTCAGATGTGGATGTTTTGCTTACCTCATAAACAGAGACATATCCTAAATTGAAGAAGACAGGCATGTAAAAGTTGGTAATGATTGGTATCGCTGCAATATAGGTAAAGTTGATCGTCACAAAAATAAAACCATGGCTGTAGATTTCAGCACTTGTACCAAGTAGTGTGATTGCAGACATGAAACTAGCCATTATAGAGAAAGCAACTGGTACAATTCCCTGACTACGACCTCCGAGCAAATACTCCTGCAAAATTCATAAGATTAAATTGTGTAATTATAATGTTGGAGCTGCAGGGATAATGGAACAAAATCATAGCATAATGTGTTTTCTTCCAGCTTACTAAACTCTACTTGTAAGTTGAGCTACCCATTTTCCACTAGATAGAATTGTAGGTGCCCCTATTTTAACTGTTCAGGATGAGGCATCAAATAAAAAATAAATGTATCCGCTAATGTTGAGGCAATGATCCCTTGCACATTGGGAGATGGTTGAGAATTACGGAGAAAAACAATCATTGTTTCGATACAAATGTATAAATCTTTCACATAAATGTTACGAGAAATCTGACCTAAAATTGCAATCTACGAAAAAACCAAGGAAAATAGTGATGATGGGATTCTCCTCCACAGATTTCTAGGAACGATAAAATACGGAATCCTGTGGCACAGCTCTCATTGAGCATGATGAGGGATTGAAAGGCACACACCCATAAGAAACTATCTCCAAATAATGAGACACCATAGGGTGGATGACAGTCTTCCCTCGCAACACAGGGACCTAGAAGAAAAGCTACCTAGGAGTCTGAGGAAGTGATCAGAAACCATTTTTAGTGATTTTTTTCTCGGTTTACAAAAAGTATCTACTCATAAGTATTGATAAATCTACATTGAAGTACTTGGAAAAAGACAAGAATTAGCTGTAAGATCATCCTGGTGTTTCTTTTGAATAAAAAAGTGTGTGGATAATAGCACAGAACTTGTCTGAAAGTATATCTTTCATGCAAAATACTTGATGTCCGCAAAAAATATTCATTATGTTATAAGTGGACTTGGTTTGTTTTTGACAACGAGGCTCATGAAGGGTTGAAACTCTAGATCTGATTTTCTGTGTCCCAAGTCCATGACACTTAGCTTGCTTTCACTTAAACAATTCCCGTATGTAATTTCCCTTCCTGCTATGATAAAAATAACCAGTAGGACTGTGTCAAAATATCAATGAAATGGATACATTTTCAACTGATCTCAACTGACATCATTAAATCTTTCACTAGAATCAGTTAAGATGTAGAAAATTTAAGTGTTGGACTGGCACCTATTATTCTGTCAGTCATTTTCAGCAGGATAGTGAAGGACAATGTAGAGCCAAAGATTAGGTGGAAGAGAAAGTACAATTACCTGATTGGTCTTCTGCTTGCCACCAGAGAATCTATAATAAATGCCAATCCCCGCTGAAATGCAAAGAACAGCTCCCAGAACAGCATAATCCAAAGCAACAAAGAACGTCATTTCTTTACAGCTGAAAAAAAATTGGTTACGATGAGGACACCTTCAACAATGAGTGAAAATGGGATTTTTCCAAGATATATGATGAAAACTAATGCCCTACAAGACAATTTTAGTTTTAAACATAGTGCCTATTACTAATTGATTTCAATTGAAGTGAGGTATTAAAATCGGCCATCAGTGTTAAATTATCACCGTCCCTCCCCAGTGTACAGCTCATGATTTCCGCTTTACTCTAAGTCATACTCTCGGTTACAAGAGATACGAGGTTATGTGGGTGATAAAGTTTGAAGTGAGGTAATAAACATCCCAAGCTATTTTCACTTTCAACTTCTTCTTGACAGATCAAGTGTGTACTTGTGTACACCATCGCGTAAGTAAATGCTTATGCACTGCATGAGAGGTGGCTCTCATGATTACAAAAAGACCAACAAAGCTCTTCTGATTCACACATTTCAGGATCGGGAGGTGCTGTCAATTTCATTAAATTTATGAATCAAGGCCAGTGAGGTACACGGGTACACTGGACGATAAATTCATGAGTCATGACCTGACATGATTTTGAAAGATGATGACTGACCTACCTCCAGGATGAAGAGAACAAGTTTAAGTGCCCTCGAGTTAGGTGTTGCAAATAAAGTATGAGCGAGCTTGAGCGACGAGTGTTCTTGATGCCTGCAGGTACTTATGCAAAGTGGCAAAGTGCACTAAAATAGTGAAGATACTAAAGGAGATATGAATTAGAATTAGAAATTTGAAACCTTCGGCGGCACGTCGCGCCTCGCGCGCCACAGATCAACCATGCTGCATGCTGCTAGTTTGTTTTGATTTGAGGGTTGCATCGGTAATGAAGTTAGGCGCAATTTTGCGCACTCTTTTGATTCTTCTGCTGTTTGCTGTTCCTGTGGAAACGCAACAATTTGGTTATGTTTACTATAATGTGATAACGGTGATAAGTAACAACACCTGAATTGGGGTCGGGGTGTAACCATTCCATTCATTTAGCCTCTAGGGATTAAAAATGAAGTGCCAGATAACCGTTTCATATACCCATTTTGAATGTAGGTAATCCATAATCCATGTCAAGTTACTTACCCACAAAAATGACTGCCCATTTTCAACTGTGTTCATTGTTTCTTTATTCGGAAGTCCAGAATCACCTGTCGTGACCTTTCTCAGTTTCCGATTGGGACTCTTGTCACCAGGTTTTTAACATCTCAAGAGTCTCAAGAATTATTGTGCAGCATCAGAAGCTTAACCCTAAGGTAATTCGTGTATACTTCCTAAGACTTCTATCATTCACGCCTTATAAGTGAAAGAACAACACACAAACAAACAAACACATTAGGTAGGAAAGATTCTTCGGCACCTCCGTTGCTTAGATTAAGTCAAAGCTTAGTATGTGTTTTTTAATTGAAGGCTTTTTACATTGAACCATTCTCTTGAAATCCAAAGTTTGTCATATAAGTACTCATGTCTATCAAGGAGAAAAATATTTAAGAATCCGGTTTTTACAATTAGCTCTACTTAGTCACATATTCGGACCAATACTGGCACATGTTTCCGCTCTGGGCGGCACAGTATTTAAATCTGTGCAAGACGTTTTTAAGTAAGCTAGACAGGTAGTTATTCTGTCAAAAACTGTGCTTTTACTATATTTGAAAAGTCAGTATTATAAACCATATTATAAACCATATCCTTTCCTCTAAATCCTCCCATGAAAAACAGAAACCTGGTATCTGTTGTGACCCCCTTGCACATGAAATTTTAAACAAATTTCCTGAGTGTCCTTTGAATTAAGAGTTTCATGAGTACTAGTTTTCTAAAGTATTTCAATCATATTTTTCTCAGTCGTCAATGTGTTTCTCATTACGACATGCACAGAATGTAGAATTTTCCAGATCTCCTCTCGTTATTACTGTAAAATTCTGATGAGTTGGCAATCACACTCTTGCTTTCATTTTCTAATGAAGCGCTGTATGAGTCCTCAGACATTGCCAAATTTCCTGTGATCAAGTGCGGATTTTCCTTGAAAGTTTTAGATATTATTCTTCCAATTTTCCTGTGAATTTCCTTTGCCAAGTGATGCAAAGTACCTGAAAACTTTATGGAAAAATATTCACAACTATCCTAATAAATACACTTTTGGGCAGGGGAGACTTGGCAACATTTGAATATTCATACATCGTTTTCCTTAGCACAGCAGAATTGCTCAACTTTTAGAGATAGAATTGCTCATTTTCTCTTTTGTTTTTTTCCAGCTTGACCATGGCAGTTTTCAGCATTATTGATCATTTGGTGCTGGACATAACTCTGCTCATATCAGCAGCCATTGGTATTTATTCTAGATTCTCTGGAGGAAAGCAGCAAACCACGAAGGTACGAATCTGGTATCTGAGCCGAGAATGTACAAAACATTGTATTATCAGTTTCAAGTCAATAGGTCTACTGTATAACATCTACTTTTTTTGGTCTCCGCATTTATTTAGTCCATTTTAAAAAAAGGCTACAAATAAATTGTCTACCTAACTCATGAGTCTCCTTGCCTCCAAAGTCTACATGTAGTCTACATGTAGACCACAACATTTTTTTGTGGACTACTGCTCCTCTGTGCAAAAGTAAAGACCCTCGGCCACCTATAAAAATTGAAGATTTTTTTCAAGGGGGTGAGGCTTGGAGTGCTTTTCAGAGTTCATCAGCATATTTTCCAAAGCTGTTTCATCGCAAACAGGCTGCAACTTTTGCCTTATTGTTTTTTGCATTACCTACTAGCAACAAGAATGGACTAATACATTTTGAAACTTGTTAAATGTTCTCATTGTGATGAAAAGATTTGCAAGCTTCAAATCAAGATGAGTCATTCTTATTATAAGGCGGTTTATTTCTTTAAATTCTAATTACTGATTCCAATTTATGCTTTCAGGAATACCTTCTCGGTAATCAGAACCAAAGAATCTTACCAGTTGCTTTTTCTCTCATGGCTAGTTTCATGTCAGCTGTAACATTACTGGGTGTTAGTGCTGAAACTTATAATCATGGATTCATTTTTGTACTAATAAATTTTTCCTACATCATCGGCACTCCAGTTGTCACAAACATCTTTTTGCCTGTGTTTTTCAATTTAGGTGCCATTTCTGTGTACGAGGTTAGTTACATTGCAGTATTCTGAAATCTATTGATGTTTCATATTTTACTTAGTTAATTTAAATTATTCATGTAATTTTCTAAGTCTTCTTCATAAGCCCGTCCACCAGCTCTCCCTAAATGATCTACCTATGAATGGTTTTTTTTTTTGACAATTTTCACCCGCTTCATTCAAAGTATGCAAAAAACTACCTTACACGTTACCACCTCCAGAATTGATTCCTTTTTTTTTTTTTTTTTTTTTTTTGGGGGGGGGCTTGCCATGAAATTAAAATAATTTATATTTACATTTTTCTCTGAATTTATTTGTTCCAAACTTTGTATGTAGAGAGATGCTTATCTTGAGAAAACAGACTGATATGCTGTAATATAAGTATTTAATTTTTTCTCATGCCTCAAAGTTTCTATCCATCCGAAGGAGCAATTCAAAGCGGGAACAAGAAAACATTAATGCAATAGAAAATAAATCAGTGAGAAAAAATGCAACTTTTTTAATGAGAGATAGCGTTCATAAATTATGAAACACCTTTTTTCAGCATTTTTGATCCCCTTTCCCCCCTCAATGCTTCTGTTACGTAGGTTCCTATCATTCAACTTGTAAAAATAAAACAGTGTAACGCTCTCTTAGATCCCCTTCCCCTCAGAGTGTTACATAATTTATGAATGCTCCCTACGTGATTAAACTTGTGAAGATTTTCTTATTTTGGAAAAATTTTAATTAGTTTTGGACCTCATTTAGTGAAGAAATATCATACTGACAGTAGACTGACTTAGTGACTCCGGTACTCAGTGGTTTCACTCAGAGCAAATGCACTTTTTTGATACAGGTCAATTTACTGCTTTTTTTAAAGGCAGCACAATTTGATGGGGATGTATCAAATGACATAACCACTTAATCTATAATGAACTTTCAAACTCGGTTTCTCACATTGTAAAGAATTTAATCTTAAAATTTTTGCCATATCTTAGAGCATTATCCTTTGGTAAAAAAACACCCTTTTGTTTCCAGTATTTAGAAAGGAGGTTTGGTTTTGCAACAAGGCTCGCCTGTTCTCTAGCATTCACCTTCCAGATGATGCTTTACACAGGCATTGTTTTGTATGCCCCAGCTCTAGCACTTGAAGCAGTCACTGGTCTTTCTCAAAGAATGTCTATCCTCATTGTTGGCCTATGTTGTTTGTTTTACTCCACAGTTGGTGGAATCAAAGCTGTTATATGGACTGATGTCTTTCAGGTAGGCATCTTGAACCTTTTTTCAGTGAAGAATATTAGCCACTGTTGTTGTAGTATCAGCGGGCAGTGAAAACTTAGTGTAAAAAAACAGTGTTGCCTAGCAGAGATACCACTGCTGCTGCACTAATACCTTGATTTTTATCTGCAGATCATGCAAAAAGTTCCGTGATCTGGCTGTTTTGCCTCATGGCATATCCCAAATTTGCCTCATTGTCAAACATCTGATTTAATGGAAAATTTCCAATTTCCAATTTGGAAAAAAAAAATCTTTGATGCCCAATGTCTACCTATTTTTTATTTTAATATCTAATGCCAGCGCCGAATTTCTTGGTATTGTGTGCGTAATCCTTTATTTTGCCAAGCAAGAACTCTTTTTAAGTCATATTTAATTTCCCTAATAGCTTTTTAGCTTATTTCAAGGTACAATAATTAGCATTTCTCAGTCAATGCTTTGTTTCTTTCTTTTCTTCGAACTTTTTCATCCTCTGCTAATTCTGATTTTAATGGTTTTATTTCAGTCCTTATTGATGTATGGTGCTCTATTGGCTGTTATCTTTGTTGCTGCTGCAAAATTTGACGGTGTCTCTGGGATTTGGAAAATTGCTGAAGAACATGGACGTATCAATCTTTATAAGTTAGTATATATTGTTCAGTTCATTTTTTCTATTCTGAAAATCTGGCTGACCGCTGACTTGAAAATTAGATCAGATGAGATAGAAAATTAAAGTCTTGTAGGGTGTGAGAATTGTTAATAGTTCCTCATAATGGACCTCAAGAGAAAGTATGCATTAAAGCAAACATAATAAGTTCTCTCTTCAAAATTAGGCTGAGGGTGATCCTCTAGACCCTAGAGGAACGGTTTGGAGCTTTGCTGTTAGAGGTAAATTATAATGGACAAAATGTTAGCTCTGAAGCGCTGTAACTACACATTTTCTGAGGAAAAAGACACTTTGCACAACCAAAAAAAAAAAAAAAAAAAAAAACGAATATCAACATTTTGCGCCCTTGAGTGACTGGTAGGTAAATTTTTTTGTAATTTTTGCTCAAAAAACCAGTGGTTTCTTACATTAAATTGAAACTTTCTAAGGATCAATCTTATAAAATTAAGGACACTGTACTTTTCAAGTTATTAATCCATCCGTGGACTACTCTTTGACTTTTGGCAGACTATATTTCCCTCATTTAGGCTCTTTTTCTAAAGTCTTCCACCCTCTCTCCCTCTCCCCCTCCCCCTCTTCTTTCAGCGAATCGTGTAATCTAGAAACAATTCTGCATCGAAAAATGTTGAATCCGTATTCCGTACACACCTCATGCTTAAATTTTCTTCTATTGTTGCAGCCCATCTTTGGATCTCACTGAGCGGCACAGTTGGTTAGCTCTAACAGTTGGAGGCTTCTTCACATTCTTGTCTTTGTATGCAATTAATCAAACTCAAATTCAAAGATACTTAACAATGCAAGACCTGAATACTGCAACAAAGTCTTTGTGGTTGTCACTGCCTCTCCTTATGTTTCTTTCCTTTGCAACATGTTTCTGTGGACTCTCAATTTTTGCTATGTACCACAACTGCGATCCAATCAGGCACGTTTTCTCAATACTCCTCTTTTTATCATTAAGAATTGAATTTTATTGATCACCTTTTAAAATTATTCATCTATTCTAAGATGAATGTCACTCAAATATTTATTTTTCGTTCCAAGGGTATTTACTTAAAGGGCTTCCAGACAAGGTTTGAATGGCATTACTCAACATGTTTTCTCTTTAAAATTGTAAGAGGAAAACGAATCTCATAGTATGAAACCTTGAAATCAACCCTTTAACAATATGTAGGTGTCTACTATTAACACTGCCAAAATGGCGAAAGTACAAATAATGTCACTTGTATAATCTAACTTCCATTTGACGTGTCTGAAAAATACTCCCTGATATTTCATTTAGTAGTTGATGTAGGAGGAACTCCTCATTGTGTGATTTGTTTCATACGCAAAGTTTTGTAAAGGAAACATGCCTTTTCTTCTAGTTCAGAACTTGTCCATTGGCCCATTCTGCTGGCTATAAGTGAGGAACTACTGCAAGGAAAACCCATGACCACTGCATGAATTGAGCTCATAATCATTGGCCTAAAGCAAGGATAGTTTGACCCTACCCCCTTGGTGAAAAATTTCGAATCTTGAACTTTTCAAACTCTGCTGAGTTTTTTTGAAACTATCTATGCAGAATAGCTTAGTTTGCACAGTTTTGATTCTTTCTGATTTCCATTTTCTGATTTTATTTCAGTACGAAGCGAATTGCAAGCAAAGACCAATTAATGCCACTTTTTGTAATTGACACGATGCAGCATTTACCCGGTCTATCAGGTCTTTTTGTAGCTGGAATATTTAGTGCATCGTTAAGCTCTGTCTCAGCAGCTATAAATTCACTCGCTGCTGTCACGGTTCAAGACTTCATCAAGGTACTTATCTATTGTACCAAAGTCACATTTATTAACATACGTTTGTTCATGCTGTAAATTTTGTTTGCCACTCAATCGATTGACAAACACTGGGCATCTTGTTCTGAATTGTAAGTTGCACATTTGCAACTCAATGGTGAATCTCCCAAACCATGTGTCTTGGTTTACGACGTTGCGGGTTCTTATTATTCCCCAGAAATCGTCGCCTAGTTCCTAAGGAAATTTTTGGCGACAGGATTGAAGTATTTGTGTATGTAAAAGTGTTCTTTACTGCTAATATTTGTAGAAGATAAATTGTATTCAATGAGAGCGTTTGAAAAATCTTTACCCACACATAACTCTGTAATCTAGCAAAATTTATTTTGACGAATCCTCTCTTGGATGTTGATCAGCGATCAGTAAAAATTTGTAATATCTTTTTTACAATTAAGAAACCAACTTATACCTTGAACATGGAGAACACCAGTTATACCTTTGATGTGTAGTCTGTATAGATAGGCTATTTTTTCAATGTAATTTGGGAGACAAAAAGATTACATACTACATACTTCATCTGAATAAGCCATGAGCGATCAGACTTCATTACCTTAAGACTGCGTTTGTCCTCCTGTCACTTTTGACACCATTATTTTTCCCACCTCTTATTCCAATCTAGTTTTACGAACCTTGGAGACGCTTGCATTTTGTTGGACTTCACTTTAGTATTAATGTTACATTGTGGTTCATGCTTGATTCTGAAATTTTTTTCAAAGTCTTGAAAAAGCTTAATTTTTTGGAAGGTGCTTAAATCCTCTTGAATCTTTTTTATCATTATATTTATATAGTTTCCAGCAAAAAGTTCCCATTGTTAAGGATCAACAGACCATTTGGTGTTAAATATATGATTTGGAAACATTACAGTTTTCAATAGAAATTGCAAACCAAAAAAAAAAAAAAATTCCCCATAATTCTCATCATTAAAAATCACAATCATACTGAGATTGAACTATGCGTGCAGGAAATAAGTATGAAAAAAGAATCAGAAAGTGCCTGACAATTTTTGTGGCTGCACAAATTATGTGCATAGCCTCTTTAATTTTGTATATAACTAGTCCAACTCTCAAGTGACTGTTAATAGACCAAATACCAATGTTTCAGCCCTTACACTCAGCAGTTTCAAAAGGAGTCATGCTGGACTCAACTTGCAGTTATCTTCTTAAAGCGCTGGTACTTTTATTTGGCATACTTTGTATTGGTGTGGCCTATTTAACTCAATTTTTCGGAAGCATCCTTCAAATGTCTCTGACTCTTTTTGGCGTGATTGGTGGTCCAGTTTTAGCTGTTTTCACAATGGGTGTCCTGAATCCGTACTGTAATCAGAAGGTAAGCCCATTTCCCTACTTGAGCAACCAAAATATGATTCAAAATAAATGTAAACGAATAAAAAAAATTATGAGAAAGTGGGTATCTGCATGCCCCTCAACAGGAGTTGGTTTTCATGCAAACAAATCCGAGCGCACTGTGTTGGGACGTGTCCAAAGTTGTAGTTCAAATTCTCCTCGACAGCTAGAGCAACAAAAGTGCATACTTCTGAGTAGAGGTTGTTGAGTAATGGTGGAATCATTACAGGAAGGATACAGTTTTGCTAAACACAGCTGCTACGTTCGAGGTAACGGAAGAGTTTAGTGTTGTTCTTGAAGCTTTGCGTTGTTGAAATGCATCTAAGTTTTCCAGCTTTGATCCTTTTATTAAGAACTTCATCTGCCATGGCCACCTAAAAGTCCATTTTCCCCTCTTTGTTTCAGGGTGCATTAACCGGATTGTTCTTAGGCCTTATTTTCTCCTTCTGGCTAGGCTTCAGTGGCCCTAAACCAATACCCCAAAGGTTGTCTATTGATATTAGTGGTTGTGCCAATAGCACCCTTGTGACTATCAACGATTTAACAAATGAAATATCCATTGAAGAGGACTCTACAACTGTCTATCCCCTGTAAGTCAAGCTTTTTCATTGTTTCCTGTGTCCAACCCATAATTTGAAGGTTTCAGTGTAGATTTTGTTGGGAACTATCTTGTCATGATTAAGTATTTATGTTAAATTTTTTTGTTAGCGCTAAGTGCTGAGGATTTCATTGAATTGGCGTGAAGTGATAATGATTAATGTGAATGAAAATCTAGCCCACAATGTGCCTCAAGTCTTAATTTTTTAAATTTTTGAAATGGCTGCTGTCTTTATTTTCAATTTTCCCCTTAAAACAATGTAGATTTCAAATAAACAGAGCCAAGTTCAAGCTGAAATTCCATTAGAATGAAACTTAAAGATCCCTCATTGAAAACCAAAGAATTTGATGCTGGTCAAATTCCATAATTATTTGATTATGTTGTGAAGTGAAAAAACAACCAGCACATTTTTTATTTTCTTGTTGACAATTTTTAAAACCAGTCAAAACTTTGACGAGCAGTATGTTAGTGCTCTAATAATTTAATCCTCACTGCTTTGTTTTCCAAAGAAATCTATTAGAAATATAGGAAATATTGACGGAGGCATCCCCTAATTACTTCGTCTTAAAGCTTTTGACAGCATATTTTAATGTAATCGATTTTCCTGCCAATTTTCAGGATTTAAAATTTAGTTTCAATTTTTGATCTTTATTTCAGAACAGATGAACAGTCTTACAGCTACTTGTTCCGAATTAGCTATCTTTACTACATAGTTCTTGGATTTTTCTCAACCGCAATAGTAGCCGTTCTAGTCAGTCTTGTCACTGAAGCAAACAAAAATTTGAATCCGTCTCTCTATGCTCCTTGTATAGAAAAGTATGTCAGAAGATATCAGAGCAAGAGGCAAAGTAAAACAGTAAGTAAAAGTTTTTCGAGGTTTGAATACAAATTTTTTCTGTAGAAAGAAATAAAAAATCTAAACCCTCAGGGGTGTAGATAGTTCCTGATCACCCGATCATGATTGCAGGGCCGGGTGCGTGAAAAAATGGGAAGGCTAGCTTGCAGTTGCATTAAAATCACATGTTTTTTAGAAAATAGCAGTGAAATTTTTGTGTTTTTCGTAAAATAGCCGTAATTTGTGAAGATTCGACAAAAAAACAAAAAAAAAAAAACAAAAAAAAAGTCATAGCTTGAAACATTTTGGAAAACAGTGGTTCTTGAAATGAAAAAGCAATTAAAAAAATGGGAAGACCAAGACCTTTTTGCATCTTTGGCAATCTCACTGAAGGTGTAATAATAATGGAAGCGACTTAATACTCTTAAAGTATACTACAAATAAATTTCTTTTTCATAAGTTGGGTATATCGACGGTGAAACTACCAAACCACGTATCTCATTTGCGGTGTTTAAAAATCTACGCTCACATTTTATTTTTTTGAAGTAGACCAAATCAATATCATTCCTTGAAATTTTCACGGAATTTTCTCTGCACGAAGAGGAAAAATCACAGAAATTTTCAAAACTGGATGTTAAGTAGTTTTTCATTTAAAAAATAAAGTATGACAGGAAGTCTGCAACGTCGCAAACCGAGATACGTGGTTCGGTAGTTTCACCGTCGATATGTAGTTACTGAAAGAAACTTGAGACCAAACATCCTCTTTTATTCTAGGTAATAGTTCCTGAATCTGAGGCCACCCAATATCCTTTGGACAAAATCGAATTTGTCAGTGATCAAGAGGTCATTACGTAAGTAAGTTACCAAAACTTCAGATCCATTGAGTGTATTTTCTGATCGCTAATTTTTGAAGCGATATTGATTGTTAGTAGCACTTTTTTCTGAAAGAGATACCAATCGAATTCAAGGTATATTCTGTTTCATTTCAACTGTGAATGAGATTTAAACTCAGAAGTCTGATTTCTTAAAACCTCTTTAGAGTGGATCCGTTAATTTTTGCTAAATCGGACCGATTATATTCTATAAATTCTAAAATCCTTGACCGTTTCACTCAGAAAAGATACTGTTGTGAATTAGCTACAGTAATATAATTTAAAAATAAATTAACTATGATTCAGCTTTCATTAGCAAAACAAATTTATTGGTGTCTTCTTCAACTCATTCAGTGACTCAGTCCCTTGAAGTTTATTTATAGATTGTTTAAAAATCTATAAGTGCCAAAGTCTCAAAACATTCTTATTCCTGGCTGCACTGGTATTATGACTTTATTTCACAGCAGCAGTAAAAATTAAGAGATTGATTTTTCTGCTAGTTATAATACTCAATTTAAGTATGAATGTCCCCTATGATGAGCATGATTCGCATGAAACCGAAAATACCTAGGTACTTAGTCCACTGACGATCAATCAGGTTTTTAAGAGCAGCTTTTTCATATTTTAAAGTGTTCATGTAAGGGGAAGTACTAGTTCTAGGGATTTCCTTGTATCCCACTTCTCACAAAATTTTATTTATGACCATTGTCTTATTTATGTATGTTATCTTTTTTTTTTTGTTAAGGGTTTCTCTTTCCAATTCCTATCATGATGGACTAGTAATCAAGGTACGCATTTAAGCATTCTTGTACATGATTCCTTTTCAAAACACATACAGTGGAGCCCGTATATAACGAAGTTCACGGTTCCCAGAAAAACTTCGTTATATCCGGAACTTCGTTAAAAGCGGACTCTGTGGGAAAATTTGGGAAAAATTACACAAAAAAAATTGCAAATATACAGATTCAATACTTGTATATTTTGATCAAAAATACACAATCTGCTCTCTGGGCGAGTTCCGCTCGCTTGCGGTAAAACATGTGACAGTCGCGGAGTCACGAAGTTACGAATAAAAGAGAATGAGCGATAACGAAGTGAGCGCTCACTGCGCAGCTCGCCGCGCATGTCTCACACTGCACTCTCTCCTCTCTCACACTTGCACGCGTATTCGTAACTTCGTGACTCCGCGACTGTCACACGTTTTACCGCAAGCGAGCGGAACTCGCCCAGAGAGCAGAAAATACCGAACACAATAGCGGAAATGGCGGCAAATTACTTCGTTATATGCGAGGTGCCACCGCCGAGACTTCGTTAAAAGCGGGCTTTTTTATTATTGAGTGTATAGGGAGGTTCTAGGGGAATGAAAATTACTTCGTTATATCCGAAACTTCGTTAAAAGCGGGTTCGTTATATACGGGCTCCACTGTAGAACCAAATTTGCACATGAATATTACTGATGTTGTAATCTAACCAAGATATCAACGTTTTTAAGTTCGCCTAAAATTTGAATGCCCCACTCACAAGAAAAACCCGAGTCTAGATGTAACAAATCGTGCTCTACAACGGTTTTGGCAGGCTTCTTAACTGAGCAGTGTTCCTTTCCTGACCTGTGTTAATGAAAGTGTTTGCAACAGGCAACAGCTGAACGGAGGATTAGATTGTGGTTGCCATATTTTCATACTGCAGAGACTGGTACAGTAATGTTTAGCACTCAAGTACAACGCAAGTACAGCATGATTTAGCACTCAAGTAGATTATAGTTTTTTATTGAGCGGGGAGTTTGAATTTGCAATAAAAAACTTTATTACCTTGGTCAGGAGTTACTTTTAATAATTTTTGCTACAAGAAATTGTGATGAGAAAACATATACCATCATGTTTAAATTCGCACCTTGTCCAGCCATCCATTGGTATGATCAAAAAGACCGTCCATAAGATGATGTCAGGCAGTTTGTTTCTATTTTTAATGCTGAGGCAGACACCTCTAATGTAGTCTCTGGCACACATTAGGCACTTCTACACCCTCCTCCTCCCTTGGATGCAGGACATCCTCTATGGTCGGTCATAGATCCCATATCTTTCCTAAATGGTGTATTTTGGATCACGAAATATATCATTTTTTATCTCTCATGTCTTCCTGGAGGATGCCTTCGTGCTTTTATATTAAAAATGTATTTTTGAATGTAGTTGATACTTTTTAGTACATTCTGCGTATGAATTATAATTCAGGTGCTTTTTTACAAAAGTTGTTATGTTTAGTAAAGTATGGAATTTCTAATGCTCATCCTGATTTTAAGTCATTTACTTATTCAATTTTACAGCTTGAAATATGTCATTTTAAAAGTTACCTCTCTACACGTAAAGTTTTGGAATGTAAAATCAGTGATTTTTCATCAACCATTTCAGGACATTCGCATTTAATCCATATTGATTTTCTGTTTCATATACTGTGATCCACGTAGAAATGGTCTTCATACGCTCCAAAGCTGTTAAGGTATTGAACTCATTTGGGCCACATTTTGCAGTGAGGAACTATAATTTCTGGCTCATCTCTAAAAGTACCTATTTGCATTGGGAAACTAACAGTATATGTGTCGCAGGCAAATAGTAAATCAGGCGTTTTGTCAAATGCCTAAGCAAGCAGTCAAATATTCTTCCTGAAATTGAAATTTTGATTCTTTTCCTAATTTTAGACCAAATAAATTCATTGCTTCTGTAAGAAAGAATTTCTGTAAAAGTGTGCATTTTGCGACAGTATTTTAAACGATTTTTAGCTGCTGAGCGAACATTTATCTCAAGATTTTCAGCATATCATAAAATACAGAATTTTAAATTTTAACATCTAAATATATGAGAAGCATTTGAAGAGGAAGAAACAAGAAGGGTTTGTAGATTTGATGATTAATTTTTCTCAAAATATCAAAAACTTGTGAGCTCCTTGCCTTAAATTTACAAAATTTCGTAAACTGACAAAATTCGACTGTGTGTCTCGGCATTTGATATAATGCCTGATTTGACTAATTGCCTGCAACATATGCATTATTTCTAATATGGCTCAAAAGTAGTAGTTCCAAATTGCAAAATGTAGTTCATTTGAAATTCAATTTGTGTACTATCTTTTTAATTTCCTTGATATGTTCTCAGTTCCCTGAAATTGATGATGAATAAATACAAGGTTCATCCATAAGTAATTTTATTTAGCTCATATCTCGCTATTGATTGATTTTTGATATATCGGTCGAGCTTGGTTTTATTGATTCATCTTCGATAAATTGATCGATTTTGATACATTGTAGACCTCAAAATTGTTTGTCCTTTTTCTAAAGTTGGACCTAGAAATATTTCACCTGAGGCAGTCTTTCTCCGAAATATTTTTGTTTTCATTTAGTATTTACCCCTAATTGATTTTTTATTCTGTCATCATGATTGAATATTTTGAAAGTGCAATAATTACTTTGTTAGATATCTTATCCACTGTATCTTATTCTGTATTTATCATTATGTCCAACAAAAATGTCTTGTTCCTGGAAAATTGGACCTTAACAAATCTTACACAAAGTAAGTATTTAAAGTTGATAAGTATTGGCGAACAGACAAAGTGCCTTTAGCACATGTCTATTGCTTTAGAGTTTAGTTCAGAACTAAAAGAGCAGCTTTTAATTTACTTTTCGCTCTCTCCGCACCCACCCTCATTACTTCTCCCCCCCCCCCCCCCCTCTNCGACCCCTCTCATACCATCTCTTTCAAATTAGAAATAACTCAGGACAATAATTCTTATTACATCTGCTAATTGAAAAATGGTATTGACAATACTTATTTTAGGTGTTTTTAAATGTTTAATTGATGACTTTATGGCAATTGTTGATTTTGTATAAGTATATGTGCATATGTTGACTAGTTCATATTAGTTTTGATTTCAATTTATTACTGCGTTGATGGACTTCATTAAAATCGTTATGTTCAGATTGGTTTTGGCCTGCTCGTACTCCTGCAGGATTTCTTTCTTAGCTTTCATAGCCTTGAATCAAACCTAATTTGAAAGCTCACCTCATTTCTTACCTGTCAAGTTGGCAATATACGCATATCTTTGGATACCAACTAACAATAAGTTATGACATTTTTCTCCAGAAGTTAAAAATCTTGGCAGGACTTTGTTATCCTTCACCGAGAGGTATAAAAGTGCCATCATTTATAAAATATAAGTAGGTAACCAGAAATTTTGCAATCTAGATGATTTACCATAGAAAACTACTAAAGTGTATTTTTTTAAAAAAAAATTCTTGTTTAATATTACCAAAACGGTACTCTTTCTTTCTTTTAAAATTTTTCCAACGTTTGTTTTATAGGTACGATGAAATCATCCTTTTTTCATACCCATTATATGTGATTTTTTGTCTCGTTTCTATGCTTAATAATATTACGTAGATCTCATTTGTAATTGTTTTGAGAATTTTTTACTCTTATTTTCTTTTTTATTTCAAGCGGCTATTTTTGCAGCCAGAAAATTGTAATCAATGTCTTACAAAAGCGTACATCTTTAAAAAAGAATTTTAAATGTACTGTTTCATGTGAATGATTTTGCAGAAAGTATCTACTTAACTGTATCTAACACTGAATTTTGTAGTTGCTCGCAAAGAATTTTATAATGAATTTTAAAATTTCCCCTGTTATGTACGCAAAACAGACTGAATTGCTTCGCTTTCCTCTCTGAATGGTTTCATGAAAAGAGATACAGTTCGGTTCTGCTTAATTTAGTCCATAACTACTCTCACCCAAATGTTACTCAACACCCATCAAATAACTCTTGCATCTAAAGACTGTGCAGATTGTGCCATTCTGATAATAACCCCACGGCCCATCTCAGATATCCTCTCTGGACTCTAATGAATCACATTTTATGCAGAGGAAAATCTATCAAAGGTCTCTATTGGGGAGGCGCTTTAGATAAGTTTGAGGAAGTGAAGCAAACAAGTTTTTATAGCAGAAGTAAATTTGAAAGATGAATCATTATCATGATATGATAATAATTATTTTTGATGAATCATCATTAAAAATCATTCATTTTCTTGTGAACTCGCCTCCTAGAACAAATGTTTTCAATTGTTTCTTTAGAATTCCTTCAATACAAATTTATTGTCACTGATAATCCAAAGAAATGTATTTTGTTTCTATGGAGTAGTATTGATATCTCTATTTACTATTATTTGATTTTGTTAAAAATATCCCTCCATTTTATCTTTTATTTTAGCCTAACTTGAACCAAATGCAATCCTCTTTAGAATTGAAAAAGATTTTTTTCATAGTCCACACCTTGAAAAGTGGTGGTTGATGGGCAAAATCAGTGGCTGGATTGAGACCAGGATTGAGAGTTGAAACACAGTTCATTATGGGTTCATTCAAACAACTTAGGCCTGCGTAAGCTAAACAACCCCTAAAATATAGGCCGAGCCAATCTCCCTGCTCCGCCTCCAACCCGCAGTTTTCTGTGGTGTTGACTATGCTTATAAACTAGGGTTTTTTTTTCTTGGTTTTTTGTTTTGTTTTTTGGTTTCTTGTCTGGTTTTGTTTTGTTCGTGTGTCACTGTGCATTCAATAAGGGGAAGGATTAAAAACCTCACAGAATCAAGTTTGTCAGAAAATAACAAGTGATGCATCTAATTGTGAGCTGTTCAGCTTCTTCTGGGATATTTTATGCACAGTCAAACCTCAAATGGTATCGTGGGAATTGATTATTAATTGAAGCTTCATGGTAGTTATAGGCATGGGGCATTTTGTATCTATTGGTTTTATGTAATTGTAAGAAAGTGATTCTGAGTGACTTGTAAAGAGATAAAGAAAAAACACCAGGGGAAACTTTGTGTATGAGTTCATATTTCTAGATTAACGTAATATGTCTCCATTCAAACACCTGAGAGATGAATCTCTATCTAAACTATAAGAAAGTTATTTCCAAAAGATTGTCAAATTAATCTGCAGAAGTCGATCAATGCTCAATTTGACTTAGTTTGCGCACAAGTAATTTATTTATTTAATTATAACTCCAATGTGCGATAATAATTTCTCAATCCTCTGGCTGTTGAGGTATCTCATTCCACAGATAGAATATAATCAATTGTAGGTTGTCCTTTGATTAATTCTTTAGAATATATGTTTGTTTACGATCATTTCAAAGATTATTGGGGCAAGTATCTAGTATCGGAGGAATAAGTTTCTTTTGGACTTACAAGCCTTGTAGTTTCGTAACCTAGCCTTTGCTTTGTGCATTAAGAAACTTAGATATAAAAAGGTATCGAATATTGTTTTGTGTAGCAACAGATTGTAGTCAGTATTAGCAAAACTCCAGTTTATGTACTTATATCAATGTTGTAAGACAGATTTCAGACCTGCGTGGTCATAACCAGTTAATCAGAAGGTGTCAGCACAAGTTCTTCGCTGCATCAATCAGTTCTTAACCTGAACACTCGATTCCATGTGACACATATCAACCCTTGTCAGGAATTTTTGAGTATTATAGTATTTTCTTGTTATCTCTGATGGCAGGGCAAAAAAGAGGCTGGTTATAGTTGACTGGTTTCTTTTGTTCTTTTAAAACCCTGTACATGTGTCTCAAAAGTATGTAAGTGTAAAATTTCTATAGTGTCATCACTTTCCATATTAATCTGAATGAAGTATGAAGATCAGTCATTAAATTTTTATTTTAAGGTATTTCTGATGTATGGGCCGCACAATAAATTCCTAAGCCAACCGTTTTAAACTGTGCGGCTGTCTTACCCTCAAATCTGCAATTAATCTTCAACTTGGGAAAGTAATAGACATTCATTTGTTACTCCTGAGACAAGAACTGTTTTGGAAAAAATTACTTTGAACAAACAAGGAAAAAGAACCTCTGACTGTTATTTGCTCTTATCTTATCAAGGACATAATTCAGCTTCTTCGGATGATTTCAAATCACGGCCATCCCTAAGTCTAAGGAAAGTTGCTCGATTCAATTAAATGGGCAAGGCTGGATTTAAGAGGAGGAAGGCGGCTACATGAGCTGCCGCTCATAGCGGCAGATTTTTGGGGGCGGTAAATTACTGGAACGTAATGGCAGTTTTAAATAAAAAATGATAACCTTTGTTATCTTCGGGGTACTCAAAGGGCATCACTTTTGGGATCCAAGGGTGGCCAATTTTTGTCGAAGCAGGGTGGCAAAATTGTAAATCTACCCCTGTAATTGAGCAAAGCATTGACAAGTGACTAAAGGTTTCAATATGAGGACTGAATAAAAGCAGGTATTATTTAAATGTTTTGCAGCTACTTACATAAATTGTCTCTGTTGTTTACAAACATTATTATTTCCATTCCTTATTGTTGAAATTTTTAATTCTTTGTGAAAACTTTTATCTATGTTATTCATTTATTTATGAGGTCTAACCTCTGACAATAAAATTTCATCTGTGAATTATTAGACACTGTAATTTCACTGCCTCTTCCCTAAATATTAGACCCAACTCCTTACCTACCAAGTATTTGAACCATTCCTTTGGTGGGGTTAGATTTTTTTTTTTTTCAATGAGCAAAAATTTGTTCTTATTATTTGTAAAATACATAATAAAAATGTTAGAAAAAGCCATTTACTGAGAACAGCCATGTTGCTGATGGTGATTGTGCAGCATTGGATGGTGTACAACTTGATAGAATAAGAAGAAGAAAGTATCTTTTCAAGGTATTTTATTAAAATATGAATCACTGTTAAAACAAATAATTTACAGTCTTGATAACAGATGAAAGGTAAAACCGGTATACATTTGTCATGATTTGGCAACAGATTTAATTCACAATTTAAAACGATTAGAAAAAGTGAATCCACTGGCCTACCAATAATTAATTCATCCAAAATTGGAAGTCGTTTCTTCACAAAGAAACAAGTGATATGTAAAGAAGATTGCCAAACACAAATATTTGGGCACATTGATAAACCTGAGCGCCTCAACCGAAGCCTTAGCTACTGATGTACACTAGTTTTCAAATTCATGCTCCAAAAGAGAGAGAAGGTTAGCTAAAATTATCTCAAATTGTATTTTCATATCTACAAAATTACATCAGAAAACATTCAGTTAGGACCTACAAAAATACAAAAACAAAAAACCTCTCTCTTGAGCAAGTTTGCTTTTACCTTTATGTTCCTGTAGATAATTTCTATGCAGTCAAAAATTTAGCTCAATGCTCGATTAAAACAATGTTGATATGAGAATATGTACAAAAACGTTGAAGAGAGTCCAATTTGAGAGATTTTTAAACAAAATTATAGAGAAAAAAGTAATGGAAGCTTGTGCACTTTCGATACCAGTAAAAAATTTGGTCTTCCAAAATTAGAAATGCAATAGAACTGGAGGTAAGTTAATCCAAAAACTATCTAGAGGAAAAGAAAAAAAGAAAAAAAAAGCGAACAGGGACAAAAGATTCAGCTGAAATTCGACCCCAGGGGTCACTTAGTTCTTCTCTCATAAAATTCCATACTGTCTCTCCCATTGCAGGAAACTGCAATGATTGGGAATCAAGAGAAAAATGCAAGCATTCACACATTGAGAAAAACCAGATTTACAGGATTGGACTTGTTGGAGAATATGTAAAAACAATGTACATCATGAAATTAAATGGCCAATAAAGGTTACTATATAACAGCGATAATAAAGAAGAAATAAATAATTGAGCAAGCTCCTCATACCAGTATTGATTCAAAAGACTGATGCCTTATATGCATGAATATTTCAGTTACAGGTAACATTAGCATAAGGAATGGTGATGGCGATTTAAAATACAATTTTTTTTATTAAAAAATTAAGAGAAACTGAATTAATTTTCAAAGGTCTATTGGATATCTGAATCGATTTCTTGAACCGACTAACAATGGGCCTGTTGCAAACTTTTGCCAGAGTGATAATGAGAGTTGTTTCTATCAGTAAATGTCTCAAAAATTTTGATGAGCGCATGGGCAAGATTTGAAATGCACTCCTAATTTCACAAGCTGCGTTAGAAATTTGGGTTTTTATGAGCTTCTGACTTAAAAACGATACTGCGGCACAGATGAACGTTTTGTTAGAGGTGTTGTTCTATCCAACCTTTAAGCACTAGGATACTACATAACACTCAACATCGTGATTTTTGAGACATTTACTGATAGAAAGAACCCTTATTTATATTTTTGCTCTAGCAAAAGTTAAAACAGGCCCATTCCAATTGATACACAATTAAAACCAAACAATTTTTGTCGAATGCCGGTCCAGGGGAACAACAGTATACTAGGGATTTTTTTCATCAATTCGATCCTACAAATCGAGGAAATCACATTTTTTGGGGGTCGATCAAAATTTGAAACTTGGTTTTGAGGAAAAATCGAAAATCGCCATCACTGATTAGGATAGAACAAATCTGCGATTTCCACTTACAGTCTATAATTTTTTAAAAGTGATTTTAAAGTGCATGATTTTTTTGACATTATTTCATTAAAATAACACAATACCATGCGATTTGTCAATAAATTGTTGAGCTTGAGATGATCATTGGGATTTCTAAGAAAAATAGTCTTCTGAAACACTTCAGAATAAAGGGTAAGGATTTTTCATGGCGATCTATACGTGAGGCATGACAGATGACAGTAAGTAGGCGGAAACAGTTTAAAATAGCTGTCAATCACAGAAGTTTGTTTCATTCTTCTGAGCTAAATGATTTTTTATGGGTTCTTTTTTTCTCTTTTTGGAATAGTTTTCACAGCCCATCAGTAGATTGTACAGGGAGGCTCCACATGGGGTGGGGTGGGTAGAAGGCAACACTCTTTCATTAAGTACATTTTTATTCAACAAACACTGGCATCAAGAGCTCTTGAGGACAAGAGGCAGTGGCAATGTCATGCAGTGGACAAACTTAGGAATAGATAAAACTTTATGTATAAAAAGAGGAAGAATTCAGGTTAAAACTGGACTTAATTATAACACAGAATAACAAAGGAAAGTACAATGAGCAAGATAAGATAAATAAATAATGATGACTTTTTATAGGAACTTGTAATGCAGATTCCTCATAAAAAAAGAGTTAATGAACTGTGTGAGGAATAACCATCATTCCTGCAGAAAGGATCTCCGACACAAACGTCGACTTAAGGGAAAATATAAACTTCTCCTGTGTATTTAAAGGGAGCAAACAGTCTTCTATTTATATCTTAGGAAAATTGACTGGAGAACCTTAAGAATGAAATTCAAGTGCACACAAAATCAAAACTTTAAAACTGAAAGTATCAGTTCCTAAGAGATAGAAGAACAAAAGGATGAAAAAAGTGTGAATGAATTTTGCGATTTGCGCTGGGCAAGAAATTAAAACAGGCAAAAAAAAAACCCCTCAGGTCAATATTCAAATCGACTCCATTACTTGGCAAGCTTCACGAAGTTTCAAAAAGAGCAAAATTTCACTCCCAGAGGAGATTTTGCTTAAAACCTTTTTCTTTACATAATAGAACATGATAAGTAAGGAAATTATGATTTCAAACAAGGAAACTCGTTTATCGCAGAAAAGGGTTTTAAAATCGGCCAGTCAATCCTATTTTTATCTCTAAATAATATTTGGTTTAGATATTTACAGCTAATTTGAGAATAAGAACTTTTATCTTATATAACCCAAGGGAGTGCTCAAAAAGGGGTTTCTGTTAAAAAAATTTAATTTGAGGGTTTCTGACAGAAATAAAAGCAGTAAACCATCATTTCTTTTAGACTGGTCATTTTCTTTTAAATTTTCAGTTGTGATTTCAACAGTCAACTGGGAAAGAATTTTAGCTACACGTAAATGTCTTAATGACATTAGGATAATGCTAGGCGCCTTTTTTCTTGAAAGCATTTGGCTTTAAAGTCAGAATATATGTTTGTATGTGAACCAGTAAAGCATGTATGTATGTTCACTTATGTGTTTTTTAACATAATTTGGTGGTGAGAGCAAGTCTATGCACTTGAATGCATAACTAAATGGTGCAAGCAAAATTCTTAGGAAACAATATGAAAGTCAGTGATTGGTTGCAGTAAGCCTTCAATTTATCTGATCAATTTTCCAGTCCCCTAAGGAACTTCAAGCTAACCAAAGTAACGGATTTCCTGTAGTATTTTTTCTTTCTTTCTCCCTACTCTAATGTAAAGGAAAATAAAAGCCTGTTGTTGCTTAACTTAAGTAAAAGATCTCAGTAAAAATACAAATTTAAGATCTTTCCGAGTTTCCATTAGCATTTTTCCATTTTTAAAAAATAAATCTAGTAACAATTTAAATTTTGTTAAAATACACCCAAGTACACTGGATAAGTCATTGCAAAAAAGGCCTCTTAAATTGTCTCAAATAACTAACTAAAATATCCTGTTGAGAATTGTCAAACAAGAGAAGAAAAACAAACTCTTGTTAGTGCTCTTATGAGTGAAAGCATTACAATGGGTCAAATGTTCTGTAACTAACCTTAGTAATTTTTGCACATACGACCTGATGTGCTAAATGCATACATTTTGCTAACAATAAGTTGTTTGTGGCACAAAATGAAAAGTATTAGAATTTTGTTTATTGTTCTTGATTTTGTGGTTTGCCACAGCTTATCCAAGCTACAAGAACCAGGGTGGCCAAAAGTTTTAGATCTTAGAATTCCCTAACTTTTCCCTAACCTGTCATGAAAAAGTCTCATACTTAAAGAAAAAATTAAATCTTTAATTATCTAAAAATTTTCTCACTCTTGCCCTTTGCGCTGTGCGTTGTACGCTAATAATAGCAAGGATAATGACTATATGAAAAAGCTTTTAATAAAACAACGTCCTAAACAAAAAACAATGATGAACCAGCCAATTGTTTTAATGGTTACTGCTTGTATGTTCGCATTCAAATTGTTCAACTTCTTCAGACTTAAGACTTAATTGTTTAATTTCCCCGATTTTTGAAGTTGTTTCGAAATTTCCTGTTTCCCACTTTTTGGCCACCCTGCAGAGTGACTTGCAACATAAGTACTGACTTAACTTAAATCACAATTCATAGTTCTTTGATAATGCATTGATACGGTGGACCAAATAATTTTAGGAATTTACTCAAAGTACACAATTTTCTTCCTTTTTCTTTTTCTTTTTTTGGTCGCAATACAGCGATTTATAAAAAATATTTAGATAAAATTTACTATACAATATTTACAAGATATACAAATGATAAATCAAAAATTTCTTTCTTTCAACATAATAAAACTATTTTGACAAAATATACAAAATTTACAAATTAATTACTAAATTAAAAAATGTTTGATGTACATTCCCATCTTCATTGGGGATCAAAATAAATTACAAAACCTATTTTTTTTTTTTTTATAAAAAAACAATATAAATAAATAACATTAGAATCATCTCATGACTAAGTATTTTAAAAAATAAGAGGTTTTCAAAAAGTAGACACAATATACTGTTTTATCACGGGTATCTCAGAAATTGGAAACAGTAAAATTTGACATTTCGAAAGGAAAAACTAGCATTCTGCACAAGTTTCTCCCAATGTGAAACATGATAACTTAAGCTCCGTTACACGAATAAAGGCTCCGACCGGGTTTATTAATTACTTTATCAATATCATGAACTTCTTTGAAGAAAATCCAACTTATAAATTCTTTCAGATTGTAGATGGCACAAATTTAAAGAATAAATAGATGTATATATTTATATAAGCAATTTCTGAAGTCCCGGGATTGTTTCCAAACTTAACTTGAGAGTGATTGTTGGGATAAAACTTATTTTTCAATGAAAATAAGAGAAAGGTAACTTAGTAAGTATCATCAAGTAACATTGGCAATCATTTGCTTCTACTGCCGAGCATTGGAAATTTTACTTGTAAGTTTCTTTTAAAAAGAATTATACTGCAAATAATTTTTTTTGAAATTAAAGAATTTCTTAGGAAACTTATACCTGAGAGAATGTATGTGCAAAATACAGGGCAAGGAACAACATAAAATAACGTTAAAGAAACACCGGTCCAGATATTGTGTTACAGTCCATAAGAAAACAAAATTAATTTTTTAAAATTAATCAAATTTAATTTAAACGTTAGCAATTTGAAAATGAGTTTCTACCTCAGCTTGTTGTCGTGTTTGTGGTCGAGGTCACTGTTGTTTCTCCCACACCATTGACTTTCGTTACAACCTGGAATACAAAAAATAAGCAAGTTCTATAGCTATTGTTGACACAAAATACTTACATTGGGCAATATGTATTAATTCCAATATTTTTCAATTTTTCAAACTTATGAGGGATCCATGGAAATTGGGACCCTGGGGTAACTCTTTTTGATGTAATGAGATTCTTAGTAATGAGAAACTAATTTTTCTGGCATGTTCATAAAATCACCTATCTGCAAAAGGAAACTTATGAAACAAATATTGTTTTTATAATTAGCCAGACATACTCTAGTTCCTTTTTAAAACAGTGTTCCCTTTGAAGTAATGTAATCACTGTTTTGAGGCCCATTGTACTAATATTTTGGTGCATGAGATACCCAATAATAACGAACCAAGCCAAAACGATGTCCAGGCATTAAAACTATCAAAGTAAAATCTTTTAGGCCTGCTATTGGTGCAACGATGAACTAAACTGATGATAAATTAATCTTGGGAATGCTAAAAGGGATTTCCTGTCAAAACCTGAGTTTAAAATTTTTTGATCCCCTATAACAGAAATCGCTCTTCCTGAAGATTTGCTTCCGGTTACTTCAGATTCCTTCTCTGAGGCTATTTACAAACATTGATGTTGTTGGATTACAACAACCTCAGCTTCTGGCCATATTATTTCTCAATATATTCCAACATTGCACATTGTGAACGTTAATATGATGGTCTTCAGCCATCTGAATAAATAGAAAAACGTTGTGACAAGAACTTCAATGTTTAATCAAAAAACTACAATATTACATTGCGGATTTAGGTTTAAAATATGGGCAAAGACATGAGTGCTTTTTCTTGATTTTCCATTGACAAACACCTAAGGAGGTAGAACTGCATAATAAGTGATAGTAATCTGCTTAAATATGTAGGGCAATGCATATCATACTCACATGATGATGAGTGCATGTTGTTATTTCAACAACCACTTCTGGCTGCACGAAAATGGTCTCATGCGTTTGTGAATGCCACGAGCCAGGTTCCTCTGTGATCGTGGTCAATGAAGGTTCTTTCATCATATTTTGCGGCTGCTCTTTGTGTTCCCTCGAGGAGTGCCTCCTCGGCGGCGGAGCAGTCCGACACTTGACGTGCCTAATTTTCTTCACAGGCTCTGGTGAGGGTGTTGACATCCTATCGGGATGCTCCAGAGGAATGACCTACAGAAATTAAATAGATCATGTAAAAATGTTGAAAAAAAAAACAAGTTACTGCTTGGTGCAGAAATCCTATTACCAAGCAATACTCAAATCTGTTTAACCAAGATTTTATGTGAGTTTATAATGCTTCATCAAGTGCAGTGTGATATGTTATGTCACCTATCAACTTTAAGAATGATTTCCATCCTGCTGGAACTGCAGAATGTCGGCAATTTTGAATATCTCGATGTTTCAAGCATGATTTGTATGAAATTACATTCTTAATCGTTTCAATACTACATCCAAAAATTCTCATGCTACAAGAGGCGAGTGCAGTGAATTTCGCCACATGCTCTACCCATCTGAATTTCTCATTTAAGGTTCCACTAAGTGCACTGCAATTGCGGCACGTCATTCTTAACCTCATAATGAGAGGGGTGGATTAACTGGAGTTCACATGAGGCTTCCACTAACAGTTATAGCAATCTTTACGTATTCACAATTTTAAAGAGGTTGTTCCAAAAACGCCGATTTTGGCCCCCCCCTGGATTTGGCCCAAACTTTGCTCAGATGTTGTACTAAGTGTCCCCGATGCTTGGGCAAAATTTCAGCCCCCTCGGATAATTAGGGGGGAGGGGGCAGGGGGGCAAAGTTGCAATTTTTTCAAAACTTTAAAAATCGATATCTCGCGAACGGTTTGAGTGTAAGTGTTGCGGTTTGCGCTAAAAAACGTTAAAAAATATTCTCTACACGAATATTGATGCTGTTTGCATGGTTGCGTAATTTATCGTAGTCATAAATCGATTTTTTCGATTTTGAAGGTTCGACTTTTTTTCGTTTTTCGTCTCTCCTCTCCAGGCGATCGTTGCTATGTGAATAAAAACCAATTGAGGTGATTCTCCATGAAATTCTGCATCTACCACACTTTGTTTGACCTTGGGGAAACGATTCATTCTTGAGTTATAGCGATTTTTCTGCGCGTTCTCGGTTACGCGCGGGCGGCATATCGGCGGCGCTTCATCCCCCCCGGGCGAGGCAGAGGTTGTTTCACTGCTAGGGCCTTATATTAATGCTGTAGGCTGTAATTATTGATATTTTCTCCTTCTCCCACCTTTCCCCTCCTATAAATATGTTTTTTATACTTCGTTATACAGGGTGTCCCCGACCACCCGTACCAGGTCTTTTTCTCGGTTGGTTTAGGTAGTACGAAGTGGGGGACCGCGGGGTTAAACAGGGAATTGACCCCAAGGTATCCGAATTTCATGGTCCCGAAGCCCCCCTACCCTCCCTTGGGGGGTAAAAGAGGGAGGCACAATGTCTCCCAACTTTAGGGATCGAACTCAAACCGTTCGCGAGATATCGATTTTTAAAGTTTTGAAAAAATTGCAACTTTGCCCCCCTGCCCCCTCCCCCCTAATTATCCGAGGGGGCTGAAATTTTGCCCAAGCATCGGGGACACTTAGTACAACATCTGAGCAAAGTTTGGGCCAAATCCAGGGGGGGGCCAAAATCGGCGTTTTTGGAACAACCTCTTTGTAAAAATATCAATTGATCGGAATATTTCTGTCAATGAATGGAGTGAATATTTACCTCTGCTGGTGGTCCAATTAAAGATAACAGCACTGGGAAGAATACTAAGCCATTGACTAGTCCAATACCAACTAAAGCAATTACAGAAAAGAAAAAGTACCTAAAAACAGAAATAGAACAAACATTTAAAAAAGGAGAAAGATGCAAGAGAAATATCATTTCAGAAATTCTATTTTGCTGATAATGAAATGCAGATCATAGTAAATTGCGTCAGTTGCTTGCAAACAGTGCGAACATCTTCGAAACGTAACTAAGTAAATAATTTGTTATTGGTACAAACAGCCAGCAATAGGGGCTCTGGCACAAGTTGGGTGTACTAGAGTTTATACTTATACATCATTAACAAGAAAGTTGACACAAGGTCCGGTTGAAGATCAGTGACACCAAAGTGTGCCCTATTTCCTAGTTTAAACTGAAGTTTATTTAAAATTATGATTGGAGAGCCCTCTATAAACATTATTCTCTCATTCCCTTGCTCAGCAAATTAATAAAAGCTGCAGCTTTGTCTTTTATCAGGTTTCTTTTTCTTATGCGACTCTTTCACTGTCCATGAAATCATGCCTGGTTGAACAGGCATGATTTGGAGACCACAATGAAGAAGGAAAGAAAGAAAGAAAAAATATTAGTAAGATACTCACCTAACAATAAAGTCAAAATCACTAACAGCTAAAGTCGCTACACTTAATACAGTCGTCAAACCACCGTGAACTACAGCTGGTAACATGTGCTCAACAGCTAGCCTCGTTCTACGCTCGCGACTTCCAATACAAGTCATAAAACTCTGCACAGAAATAATAGACAAACAGACAATAAGTAAATTTTTTTTAAAGAGTAATATCTTCAGTGATGAGACTTTTGAGGGAAAAAAATTTTTTTTTGTAAATCTAAGTCTTGTTGGCAGGAAACAAAACTTTGATGATGTAACTCCAAAACCTCGTATCTTGGTTTTTGACGTTGCAGACTTTGTGTTAAACTTAATTTTTGATGGAGAACTACTGACTTGCAATTCTTGAAAACTTACGTAACTTTTCAGTTTGTTCAAAACAAATTCTAGAAACTTCAGGGGATGATGTTGATTCGTTCTTCTTTCAAGAATAAAATAGGGGTGGAGATTTTTTAACGACGCAAACGAGACACATGGTTTTGGAGTTACACCGATGACTTTTTTCCAAGATTACACTTTCATTCACAAGTTGATTTTATCTCATACTAATTTTATGCTATGAAGCTTTTAAAATGACATCACCTTCAGGATTATTTTTGCCATGCTTCATATCAAGAGTTTCCTCCTCTCTCCAAATTCAATTTATTAGTGGATGGTTAAGATGATAATCCAACTTATTCTAATAAATTTGAAGAAAGGTAGAGAATTTTTTATTGAATTAGAGACTTTGACTAGACCCATAATTCACACTTAAGCTAAATATATGCTAGATTATTCCAATTTTTCTCAAAGTTCATTAATCAATGTTAGTCCAGGTAAAACTAAATAGAACAGGCATGACATCTTTGTGAAGTAAAGATGCAGCATGGCTTACTTCAACGAAATTCACATATTCTATATGAAAAATTAATCACAGGTTACATTTTAAGAAACTTAACCGAATAGATAGTGTGAGGTATTTTGTCATTAAGTTGGCAGTTGTTTACTTTCCGTTTGCAAGTGACCGCGATGCAGTCGTGAAAGGACGATTAAGAATTGACAGCGGTATGATCACGAGCAACACTGCCACCACCATGTACAGAGACGTAAATCGGCTTACTGCCCATGAGAATCAAAAGTAAAAAGCTGCCAAATTAGCTGACAATACCTCTTGTGAGACAATACATTAAAAGATGATACTGCGAAAAACTAAAACTTACCAAACAAATATGAACAGTAAAATTAACGCCAACTCCTAGTGCTACGATGAGCAAGACGGCAGGAATAGCGCTGAGCTTAACTCCCATGAATCCCATGAGGCCAAGCATTTGCAACACCATGGCTATAAGCATGAATGCAACAAGCGCTGCTGCCCAAATATTGAGCAACAAAATTGTGACTAAGATGAAGATAAGAAATAGAGCAACCAGTAAAGCTACAGCAAGATACAGGCGTAGATTTTGATACTGCTCCCAAAACACGAATGGAATTCCTGAGGGAAAGTTCGGAAGACTCCTTTGCTTGAATGTTTCGCAAATGCTCCTTACATGCGAAATGACTGAATTGATAGTGCCAGTGTCTTTGAGACCTGATAAGTAGAATGGTAGCTGCGTGTAACTTAAAGGAGCTGATTTGGGGATTTTCAAATCAAGAACATTTTTGTAATGTGTCCACTCTTTTGGTATTGGCCTCAGATTTCCTTGAGATGCTTGATAAGACAACGGATCATTCCATGCCCACGCTGATAGATAATTATAAAAGGCCTTCGGGTTTATGTAACCTTCTTTGTTGACTAGTTTCGTAGTTGTAACCAGTGATTTGTCGACAGGATTGTCGACATGTCCTGTTTGCACTAATAGTCTGTAGGCCAGGACGCCTTTTTCTGTGGCGTTTGAAAACCACTTTTCTTGATTGATGCAGCCATTTTTCCAATCATCCTCGAATGCTGCTTGTAGATCAAGGAGCCAGTCTCTAAAATTGGACAACCAAAAATCTGGCAGTCCACCATTGTCGTTCTTCAAAATGTTAGGAACCTGCATGAACGCTTCGTGATATTCATAAAGAAGTTTTTGATTTGTAGGGTATTCGAAGTCACCTTTAGTGACAGCGTACATGTTGTAGAAACCAAAAAATTTACTTTGGGCCTCAAGGAAAAAATATTCGTCAGTTCCTTGAGGAACGACATCGGTGAGATCCAGGCCGTCTTTAACTTTTGTTATACCCCATATACTGGCTATCAGCACAGTAATTAGGAAGAACATGGACATGACTCTGACAAAGGATTTTGTCAAGAGAGGTGCGTAGCGCAAGGCAATGTATTTCCAGGACCAACTTTGCATAAAGTATCGATCCATTTCAATGGTTTTATTAAGATCTAACTGTACTTTAGCACAATTCTTAGAGAGTAATTCTTTGGTAGATCCAACCCAGCATTCTTGCTGTAAACAAATAAAACCGAATTTCAGATTAGATAAGCTGAGCTTCTACAATAAGATAAGATAATGACAATAATAATTGGAGACAAAAGTAGCCAAAATTGATTTGCTTTGTATCCCAAAATCTAGATATCATATCATTGAGAACTGGATGAACTAATTCATGATTCGTGCAGCCTTAAGATTAAAAAAAAATCAAGCACTTTCGAAGCACTTCTCAACCACTTATTCATATTTTTTCCCTAAGCGCACTGTTTTCTCCACGTATCGTAGAACTTTACTTCATCCACAAATAAACACATAATGAGCCCTAATTTACCCCCAATTTTTCCTTGTTGTAAAATTACTGCACATTTAGGAATGCAGAACTAAATAAATTAGTTATATCTTAGCCAACCCATCTGCAAGAGGAGACCCATTGAGACACTGTTAAACTTACTGAATTCTGAGGGGCTAAAACAGTGACAGTCTGTTGCCTGTCTGGCGGTAGTGCTCTTGTAATTGACTGTAATTTTTCTGTGACTACAGCTGGCTTCTTTACGGCAAGAGGAGGCACATCCATGCATGGCCAGTTGCCATCACCAGTTGGGAAACAACAACAACAGCACAAAAGATCTACTCGGCCCGACCTAAAAAGAAACGAAAATGATTTAGAATGAAATATTAGAATGATGCATCCAAAAAATGGCATATTTCTGTTGCAGATTGTGAGGTAAGGAATGAATTTTAGACTTTGCCACTGCTCCAATCGTCATTTTTTAGCCATTTCTCAAATACAGCACAACTGGTCTTTTCTGTCAGTGAAGTATGGACAGACCCACAGCTAAGAATATTAAGTATCCATGTAGTTATGAGAAAGCACCGAGTTTGAAAAACGAATTAGCAAGGTTGAAATTAAAATTATGCATGTATTTATTACTTTGAGGTGGATTGCTTGAGGTGGAACGGATTTGCTTAATAATTTATCAGTGTGCAAAAACAAAAAAAAAGTCCTTACCTTCGGCGCCTAAGATCTAAACTGACAATGGCCGGAAACACTAGAATCATGGAAACTAGATTGAAGAGCAAGAGAATAGCAGCTTGAAGCGAAAGTATTCTCAATGCAGGAATCGGAATGATGGCTGCACAGAAAAAGGCGAGAACATTGCATAGCGATGATAGGATGATGCTCACACCAGTTTTCTTCAGGACTAGTCCGGTTTGTTCCTGCAAAAGAATGGACAATGCTGTAGTTGTAATATTGCAAAATAAAATTGAGAAACAGTAAAATGAATTATAATACAAAGGGGAAAAAGAAATGATAAAGAGGGGAAAATAATTTGGAGGTATGGACATATCCGGCCAAACTGTATGAGGCCACTTCTGTTCAAAGATTAAACTTCACATTTTTTTTTTTTTGAGATAAAGATACATTTTAATCATATTTATTCCACTCTCCTGGAAACATTTTTTTTCAAACAGAACTACTCATGCAGGGTGAAAAGTATGATTGAAAGTGATACAAAATCTTAATTCAGACAAGGGAAGTAATTTACTTCCCCAGAAAAAAGAAAAAAAAACTAGTAAAGAAGAAGGTCAAAAAGATTAAGAAATAAAAACTCACTTCAGGAGGAGCTTCTCGAGCTGACTGCTCCGCATATGTTTGTGTTAGTAAAAAAATGTCTTGAACTCCAAGTCCTAGCGCCACAAAAGGAACAATCTGAAACAAAAAGACGATTTTACATTAAAAAGCTCTGACTTGTCATGTAGTAAGGACACATTGTAATTTTCCCTTTGACAGGAGTCATGATGGGGTGACGCTTTTTCCCTGGCTTCAAAAATCTCCTGACTTTCCAATTACTTTTCAAGGTCTTCATACATGAAATTCCCTGACTTTTTCATGACTGTTAAATGATTTTATAGAATATTTAAATTTCACAAGCAAGCCCATTAACAAATAAGTACAAAAAATGGATAACAAAATAACTACCATTCAAGGAGATGGGCGGAGAAAAGTATCGTTACGTAATAGATTACTGCAATAGATTCCACTAAGCTTTCACATGCGGGTAAATTCTAACTTAATTTGTTTTTAAAAGAGGAAGTGAGAAATGGGGGGGGGGGGGGNAAGGGGGGTTTAATCATAAATCATTTCTGACAAAAATGTTTGAAAATGAAATGTTGAAATGAAATTGTTTGCGCCAAGTGTCTTGTACTTTGGACAGATTCAAAATTCGAAAATGTAAGGCAGATGCTGCACTTGATGATACGCATGATCTGCAAGTACTAGGAGGCAATTAAGAAAAGAATATATTCTCGCTTTTCTCACATTTTGAATAAACTTACATGTTTCCATCATAGAAATTATAATTGAAAACAGTGTGGATTTGGAAATTTGAAAACGATGTCAAGGCTCAGTAGCAAAATTCCCTGACTTTTCTGAGTTAAGCATAACTCCCTGTCTTTCGAAGTTTTCAATGACTTTTCAAAAACGTATTACTCTGTGTAAGCAGGTAAATTTTAATGAAAATCCTTTCACTGTGCTAGAAATTAAGAATACAAGTTGGAACCTTAACAAGAAAAAAATCCCATTTTGAAGAGCAGGTGCACTATGAATAACTCACCTGAGTAGTTGACGCATTGAAAACAATTCCGAAAACAGCACAAAAGCCGAGACCAGCAGCTATTGTTCCAGATACTAAAAGAACGCCAAGCATGCCAACCCCACACTGGGATTTCACTGGGTCAACCCATTTTAATAACGAAAATCCTGCATAAAAAAGCTGAAAAATGAGAAAAAACATGCTAAAATTAGTGAGGATCATAGTGAGGTTTTCAATTTTTCACAGCGCAAGATACTAATAATCGGTAAAGTTTATACTGACAACTGTCATGGCAGTTCCGTTTCATTTTAACAGTTTGAAGAATTCAATTTAGTTTTCTTCAGAAAAGAAAGAAGAAAAACTTTCAAGATATAATGTTTTTAATGAATATCCTACGACTTCATAAAAGTGACAGAAATTTTATTTTTCAGATCTAAAATTTGTGAGAAGCCAGAAGTTAATTTAAAATGGTTTTCCTGTTTTTCTTAGAACAACTCATATTGAGGAACAAAGGAGACAGTTGGTCTAAACTGAACACAGAAACAAAGTTAAATGGAACAGAAACTATAAGGATAAAATGGATTTGAGTCGTGGTGAAGTAATTATTTTGACCTCGCTAATTCATTACAGGAGCGCAAGCAGTACCTACCATGACTAGGTATCCTATCGCAACTTTGATAATGTTAAACTCTGTGAATTGCCCAAGAATTTCATTTAACGTTGCCGTTGAGAATGAGAAAAATGCATAAGGACCAGTCAAGTCAACTTCAGCCATAATCTTCTTAACTTCCTGGAAACGAGAAGAGAAAAACCATATGATACTACAGATACATGGATCGTACAAAAAAGATCTATTTAAACAACTGACTGTTGTGAAAAAAAAGAATTGAGAATAAGAAGATTAAAACAAAAATACAAAAGTAATCTTAAATGGTACGGCAGTCTGAGTCTCCCTCTCATAAAATCGTATCTAGGAGCATTCAAACCTTAAATTAGACATAAATTACTTGTGAATTGAGGTCAATGAAGACGTGATGATAATAATTACTTTTCAATAATTTTAAACTAAGTCGTCGAAGTGTCAAAAATAGGAACATATTTCCTTATTCCACGAAGTTACTTACTTCTTTGAGTACACATTTATTTAAAAAACACAGGGCTTACTTAACGCAGATGTGTGCAGGTGTATAAATACCTCGGAAAATTTTTTCTGCCACAATTCAAGCACCATGGCTGCTTTCTGTTGACTCCACTCGAGATGTTGTGTTTTTGCAGAATCGAACCAAAAATCATACAAATCTCTTTCGCCCATCAGCTCCACTACCGACTGAAGAGCGCGGGCCTTGTTGATGTAGCCGCTTTTATTTTTGCTGATACCTCCGATTATTAGTTCTTCTGGCCAATGCATGTGCTTTGCAGCAAAACCATAGCACCCTCCAGTTAATTCAGCACCTATATCCGGAGGCTGTAACATAAAGGTTTCACCGATTAATAAAGATGACTAAGAAATGTGAGTTGGTATATCAACACAAAAGCAGACAAATCGAAGGAAATTAATTGAGAGGAAGACTGTAGAAAAACATTCCGAAGACAGCCAATGAGTAAAAACAAAAAAGTCTAATAATTTAGACTGATGGTTTAAAAATTTTGAAACTTTTAGGTATCAATTTCTGAGAGAGAGTTGGGCTCTCCAAGATGAGCAAGATCTCCGTTAAAATTCGGCCCCTGAGCCTTGAGGCAATTTAAAAAACTTCTGTTGCTCCCGAGAATAAGCAGAAATTATCAGCAATTCCGAAGGGGACAGCCCTGCTGCATTCCCCGGCTCTTCGCATTGTGTTTCGGATACCTCTGTCAAGGCAGTCAACTACATTATGACGCGTCTCCCTGCCCTCTCTCCGACTCACCGTCGCATTTTCTCCCTGGTAAATACAAATTATTCCGAAATTCTCGAACCTTTGTAACCAACCTCATCCTATGTGGACCATGACTATGACATCTTGGATCATTTCCCGAAGTTCGAGGACATTCAAGGCCTATCCAATACGTTAGGTACGAACCTCTTATGCACACGATTCCCCGTAAATCTGAATTTCGAATTTCCATATTTTCTCATTCTTCCAATTCTGCGACTTTACCGAATTTTCCCCAGCTCTGGAAATTCCGAAATCCCCGATTTTCCTTCACCTTCGAGCGAAACTGTCTCATGATCTCCCTGTCTTTCCAGGTTTTTCAGACCGCACCGGAAACCCTGAGTCAACCATGGATCCTTGGGCGATTTCCCAAAACTCAAAGATATTCAAGGACTTGAAAGTTAAAAGTAACATCTTATCATATATTCTATAATATAGAATCATGAGGGTAACGCGTAACGCATAATGCCTGAGGCGCGAAGCGCTTAGGAGGGTTGGACCACGAAGCGGTCAGGGGACGTTCTCCCTAATTTTAAGTGAATATATTGAATGAATTTTCGAGGCGTCACAAAAAAATAGGGGTCCTACATTTTGCGACGGGGAGCAACTATATACGGCTCATTTGTAAAAGAACGTATTGGGCACGCTACACTGGAAAAAAAACACATTGGATCTAGAGTCCAGACTCTTAAAAACACTGACAAGAAAATATACTCTTGATTCAATCGGATTTTTGCTTAAATCAAGATCCAAGCCTCTTAATTTGAGCGGATTTCCTTTTGATTCAATCAAAAATCTGATGGAATCAAGAGTATTTTTTCTTGTCAATGTTTTCAAGAGTCATGAGTCTAGACTCTAGATACAATGTGTTTTTTTTTTTTTTCCCAGTGTACACAATTAGGCGCTTTGGCGGATGAGCCATAAATCATAGTTCCTTACTGAAAAATGTGGTTCAAATACTACATGATCAGGATCGCGTGAAAATTCGTGTTATATTGGGGGGAAATTTGGCAAGATCCGAGGTGGCATACGGCGTTCTTGCTGAGCGCGGACGTGGAGCGGATTGAGATGCGCGCTGTCCCGGGAACAGCGTGGGGGGTACAATAAAAATCCCTCCTCTCCGCTCCTCCCCACCGCGCCCCCTCCCTCGGCCGGTTGACATTATAAAGTCAGCTATTCAAGATCGGAGCGCCCGAGCTACGGGGGCTCTCGGCGCAGGGTACAATGTTAGCGTGGCCGTCCTGCGACGGGGCATTGTGAGCGGGGCAGGGCGAGGGGGAGAGCGCGCAGGGGCGAGGAACCACACAAAAAAATCCCCGGGAAGAATAGGGACCTCCCCACGGAACTTTGCTCCCTTCGTCACCTCCGTCGGTGACAGGTAACTGATGGATCTCGTTACGTCGCGTCGACGCGTTTCCCGATTTCAGTTATATATAATCCGGGACCCGCGGCGGGTGTCCGGGTCGTGCTTTCTATTCCTCGTCCGTTTCCAGCAGGACATCCCGGCATGACGGAGGTCAAAAAATTACCAAAAGCCAATTTAATTTGGAATCTCGAGGACCAAACGCTGCTACCTACAACTCTCTATCTAAAAATTTGGCAGAAGCTATAATATTTTTAAAAATTATACTATCTGTTATTGGTTACTACCGATATGATTTTTTGCGCATTCACGATTTTCATTTAGAACGTGTTTTGCGATCAGGAACTACTATTGCCGGTTCGCTTGAGGAGCAGCGTATGTGAGATTAGTTTCCCTGTGTGCATAAGTGCTTTTACAAATGAATCAGAAATTGTAGTTCCTACATTCAAAATGAAATCCACCTACGGTTCGAATTCACCGCGTCCATAGGCTGCAAAAAGATCTTTGCCTTTCCATTTTAAGAACCCCTGGTTCATCAAACATTTCAAAATGATAACATTATTTGTTTTTTATTTTCGAATTTTTCTTGGAAACATCGTTTTGTTATTAAATTAAAATTATTTGCTCACTAACCGCCAACGGGCAATTTCGCTGGCCGCGCAGCAGCCGAGGAGCGGAGCCCCTTGGTATTAAATATTTTTAAAAGGGAAGAAGAAGCTGCACAATTTTGAAAACACTGTAATCGCACTGGTTCCTTTTGGCGAGATGCGATCCAAAAAGCAACTGAGAACTACTATTTTAGGCTCGTCTGTAAAATCGCGCTCCTATCCGCATAGGAGAACTAACGGTGTAAATGTCGTTCCTGAAATGAGTCGGATCGACTGACCGACGACGGGGAAAAAATGACGAAAAACAATCCGCGTGGATGGCGAAGGGTTGCTCGGCGCGGAGATGCTTCCAGGGTCCATTTCTGGGGAGACCGGGATTTCTCGGAACCCCCTCGTTGGACCTGTAGGATCCATCAATCTCCTCTTCATCCCGCCGCGCCGCGCCGCCGCACCGGGCGCCCAGACGAGTTCCCCGCGGTTCCGTAAAATTACAGAAATCACACAGTGGCCGCCTCGTCATTTCTGGATTTTGAGAATCAAGTCTCCATCTTGGCTGAGCAGCGATTTATAATTGGAACGGAATTCACCGAGCTACTTTTTAGAGTTCATCACGAAAATCTCGAATTTCCGTACCTCTTAACGGAAAATTCGTACCTTTCCCGTACTTCCATACCGACCTTCCGAAATCCGCGTTTCCTCAGGGTATCCGTGCTTTTTCCGTACAGAATCATCTTGGCTGAGTAGCGATTTTTAATTGGAATGGAATTCACCGAGCTACTTTTTAGAGTTCATCACGAAAATCTCGAATTTCCGTACCTCTTAGCGGAAAATTCGTACCTTTCCCGTACTTCCATACCGACCTTCCGAAATCCGTGCTTTCTCAGTGTATCCGTGCTTTCTCCGTACATTATCATCTTGGCTGAGCAGCGATTTTCAATTGGAATGGAATTCGCCGAGCTACTTTTCAGAGATTATCACGAAAATCTCGAATTTCCGTACCTCTTAGCGGAAAATTCGTACCTTTCCCGTACTTCCATACCGACCTTCCGAAATCCGTGCTTTCTTTTTCAGTATACACGTAATTTTTTCGTACAGGAGACACCCTGAATCGAGCGCTAGCGCACGGCTGTGTTGCGTCGCTTCTTGTGGAATGTCGGAGAGGACCCGGCAGTGGCGTGCTTTCTCAGTGTATCCGTGCTTTCTCCGTACAGTGTCATCTTGGCTGAGCAGCGATTTTTAATTGGAACGTAATTCACCGAGCTACTTTATAGAGTTCATCACGAAAATCTCGAATTTCCGTACCTCTCAACGGAAAATTCGTACCTTTCCCATCCTTCCGTACCGAACTTCCGAAATCCGTGCTTTCTCAGTGTGTCCGTACTTTTTCCGTACAGTAGACATCCTGAATCGAGCGCTAGCGCACGGCTGCGTTGCGTCGCTCCTTGTGGAATGTCGGAGAGGACCCGGCAGTGACCGGAATCGGGGGAAGGAGGAGGCGGATAGCCCCGCGGGAGAGGTTATGAGAGCCAAGCTAGGTGGTATTCTTTCACCGGCACACTGTAACGTCCCGATATTTCTCTTCTCCTTCCTACAATCTCCGGCCTGGAGCCGTTCCTGTCCGACGGCCAATACCCTCACCGAAAAACCACCAACACCTGCTGTTCATCCACAATATTATCCTCGTAGCACCATTGCATCGGCGCAGCGCAGAGCGGAGAGCTTGCGCTCACCTCTGGCTTTCTCGACCCCCTCTCACAAACCTACCTACCACCATCGGGCGACGCCGCTCGTTGATGATGTTATTATACGTTCCCGACTACGTTTCAACGACTTGTTGCCAAGTTCTCCACGGACGATTTACGGCCGAGACGATGGATTTAGGGGGCTAAAGATAGCGAGGTTCAATTTAATTAATGCTGGGAAAAAAGAATGGCGGCGGTTTATTGACTAGCTCCAGATGATCTACAGATCTCACTGGAAAAAAAAAAAAAAACACATTGGATCTATAGTCCAGACTCTTAAAAACATCGACAAGAAAAAGTACTCTTGATTCAATCGGAATCTAGCTTAAATCAAGAACCAGGTCTATTAATTTAAGCGGATTTCGTTTTGATTCAAGCAAAAATCCGATTGAATCAAGAGTATTTTTTCTTGTCAATGTTTTCAAGAGTCTGGACTCTAGATCCAATGTGTTTTTTTTCCAGATCTATAGTGACAACGAGCTCACTCCATGAAGTGTTAACCATGCGTTTACTAGATCTATCGGACCAGGGTTGCTACAACAATTTTTCGATGCCCTGACTTTCTTGCCTCTTCCGGACTCAAAATTTCCGAATTCCTAAATTTTCCTGACCTTTGTAGAAGTCCTCCTCTAAGATTTTGTCTATTAATTACGCTGATTTTTAAATTATATTTTGAAGTTAGCTACGTAAAAAAGAGGAATTCATGGTCCGTTTATCATGTGTCGCTTGAATATCGACGACATATTATACCTACCCACGTTACGGGGTAAAAAAATCCTCAAAATGTGACCCCTCGCTTTTTCTCTCAATGCCTTCGGAGGATTCAATGTTACGACAAATCTCTTGAACACTGCAAACAGCTGAACTTGGAAAAATCGGCACGGCTTCTTCCGGAGTTGGAAAATCTGACAACTGCATTGCTGGCGCGAGGGCTTACGGCTAGCCTAGCTCCCCGGGCTGCGGGCACCGCGGTTGGGATTTTATTTCCACTCGGGCTCGGAGGAATGAAAACACGAAATAATGACTAGAAAAGCCACGCCGCTAATGCCCGTCCATTACGGCCAGGGCGAGCCCAGCCGGGGCCGGCACCGGGAACGTCGGGGGAGACCGCCATTCAAAGAATTATTTTTGCATCATTTCACCCGCAATTATTTACGCCCAGAGAGATTCACCTCCGGCCTGGGGATAGCATCATCGGTTAGCCAATTCACTGTCAACTCCTCTCCGTAAACTCCACTACGCTTGTCACCCATACCCCAAGAGAATATATTTTACAACTGTACTTTAGCAGTAACAATCAAGGCGATGGAATTGGACAAGGCGAAAGTTACGTTAAGTTGAAAGTTAAGTAACGCTATCCGCCTGATGATAATTGATGTGAAACTTGTTGAGCAAAAAATACGCCTGATGATGAATATCGGGGCGCGTCCTTTGCCTGACGAGTTTTTGGAAGTGCGGTCAGGATGGCTAAACCAATGGCTCAACCCTCTGGGCCATAGAACATCATTGGTCGAATCTGAGCGTTGACACCCGGAAGTAACTTTTATGTTTTAGGGAAGAGCCCCTAAGATACAATGTATCTGGTACGCTCAAATACAGGGTGATCCAAAAGTACCGCACCACCCTTGGGCTTGCCCCTTTCCAGAGAGGTCCCTTAAACATGTTGGCAGTTCCCAAGAGGCGTTTCCTTTGACCGATTTGTTCACAAGTTATAGGGGTGATGCCTGGTGCCAGTAGTGCGGGACTTCTGGATGACCCTGTATAACTCACGCACGATCTGGCGACCTCCTCTGTGAGCGACCTCTGGGGGCCGGCGGGACGACGCCGCTTCCCGAAGGAATGGAGACGTCCTGGAGGCCGAAGGACCAATAAACAAGTGCCGGTTAACGAGCGCCGCCGCTTAACGTGCGACAATGATGGAAATCGCGACGGACACCCCCTCGCCCCCGCTCCGGGGATCCTCCACCGAACCGAACATCGCCGTGGAACAAACGAGCCAGAAGTCCGACGCACGGTGATTGTTGGCCCGGCGGCCGACACCTGCGCCTCCTCGTTGGGAATTCGTCACGAGTAGACCTCATTGTGGATGTTTCGAATATGTTGTTCCTCTGGAGAGCTTGGAATGCTCGGACGAAGTAGGCTATGGGGTACACCGATGGGAAACCTAGTACTACCTAGTCGGCGAATCGAGACGCTAGACCGCTCGACTGCAAGAAAGGAACTCAATGCGAGTATCTAGTCTTTGAAAAGGAACCACGTCGCAAGTGCGGATCTCAGTGGGAACTTGGCCGGCAGAGATCTCGAAAATTCTCGGCTAAAATGCATATTCCTCCGGAATTTTGACGGAGTCGTCCCTCAATCACTTCCTCACCTTAGGAGGCATGGTGTGGTTCATTTTGTCACTGAAGAGGTAATTAGGGTTCCTATAATTTCATCATTTTCTAGTTCCGTGACTTTTTGTTGGCTTATCCCAGACCCCAACGATTTCAAATCCCCCGACTCTCCCTGACTTTCGAACAAAATTTTCATTCGGATTTTCCCCCGTTAATTATGCTGAATTCTGCCTAACGCTGTTCGCAAGCTTCTCTGAGATTTTCCTGAGAATTCCCTGTCTTTCCCCGACTGTTCCAAGTTGTAGTTAATTTCCTGATTTCCTAGGTTTCCCACACGCCGGAAGCCCTGTTTAATGAAACGTCGTATGAAGGACAACTTTAACGAGCTTCCGTGTAGAATTCGGCGGTATAGCTTCGGAAGTCAACCCTTGTAAGGGATTACAATGCTAAACTCCTATATCTACGAACAATACAAAATTCCAATGGAAATATATTGCTGATTCCGCAAATTTTAAGGTGGGTACCTTAAAATTTGTCAAGATCAGAGAATTTGTTTCTTTCCTTTGCATTTTGTGCAGAGACAAATCATTGTAGTTCTTTGCAAATATCCACTTTCAAAGTTAAGCTGACGATTTATTTTAACTGTTGAGGGTTACAAGAATTGTCGGTTTTAGGTTGCTATGCTGAAAGGCTTCCTCGAACATCCCTTAATCTCAATGTAAAACGTATGGGGCCTCCTAAGGTAAGGAGCTAATAAAGGGACAACCCTGCATTTCTTATCCTCTCCCAAAGAGGTGGCAACGACGCTTTGGCGGGATCCCGTTTCGCCGAGCGGTGCAACCGTTTGACGTGGGTCATCGGTGCATACGAAATGAGTGCTGCCGTGCTAAGGAAAAACGCCGTATACACATTCGAGAGTTGCCAAATTTCTTCCAGTAAAATGTTAATTTTCAAGGGGAGTCGTGAATATTTTCTCTAAAAATTTCCAGATACTTCATATCTGATTGTGAATATTATATTCATACATTTTCCTGAAAAATCGTATTATCAAAGAAAATTTGGCAACATCTGAAGGCACATACGACGTTCTTCCTTAGGCCGGCAAAGTGCGAGACTGGGATCGCTCAGACCGATTTTGTTTCCATACTAAATCTACGCCTCGAGTGTTGAACCGTAATCGAATGACCTTGATCGACGAACGACATTGCTGCGATAGGGATTTATCGATCAAGGTCGTTCGATAACAGTGATTCAACTATGGAACGAACGATGCGGATTGATTATTGAATCGTTGTCAAATGATCTCAATCGACAAACGACACTGCTGCGATAGGGATACATCGATAGATGTCGTCGGATAACGATTGGAATGTGCTGAATCGCTATCTACTGACCTTGGTCGATAGACAACATTGTTAAGATAGGGATGCATCAATCGAGATATTTAGATAACGATTCAAAAATGGAACAAACGAAGCGGATCGACATTGATTCTGCACGAGACGATTTCTCGCGCAAAAATATCGATTGTTTCACAAAAATTTTAACGACGATGCCCGTTGATACCATCTTGGGAGAATCGCCACCGGTTGAAAAGACGGAGAATGGGGATATCGCGAGATAATCGGAAGACGCGGCAACTTCGCTCGTGAGGGAGGGTGGCGGCCTCCGCGATGGATGAAAAATGCCGCCGGTGCGACGTCGCAGCGTTCCGACCGGCTAGCGACTGGAATTCTGGCATTCGGAATTTTAAAACTTCTTTCATTCATAAATTCAGCTCGAAATGTTTGTCATCCTGTTTATTTCGATTAATTAATTAAGATCAACCCCCCCCCTCTCCCCCTCACACACACACAACACACATTCTTCGATCTTTCCGTTCCGTCGTCGCTTAAAACCATCAACTTTTTTGCAACCATCGGCTGCCGATGAAATTGAAAAAAAATTGGTAAATAAAAAAAGACAAATGAAAGAGGAAGGCAGGGGGGACACCGTAGTCAGACGGGAGTGTTCTGCGCAAAACCGATTTATGGAGAGACTCGATTTGGTAGAACGTTTTTCAGCTCGGAGAGCTTAAATTTTTACGAAAAATACCTTTGTTCGATTATTTCAACTTCATGGAGGAAAAAACTTCTCTTATGGGATCTGAGGTTCAGTTGATACAAATCTCTGAAGTTTTCGTATCGGGCATCCGAAAACTTGTAGGTATGTAGTCCAGCTGCTAAAGTTCGGGCCACACATCAGAGGTACTTCGGTACTTCGGTTGACTCCATAGAATTTTTAACCGAAGCATCGAAGTGCTTCAAGCGTGTGACTCGCCGAATTTAGGCAGAACAATTTTTTGGAGGCACGATTCAAAAAACTTGAGAAATCTGTATGAGAACACGGTTTGATAAACTTCAACTTTAAAATCTGTTATAAAAAGAGAATGGAATCATGCAGAAAAATATGGTTACGCGGAATGGAGTTTCTTACCTGACTGGAAAATTTGTTTGGCGCGGTCATGGGGCATTCAGGATCCCTGGGGTTGATACAAGGTTTCTCTTGATACCCCGTCGTTATTCCCGCCTGAAATTGAAAAAGAAAATCCAACATAAAAATCTTGAGTGTGGGGTCATGATGAAAAATGGCTGAATGAAGCNGGGGGGGGGGGGAGGGGAGAAGAAAAAATACTTCATCGCCGGAAAGGAGAGTTACAGAAAGTAAAGTGGTCGTATTTGAGTGATTGAATGAAAGTTTGACCGATCCTTGGGTCTTCCATTAATTAAAATGTTCTTTTCAATATGTGATACATTTTGCAATAAGAAACCTGGTTAAATTCCTGGTTAATTTTAGAAACGACATAATTTCCCGATTCAGAAAGATGCTTTTACAGGTAATTCAGAGATAATAGTTCCTTATTACAATATGTTGAAGGTCCGTGTAAATGAGCGTTCATAAATTACATCCAGTACTTTTTCGGAATTTCTGACCGCCCCCCCCCCCCCCCCCCNGCCTTTAAACGCTTCTGTGACGCAGGGCACTATCCTTCAACACGTAAAAAGGAAAAGTACGATTTCCCAAACCCTCCTCCCCCATAGAGCGTTCCGGAATTTATGAACGGCTCCTAACTCCTCAGTCATAGTATTCTTGGAGACTTAAACGCAAGGTAAGAAAAAACGGCGACTACTAAAAACTTACTTTTGACTTATGAGGGGTCGGAAAATGTGACTCGCCTCTTTACTATCGAGGAACTCGTAGTCCACGTGATTGCAAAAGAACCCCCCCCCCCAAAAAAAAAAAACACTGTATAGGACTTACTCCTCACGTCAAAAACCAATCGCTGACCCGGTTATCTGCAAAGCGCGACTTCATAAAATGCATTCAAGAAATATTGATGATGGAGAGTTCGGAGATGCGGAGATTTTTAAATGGTCGTTCATCCCCCACAATATTCCTCCATATTTCCCCGGGGGGTCGGTGATTCCGTAATCGCCTCCGCCCCATCATCCGCAACTAGCGCCTCAGTCTCAGCATATTAGAGTTGACCTTTCTTCAGGGTCGTGTTGATCGAATGCAAAGCAACTTTTCGAGAATTTATCAAGTCCCTCCCCCACAAGATTAGTCCGAAACACTGGTTAAAAAAAGTAGCTTGGATCTAGAGTCCAGACTCTTAAAAACATTGACAAGAATAAATACTCTTGATTCAAATGGAAATCCGCTTAAATCAAGAGGCTTGGCTCTTCGATTCAAGGAAAAATCATTGAATCAAGAGTATTTTTTCTTGTCAACGTTTTGAAGAGTCTGGACTCATGATCCGAGCTACTTCTTTTTACCAGTGAATCAAAGGGGGTAGTTCCGCGAGGGATGAAGCTTAGCCGCGACTCCGCAGGTTGGATCTCGCGGGTTCTCGGTATCAACGTTTACCGAAGTGAGGTTAAGTTAGGAGTGCGTCGGGCGATGGCGGGTGGCGAGCGGGGCGAGGAGGAGAGGGGAGGGAATAAATAAACATACATTGAGGATGATGCGCACAGCAAAGCGCAAAATACACAGGTGGAGTGAACAAAGATTGAGCGGCGGACGGTCGGTGGGGGGAGGGGGACGGCGAGGGCACCGGCAAGGGACGGGGGCAGGGATATTTATTAATTCATTAATGTGAGGTATGCGGGGAGGTTACGGAGAGGTGTCAGAGACGCGCGTTCATGGGTGGTCGGTCTCATCTACCTATGTATGCTCCGCGCTCCGCGCAAAGGAACGAGTTTCGCCGGCGTGCAGGCATACAGGCATTTAGGCATTCTTGACTTTTATCCTATTACCTTTACATATTCTTATTATTTTCTCTCTCTCTCGCTCCCCGGCTCTCCGCTCCGTCTAGCCGGCTCTGCGCTTTCCACCTCCCCGCGAGCCGCGCTGATTGAGAGCCGAAACCACGCATCACCACTGGGTTTTCGTTCCGAGTTGCGCGCTTTTAAGCCAAGTGCTGCGTTCGCTTGGTATGAGGACGGCTCTGCGCATGCGCGTCCACTTACGTCCCTAAACCAACACACAACTGCGTAGTAGCCAAGTCGCGACGACTCGCACTGTGCTATTTCGTTCCTGAAACTAACCGAGCGATCAAGCCTATTCTATAGGATCCCTAGGGAAAGTTACGTTATCTCCGGTCCTGGATGTCACTAACGAGCAGGAAGATTACACAGTTCTATTTCGTAATATTTGGCCGGCACATCCCCGGATTCATTTCCTTCACTCCCTCTCTCATTCAGTTCGTTTTCTGTCGTACCCTTAAGATCTCGATACACGATCAAATCCCGAACCACTTACCATCGAAGTGTCGGGAGTCATCAGTCTTAAAATCGTTGCGATTTTAAAAGCATTTTCTTCTTACTCTATGACACCGTACCTGTAAGGTTGTCGAGAAAAATCAAGCACGCTTACAAAATACTCAGACGTAAAAAAAATTTAAAAAAAAGAAAAAAAAAATTAAATTGGACTAAAGACCGATTTGATACAAGTAAACTTCAGCCTTATGGCAAGCGGGAAGTGTGAAAAGACGGACACGTAAAACGCTGATTTCTCGACTATCCGTTGTCTATCGATAGACTGTGGAGAAATTGAGAGACACAGGCGATAGACTGTGATGCGACTTACCCTTTTCATAAGATCCTCTAGAACTCCGATCGGAAATCCATCGGAAAAAGATCTAGCTTTGTTGACTAATTCGGTGGGATTTAAATTTGTCCAGCTCACATTTTCGCTGAGTCCACTGAAACATAAATGCGAAAACAAGACAATTTGAGTGACAGTTATAAACTTGGAAGTATTTCACAGAGATGTAATCCCCTCCCACTTTTTTTTACTATCGATGGTACTTAGTTCGTTTAGAACTTGATGCAATATTTTCCCGACAATGCGCACGGAGAGAAATGCTCCGTTTCCCCGGGTGTCACGATAGGAACTCCTGTTATATCAACCGAAAGTCTTTTTAAACTAATAGGAATACTGTTTGAAACAAGGGAAATTTCCTGCTGTTTCAAAGAGCTATTCCAGTTAGGGTAAATCCAAGAAGAAATTTTTCTCAAAGCGACGTTAAAAGTAAACACTAAGCATGGACACGAGGTCCCGTGTTGAGTTCATTAATTGAGAAAGCAGGAAAAAGTATCTAGACCCCTCCGATCGCTTGCGGTACCGACTTACTCCCGTTGAACGATGGCATCTGTTGCAATGCTCCAATTTCTGATACGGAGAATACGGTTCGTACGTATCTTTCTATTTTTAAAGAGGTGGTTTCTTTTACCGCTGGAATGGAGGAAGTAATAGTGACATGAACTTACGGTATCGTGACTGGAACTGGAGGGCCTAGTAACTTCGAACCTTCCCAAAAACAATCCAATGGTGTACTAATGGCACAAGGAATAACAATTTCAAAAATCTGTAACAGAGAAGAACAAAATTTAGCTATAGAGAATGTAATAGATATTTTTTGGTACGTAGTAAAAAGTCAGTTTTCGAGGACCGAAGGGTTATGGGTCAGTATCGATGACAATGGGCTGTAGGTACTACTAGAGGCCAGTGCCTCCGTTTGCGACGTTGCAGACTTCTCGTTATACTTTATTTTTTCTCTGGAAAACTTTTCAAAGTATTTTCATGAAAACTATCTTAATGTTTCTCTCTGTAAGAAGACTATTCTGTTTAAATTTCAAGCTCTAGAGTTGCCTTGTTTCTCTACGTTATCTATGTTAATCTATACTAAAAAATAACTACACTGCACTTACTTTATTAATATAATGTTCGCCAAAATTTGGCATACTCTGAGCGTAACAGATGTCTTTCAGTCGCCACGCTCTGTAACAGAAAATAAAATTTAAAATTAGTACGAGCAAATTGCAAAATAAGCAATGAGAAATTTTGAAAAAGGGGGTCATCGTGTGCAAAAAGAGCAACAGTTGGGGATTTCTAGGATTTCTTTATTTCACCGTTCCCTGACTTTCCCTGATTTTTCCTAGATTTTTTTCTGACTCCGAGCTTGCGACTTTCCTCGACTTTCGAACTGAACTTTTTCAGATTTTCCTTCTTTCAATTACGCTGACTACTAACAAACTTCGGACAGAATTTCCAAGCCTGAAGATTAAACTCATAAAAAAAGCACTCCGAAGTTGTCCGCGCTCTTTAGAATGGCACAGACTGAATTCATCGAGTCCGACGCGCTACTTGTGAAATTCCCTGAGCACCGTGAGTTCCACGACCGTCCAGCTTTTCCAGACGACCGGAAACCCTGCAGTAGCTCCTCTGAGTATTAGCAGAACGACAACGAAATCAGACTTTTTTCCCACACCCTTGGTTCTCGGAAAGTTAGAAGCTAATGTTCCGATATTTCCTTCATTTCCTCGCTTTCAATTGAAAAGTTTACGGTGAACTCGCCGTCCGAGTTACGCATTAACGCCGTGCTGAATGACAATTGTTGAGGCGTCACACGTCGTCAGGAGGGCGGTCCACGTCGCGATCATCAGGCGTGTGACCACTGACCACTGACCACTGACCACCGACCACCGACTAGGAGCGTCCTGCGTCTCGAGTCTTGAGGGCTCCGGTGTTCGCGCATGTCCGAAACATTTCGCCCGGAGATTATGTGCGTGTCGATGCGACGTACTTCCCATAACGAGTCAGCCTAAACGCCCATTTATATTCAATCGGTGCTGGGCCATTTGTTTTGTAACGCAGGCGCGAGTCGACTTGCTGAAGAGCTTCTTCTGCGTAAGCCCGGCCCAGCGCCAGCTCATTCGCAGAACCCCGCCTTCCCCCTTCGTCCCCCAACGCCGACGGCCCCCGAATTATCATAGGCGCCGAGACAAAACATCCGAGAAAAAAAATTTCAGAAACCTCGCGCTAACAATCTGACAAACGTAATAGGGTGAAGCAGTGGCTGAGTTCGGAGGTCAACGCTACTTGTTGAGCTGGTTGAGCACCAACTTTCGCCAGATGAGGATCGGGACGTTGCATCCACCCAGCCGTTAGGTTAGGTTGTCAGTTAGGATAGGTTAGGGAAGTTACATAAGGGTGGATGCATCGCAGGTAGATGCCAAGTCACGCACTCCGTCAGATGATGGCTGACAAACGTCGGAGTTCGCACTTTGCTAGGCGAGTTTTTGCAAATAAGGTTAGGCATACTGAACCAATTTCTCAACTCTTTTATCATCGGTCATCATTTGGCGAAATTGAGCGTTGACTCCCGAAAACAACTCGGACAATTTGAGAAGATATTAGTAGCGCGGAGTCCCGAGCAACGGAAGGTGCTGAAGTGCTCAGCCACAGTGCAACGCTCTTCCATCTGATAAACATTGAAATTCGCCACATTCATTGAAGAGGAACTCACGACAACCGGTTCGAGCAGGTGGCAAAAAATCCTACCGAATTTTCAATGAAATGAGCTTTCTCACAAGATGAAGAATCCTAAGAAAGCTGGCTGAAAAAAGACCTTTTGTTAAAATCACGGCGCGACGCCGCAAAAAGGACCTAGGTCTCTACACTCTGGGGACCTAGATACATTTTGAACAATTTCGCGCAAACGTTGCAAGTATAAAAAAACACCTCCGAAAATAAGTTTAAAAAATACTTCCGATTCAGCAATAACTAAACCCCTGCCGATTCATGCTTTCAATTCAGGGTCGGCGAATAGTGTGAAAAAACATCTTAGAATAATGCTCTCTCTCTTAAAATTCCTCTACATCCTACACTATGTTCTTCCTTGTTAAAACATTGAGTGTTGTAGCTGTTTAGAGAGCTCTTCAAAACAAGAAACCAGATTCACGCTCTGGAAGCGGGAAACACCATGGAATGAATAAAAACAATCGAAAAAAAACCGAACGGGATAAACATCCTCCCCCAAGGTTAGTAAGTGACTCAAACCAAACCGACCACCCACCGGGGTTTTGGCAAAGAAAGACATAGCACCCTTCGCAAACTTCACGTTGGATGCTCATTGGCCTCTACGCTGGGAGGGGCGAAAAACAACCCTCCATGATCCGATACGGAGGATGGTCTAGTATTTTTTTTCACGTGGTGGATGCATTCGGAGCAGACTAGAAAAAAAAATAGGGCTGTCTCGTGCGATATGATGTTGCCACAGTGTCCACTAATGGTAATAACAGAGGATACCGGTCATCATTTCTGAAGAATGATATGGCTGTGTCATCACCGCGATAATTTAATCTATAAAGGCTCTATTGACTGAATCAAATTAGAGTCATCTAAATCAGCAGAATTTTGCTGTGCAAATTGGAGATCTAAATCTGTCAAAGGCAGTGATCCGCGGTAAAATCCATATACAGCCAAGAATACAAAATCCCTCGATTTCGTAGAAGAACCACAATCCTCCAGATTTGTATAAATATCCCCCTCCCCCCAAAAAATCCCTAGATCTTGCGAAAGACAACATTTATATCCCCCCTCCCCTTGTTACGTCCATCAACGCAGCTGATATGCTTCGATAGTCGATCCTTCACGTGCACATTAATAGGAGGGCCCCGACAAAAAATGATGGGCAGCCCACCTTAATTTTTTTTAGCACCCTCCGGGATGGATACAGGTCACTGTAACTAAAATCTTGGATAGGTTCGTGCGTTGAGCATCCTCAGGTAAGGAAGTGCAAATAGTGAAAGGGTGGGCGAAAATTAAAAGCTTGGTGAAAATCAATTGAGAGGAAAAAAGGCGATTACGGCGGGACCGCAGGACCCCTCGTGAAATCAACAGATGTTGCTCACCTACATGCCAAAAGGAGCGGTTTAAGGCATGTTGCCAAGTTTATCTGCGGGATTACGCTCATTACATGTCCCCTTTGGAATTACGTGAGCCTGGTATGATCCCCATTTTACAAAATAAAGCGGAAGACCTGGAAAATTGCCGAAAATATTATTTTCACGGCAAAATGCTGTTTTTTTTTTTTTTTTTTAAAGTAGGAGGCTTACAGATTTGCAGGGTTTTTCAAGGAATTGTGAGAGTAATTTTCTACCGCACACACGCGTACTATCGACAAAAATTGGAAATTTCGCTTTAAAGTTCTCGAATTTTACATTTCTTTTTCCCTGTCACAAGACTTGGCACTAAACATTTTTAGGTGGCTATCTTCAGCTGAGTTGCTCACATGAAAGCGCCACTACAAATAAGACAAACGGAACCACCACCAGAGCGAAGGAAAGGACGCGCGATGATGACGGCGCAGACATACCACTATTCGTACTCGATGGATGTCCGTGTTGCATCTACAAAATTGAAGGCGCGAGGCGTAAACTCGTTTTTGCTCGGACCTACGCCGCGAATGAGTCGTACCGCAGCTTCGGGAAATAAGATCAAACACGAGGCCCCAATGCGTCTTTCCTTTCTTAGGCTGTATTAGCACTCGATTTTTTTTCCTTTCAACTTTAACTCTGATTATTTTTCCATAATGATATGAACACGAGTTATAATGCCAAAAACATGGAGAATTTGCATGCACATTTTTGAATGCTCCATCTGAAAGTGCTTAAAGAGCTGATTTCATAGTACTTCTATAATTTTTTTCTGATATGGGAAATAGTAAAAAAATAAATTTAAAAGCGAGAAAATGCACCGCTTAGTAACGTCATCTGGCGGCATTTCCCATTTAAACACACGTATTTTAGCAGATCAGATAATCGTGTCATATCTTCTCCAATAATTGTTCAATTCATGAACCAAGGGTGTCCTCGTGTTCAGTTCACTGAGTAGTTTCCATTTAAACACGAAATCCATCAAATTTCAGACACCTGCAAATCCTCCATTTTGAAATTAAAGAAAAATGGTCACCCTGAAAATCCCTGCTGCGTTAAAAAACTTATCCGAAGAATCGGTGGGAAAATGTTGAGGCTCTGGCTGCACGTGGGGGGGGGGATCTGGCGGATTTTCGTTCCGAGTTGGCACGGAGCGAGCGGCCCCGGGGCCCGGGTCGGTCTATCAAATTACCGGCTGGCGGAAGGTGTCGTGTGGTTTCGCGGTGAAATAGGACCTACCCGCTTCTCGGTGCGCCTGCGCCTGTTGCCTGTCGCGTCCAGGTCTCTCGCTCCGAACCAAGCCCGGAGCCACCGGGAGTGATTCTCTCTGGCAATCTCCAAGTTGGCACCGACCGACATGCCGTTTCCGGAAGTGACGTCATTCCACAGGCGAATCCAGAGGGTTGGCAACTCTGCCTTGTCTCCATTTAAACCTGTGTGGAATAATCGATTCTTGTCGGAGCGTCCTCTTCAGGAATCGATACATTTCCATAGGTTTCAATGGAGGGAAAACAATGTTGCCAACGTGCTTAATTTGTCAATACGTCATTCCAGTGATGGATCCAGAGTAGGGACCATGGTGGCATGGCCTGCTCATCGAGTCAAAAAACAGAGAAAATCAGGAAGAAAGAAGGAACAAAAGAGGGGGAGAAGTACACGAAGAATATGAATAGTCAACTAAACAAACAAAACAAACAAAATCCGATGGATTATTCGAAAACAGAATTAAAATTTTTGCACACAACTATTCGCACAACAAAAGGCTGACTGCTTGTCGCATAGCTACAAGAACGAGGAAGAATTTCGTGAATCTTGCTTATACCGTTCGACATTTACCTGCAATTTACAAGTTTTTGTTTCTACAAATATTCCCGATTCATAGTTTGTTCTTCTACGTGGTCAATAACATTCGTAAATTATAACTGCTACAAAACAAAACAAGGGGGAAGACGATTCTTTGTCTTCGATTGGTATAAAAAATGGCTTTCGTAACAGTTAATGAATAATCTATCCTTGGTAAAAGTGAGCTACAATGACTGCCATTGTGACCATCGCTCTGTCTTGTGGACTAATAACACAGTCTGACTTCACCGTGATGTCACTCTGACATTTCTCTAGGACGTCACTCGAATATCACTGTGATGTCAGAGCGTGGGGTGGCCGTCAAAAAGATATCACACTACCACATGAAAAACATATCATTATGACATCAGAATGATGCATAATGGGTCTCCTTTACTAGAGAACGGTTGGAGACGAAGGTAAAACTTCACCAAGAAAAACCCTGAGGGTGGCAAAAGTGTCAACTTACTCGTCTGCCGTGTAAACAGTGACGCTAGCTGCTGCTTCCAACATTTTCAAATGTGTCAGCAAGGCATTTGGGTGCAGAACAGAACCCCAATGGTCCTGCGGGGTTTGAATGAGGAGTTGGTACGTGTTACCAACAGCCTCTCCGAGTTGCTTTTTGGTGTAGTTCAGTTCCTGCTCTAGACGTCCGCCTTCTGCAACAAAAAATTCAGCCAAGCTTTACAAATAATTGTAGACAGACAATAAAAAAATGAGGACAGTGCCTAATTTTTCTTTTTTTGGTATAAAAAAATAAAAAAATGTAAAAATTACGTCTCAAAAAAATTAGTGTTTGGAAATGAATTTTGAATGACAAATTGCCACATTCCGTTGAATTTTCAACTGATATTTTTTAAAAATCGGCGCAACGCGTTCATTCTAGCGTTACGTAACGTAAGCCCTGAACGCCAATGCATCCGCAATACAAGCTCGGATCCCCCTCACCTTAGTGCGTTACGTATTTTATGAGCGGCTTCTCGAGAGATACGAGCAGGACTCGAATTCATCTCTGAATTTGCTGCCTAGATTTATAATGCCACGTTCCGTTACGAGAGACTGGTCCTCCTACTTCTATCTGCGCCTGGGTGGCCGTAATATGATACATAAAAAATTTGATGATATCGCAGTCGAACGAATCGAATTCGAGAGGTGTGCGTCCGACGACTGGAACCACCGCGGCGCGGGAGCTCCTGACGCCCAAATTCTAATAAACTCCACGTATAATGTTATCGATGACGTGAGAGGGGTCAGCATATTTTGCCAGGAAGGAATCGCGTTCGCGTCAATGTTGGATGGGCATTTTTCTGAGTAGGATCAGTGTCAACAGGGCGGCAACTGGGAGGGAGGGAGGAGAGGCGTTTCAGCGCAGCCACCAACATCGATTTATAGAGATACTAAAAAAACCCAAGAAAGAGAATGAGAGGGAAAAGAACGACACATAGAAGGGATTTTAATTTGATTTCTGGATTGTTGGGACGTAATCACTAATCGAATGCTACAATCGGGTGCTACAACTAACGGAAACTCCTTTGGATTACTTAAGAAGAGAGAAAAGCGGGAGTGTTTTCAATTTTTGAACATGCAACTAAAAAACGAATAGTTCCATCGAGGCGCCTTGTTAGTCTAGTCCTTGAAAAGAGGGAGCGCCTTCAGTTTTTGAGAATGCAACCAGCACATCCGTATAACACGAATAGTTGCATCAAGGCGCCACAAACAATGCAGTCAAGCGCTTGTTAATCGGACTGAATATTTGCATATGCACCACGCACATCCGAAGTATTGGAGATATGTGAATAATATAAGTGAAGTTTTCAATGTTGTTTTTTATACTCGTTTTCTTTCTTCTATTATAATTTTTAATTTATTCGAGGAACTTTCGATTAGTTTCGATTAGTTTTTACCATAAATGCGAACGCAGTAATTGATCACTGCGCGGTGATCGGCGGGTGCGGATTAATCGATAATCAATCGATAGTCGGAGCGCTCCAACTATGGAAGGTGGAGCTAGAGTGATGGGACACACTCCGCACGCATCGAGAGATGCACACACGTGATGAAAACCGGTAGCACCGGTAATCTAATTAAACCGGACATGACTCAAGTCGCGAGTTATAAGTCTTTTCAGTTTCGGAGTAGCGGGGCACAGGGGCACAATATGATACAATTAATATTAATGAGGACCACACGCAGATCGCCGCTCGACCGCGCCGTTTGTTTTGGATTTGAGATTGAGAGAGCACCCCTTCCCCTCGCCGTCCCCCTCATCGCCCCTCCTCGGCCGCCGTCGAGCCCCCTCCTCTGGGAGGAAGGGGGGATTGGAGTCGCTGTGCCCTGCAACGTCGCTGACGTCAATCCATGAACGGTGCATTTGGCCGCCTGTTCGCCAAAACTGTGAACCATGCGGCATTTTTGAACATGTCGGTACATTATGAGAGTGCATTTCCGGATTTAATCATTTCGATCGACGATTCTCGCTCATTCTGGAAAATAACGTCAAGGCTTATCCCGGTATTAAGGTATGGAGGTTTTCACCTATAGATCTTGAGAGAGGCCAAGAGCTAGGAACCTGGGTCCTGCGCACACCAGTCTCAGGAGTACTGGACACAACAGCCTCAAAAAATGACTTCATCTGACTCTGATTTACTCTATACTCTAAGACAGGGAATAGGGAACCTTAGGCTTTACGGACTTCTTATTATAGAGTATAAAAATGGCAGAAGCTGCCTGCAGATGAACCACCAAAAGTGCAGATGATGAAGTTTCTTTTCCTCGAACTTTTTCTCAAACCACACTGTCTGGCGTATTTTCTCAGTTCGGGAACCAGTACTGTGCATCGCATTCGAAAACAAATTTCATTTTGAGCCTCTACTACTACAATGTTGATAACAAGTACGCACAAGGTTGGCAACAGCCCACTCCCAACCCGAGTCGCCGCATTTTCCCCCACATTCCCCCTTTTTCCCAGGAACTATATTACAGTTTCCTGCAATGTACACTGTGCAGTACTGGTTCCCGAACTGAGAAAATACGCCAGGCAGTGTGGTTTGAGAAAAAGTTCGAGGAAAAGAAACTTCATTATCTGTACTTCTGGTGGTTCATCTGCATGCAGCTTCTGCCATTTTTATACTCTAATAAGAAGTCCATAATGCCCAATGTTCCCTATTCCCCGTATCCAAGAGACTCGGCCGCCATGCTGTACTCCACTCTTCGTCAGAAAGAAAGACTTGGACAAGGCAGCGACCACCACCGGCTGAAGCCGCCCCTAGGACACGGCTCCACGGTCACTTATCAAATTGACCTCGGTGGAGGCACCCTGGAACGATGCGGGGGCGGGGGGTGGATCTCCCACGGTAGCGGGGACGCGCCCCGAGTTCGACAAAGAGCCGTGACGAATTGATAACGTCGCACCTGACTCTGGAGGCTCAGGTGATTCTCCGGCTGGACCGGTTAATTAGGCGACCACCCACGCCCGCACCCCATCGCTCGATATCCACCCTCCCTTCGATCTCTTTTCACCCCGTCCTGATACCACAGCTTTGCGAGGGGCAAACGTTGCCAAACGAATACGGGGACATCGAAACGTTACGGCAGGGATCGTTACTTACTTCCATCATATCATCGTTCCTCTGACGTAAAAGGCAGTGGCCTGGCGTGCTTTGCGATGGATTGATCTGCCGTTTAAACCTATGTAAAAGGATCGATAAACAGGCGAACACCTTAATAACCGATTCTTTAACATAGATTCGAATGGACAAAGATCACCGGTAACAGCATACACCAATCACCACTTGAGCCCTGTTTTACATATAGATCCATGCTTTCTGGGGCTCAGAAGGCACAAAGATTCCGCTCAACATTTAGGTCACAGTGCTTTTGGGCGCTATATAGACTCCGGCACAGAATTTCACTTCAAAATGTTTAGAAGCGTAGAAAAATCGTCATTACTTTCTTAGAAAGTTAATGTTTCATGGGGAGAAGTTTGGCAACAACCGTTGTTGTTCGTGCGGCGTTTTCCTTCGAGTGCCTAGGAGAAGAGAGTATAGCCATTTCCGTCCTCTCACTCCTCAGAAAGTGTGCCGCTCTCTGATTGGTTGGCGAGTTTTAGGCTTACATGGTAGCTACTCCACTCCTAACCAGGGTAAACAAGCAAGATGGCGACGGAGTTCTAGACGTGATTGGAACTATCCAGTTTCCGACCTCCGAATTAACTTCTGAACGACCTTTAAAGAATATTTTTGCAAAAAATTACACTTTTTGAATAATTATCATTCATTTCTCACCAGATTGCACAAATTCCTTTGGGTCGGGTTTGTTAGGATTGGTCAACCATTGGGAAGTCTACGACTGGACTGCATTTTGTAATTTGGACCTATAAATTCTAACTCATCTGGAAAAACACTATGCGCATAGGGAAACTAATGGCACATACGTTGTTTTTAAACCGGGCTAGAATTTATAGTTCCAAATTGCAAAATGTAGTCCAACTGATGAACTGATCAAAGACCGGCACAGATACGGCGATGGTCTTCCTAAATTTTCCTCAGAATGGCAGTATTGCAGTGTTGCAAAAAGTAGTCCATTCGGCAACAGAGGTCGCGAGTCGAAAGACGTCTTCATTCCGTTGAGCCTCGAGTACAAAGGGAGCCTCCGTCATTCATACGTCACCCTTTGAATGAGCAGAGTCCAGTTTTACGAGGAACGCCGGGGCAGAGCCGAGTGACAAAAAGGCCGGCTAACGTCTCAAAGGAGGAGCGACTCCTATGAGAAATGGTGCAAGAAACTCTCCGGAACGAACAATAGAGATTGCGTGCGCCGTTCTCGGGAACGTAGTTTTGTCAACTTGTGGCATTCGAAGCGGTCCTTGCCCGGCACAGAAGAATCGAATTCCGATGCTTAACGGCCACGGGCGGACTGGATTTCGCTTGACATCTTCCGTGGTTCCGCGTTAAAAGATGCGTAGCATGCCTCGAGGGCAAAAATTAAAAATCTCTCGTTGTAAGAGGTGACAAGCGAATTCTCTTAGATTTTCGAATTCCCTAACTTTCAGCAATTTAAAATATTAAATTCCCTGGTTTATCATGTTTCATTTTCGCACGATTTCTCGTCTATAAATTTTTCACAGAAAATTACTTCAGAGCAGTAAGACAGTAAGCCTCCAGAAATTAAAAAAGGCAATTGCTCGGCTGGAGGAAATTGTCGAAGTTTCTCAAAATTCATTCACGCGTGCTAAATTCCCTGACTTTTTAAGAACTTGACCGCACATTTCACAATCGGAATAAGGAAGGTCGTCAAAATATCGCGATGAAGAGTGTTATTATGCCTTTGCAAAATCTAAAGATTTTTTGTGGATAGTAGGGCAAATCTGGCTTGAAAATTCATGACCGGGTGGGAAACGAACTAAAATATCAAAATTCCCGATTACTTCCCCGCACTTTCCTGGTTCGCTGCGTCTTGGCAAAATTGGTCCCGACTTTCTCCGGCCATTTTTGTGAGAAACCAAACTTGTTCCAAAATAGAAAAGGTTAATCTTATCGCCGTGCTATACATTCCTACAAGACAAGAGACGTGTTGTTTCGGTGAAGTTTGGAAAAAATTCTTAGGTCCATAGAAGCAATCTTCTCTTCGAACGAGGAAATTCCCAAATAAAATACCCTGA